GTTAATTTTTGTGAGTGGTGTAAGATAGAGGTTCACTCACATTCTGCATGTTTTTATTTGGTTTTCTTCACATCATTTATTGAAGAAAATCACCTTTATCCATTGAGTCTTTTTTGGATCATTTTTTAAGTGTTAATTAACCATATATGTGAGAGTTTATTTATGGGCATTCAATTCTATTCTGTTGGTCTGTGCATCTACATTAATACTCATAACGTACTGTTTTGGTTACTATGGATTTGTAAAATAGTTTGAAACCAGAAAGTGTGATGTCTCCACTTTTTTCTTCTTTCTCAGAATTGCCTGGATTATTTGGGAGTTTTTGGCAGGTCCATGGAAATTTTAGAATTGTTTTTTTCTATTTCTGTGAAAAATGTCATTTGAATCTATAGCCAGCCTTGGGTAGTATGTCTATTTTAACAATAGTAATTCTTCTTATCCCTGAGCACAGACTATCTATCCATCTATTTGTGTTCACTGAGAGGCGAACATGTCCAACATATTTTTGAAATCAAAATTTGACTAAATAATGAAATGACCTGGTACAACTCACTAATAGTAGATCATAAATAATGCATAAATGCTAAATCTACAACCAGATCTTCAGGAATTTGATGTTTTCTATAGGCTTCCTATACCCCTTGAATATCCTGAATACTTAGAGTGTTAATATAAAGCAAAATTTTTCCATCTCTATTGAAAATAATTTCTTGAGTGTGTGCATGTGTGTATGTATTTGCATGTATGCGTGTGTTTGCAATGTAGAATGTTTAAGTGCATTCCTGGCCTCTAATCACTAGAATTAAGTAACAGCCCTCACCCTCTCTCATTATAACAATAAAATATATCTTTGGATATCCTCAATATCATCAAAACAGTTGTATGTAAGGAAGGAAGGGGTCTTTCTTAGAGATAGAGGAATAGTATAGCATGGCAGACTGTTTTCCAAAGATGATTCTGTGTGTGTCTGTGTGTGATTCCCACCCCACTTGTTATTCTTACAGTGTGAATTTGACATGCCTCCAATGAGAGGTGTATGGGCAGAGGAAGGGGTCTGTACCCCTTTCTCTTGAGCTTGGGCAGACTTCTATAAACTGATTCTCTCAGTATAAGGTGGTGGACATGACTTTGTCACTGAGGCTAGACTATAAAGGGCAACGCAGTTTCCACCTAGTCATTACATTCCAGATGCCTAACTTTGGAATCTCTCTACAATTTATTAGCAAGATTGCATGGAGAGGCTACGTGTAGATATTGTGGCCAACAACCCCAGTTAGGTCTCCACCACTGTCAGCACCAACCTCCAGACATCTGAGTAAAAGACTCTTCAGGTGACTTGAGCCCCCAAACTTCAAGTCTTCAGCAGAAGACCCAGACATCATAGAGCAGAGACAAACTGTCCCTGTCTGAATTCCAGAACCATAGAACCCATGAGAGAAAATAAGTTCTTTTTATTTTAAACCACTATGTATTGAGGAACTTTAAAATATAGCACTAGATAACTAAAACATGTAGACATTCTAATATTGCTTGATTAGTACTATGTTTAAGTTTAGCCCATAAAACTGATACTGTCCCGTCCTACACTGAAACACACAGGCATTCCACCCCCCATGAAAGGAGAGTCAATCGTCCCGTGTTTCATTAAAAATAAAAAGATCAACCATACTCATCCCCAGACTACCAGATTCTCCCCTAGACCACTATCTTTATCACTATTTCACAAAACATCATGATATTGATTTATAATGTGTGAAGTACTGTCAAATTGAATCAATTAACATTTCAGGCAAATTCTCATTCCTACAAGCAAACCACATTCAACTGGTAGAAACACATGAACTAAAGGCCATGGGTTTAGTTTTATTTTTCAAGCCACATGGGCTTACCCACCTGCTACAAACAAGAGACCTGTAAAGGTCAGGCTGTAATATAAAAGTCATCTCCAGTATAATTGCAAACTCTGAACAGTGATGGCCCCTGGAATTAAGTGACTTTGACCTTCTAGAGTAATATAAAATAGTTAACTATAGTACTTTGTCAATCAGGGAAGGTCTTTGGTTTAAGTAACAGAAAATTCAATCAGTACTACTCAACAAGTGTTTATTTTCTCAATAATAAGAAATTTGGAGATTGGGGCTGTTTACATTAATTCAGAGACTTAATCATTATCAAGGTGAATATTTTGGCAAATACATTTCAATTATTAATTAACTTAACATATAGGCGTTGACTTTTACTTATGTAGAAGTCCTAGATGGGTGTTCCTGTTTAACAAATGCTCTTTCTCTAGCCTGTGTTTCAGGGACACAGGCTCCTACCATTTTGTGGCTCTGGAACTACCTACGGCCCTGATTTCCCCTGCATCTAGGCTGACAGGAAACATAGTGAAGAAAGTCATTCACCCCTTAATTGCTTTGACCTGGAAATAAAACACTTAATTTCCACAGGTACTTAACTGTGAGAGTTAAATTGCTCCCGCTTATAGGCAAAGGGAACAAGGCTGGAAAATAAGACTTCCTATATACAGCTACTTTCCAGAAACATCTATTTTATACAGAAGTAGTCAGCTATCCACAGTGCAGCTAAGAGGTCTTTCGCTAAAGATAGAAGAGTGTTTGCTGGCTCTTCTTTTTGCTCTGCTAGTGGCAAGCACATTTTATTTATTTACTCTGAAAAGAATTAGCTGAGATTTCTTTAAAGAGGCCTCCATAAGCAGCTATGATTGCCATTTAAAAACAGAAAAATGAAAGAAAAAGAAAGCATGTCATAGAGGTGAATCTAGAAGGGACTTGTGGCAGATAAATTAAATGGGAACTCAATGGACAGAAGACAAAGTTCAGTAGAAAACTCAAATACATACAGGAAATTTGTATGTGATAATACACATTTCGAGTAAGTGGAAAAATGAATTACTTGTTAACATTTTAGATAAGTATCTCTGGAAAGAAAAATTAAGTTAGATCCATAAATTCAGAAATCCATAAATTCAGAAATTTAAGGCTACAAAATTAATTATAAAAGAACCAGAAAAAATCATGGGGGAAATATAAAAATATTGTGGGTAGGGGAGAATGTCTTTCCTGGAATGCAGGTTCCCAAATCCAGGAGAGATGGTAGTATATGACTCAGGCATATTTTTGAGTTGCAAGCATCAGAACCAGGAGACTATTGATTGGGGAAAGGTGAACTAAGGAGAGAATAGAAGGGAGTTAAGGATGATGTAAGGACATTATTAAGGAATCTAGTGAGCTGTATGGCTACCTAGTGAGATGGAGAAGGGAGAAGAAAGGAGGGTTAAAATGTTCTGTTTTTCGTTTTTTGAAAATGATTTATTTATGCATACAAGAGCTGGGGTATAGGCCAGAGGTGCAGGGGGTGAGATGATTCACCAGAGACAGAGTGGGGAGCAGAACAGGAGAATTGACTGAAATACACTGCTGAGGGGAGCAGTGGGCGAGACAGGAGAGGTCTGCTGTGCCATGTAGGCCAGCTCCCTGGCTAGGGATTGAACTCCTGCTGCAGTGGCTTTCAGTAGCTTCACAGTGCTGAGACTTAACCCCTTGCGCCACCAGGGAGGCCCTAAAATGTTTTGTTTTTCAAAGAGCATCATCAAAAAAGTGAAAAGTCAACACAGAGAAAAACTATTTGCAAATCTGATAAGGGGCTTGTATTCAGAAGACACAACTCTTATAACCCAATAATAAAAGATAGATAACTCAATTTAAAAATGTGCAGATTTTGAATAGCTATTTCTCCAAAGAAGAATGGTCAGTAGGTACATGAAAACATGCTCCACATCAACAGTCACAGGGAAATGTAAATAAAAACCACTATGAGATACTATTTCATACCCACTAGGATGGCTATAATGAAAAAGTGACAACAAATGTCAGTGAGGATGTGGAGAAATTGGTATCCCCATATATTGTTGATAGGAATGTAAAACGACGTAGAAACATTAGGAAAATAGGCAGTTTCTCAATATTTTAAACAGTTACCATATGGCTCCATAATTCCACTCTTAAATATTTACCCAAGAGAAATGAAAACACGTGATTACATAAAAAACTTGAATGTTCACAGCAGCTTTATTCACAATAATTCCAAAGTGAAAAAACCCAAATGTTCACAAGCTAGTGAACGAATATACAAAATGTGTAATATTCATGCAATAGAATAGCTGGCAATGAATGAACTTCTGGTACAAACTGCAAAAAGGATAATCCTTAAAAACGTCAGTGAAAGAAGCAGTTACAGCGACCTCATATCAAATACCATTTATTGAAATGTCCACAGGAGTCAAGTTTATGGACACAGAAAGTAGATTAATGATTACCTGGCTAGGGAGTGGTAGGTGGGGAGTTGCCGAGGAGATGGAATTACTTAAAGGCTCTCATTTTGGGGGTGATGAAACTTTTCTAAAATTATAGTAATGCCATGATTGAACAACTCAATATAAAAAAACTACTGAACTGTGTATTTTAAGTAGTACACTTTACAGTATCCATATCTCAAGCTCTTAAATTCAACCTGGGATATATTAATTTTCCTAACTATGCCTGTAAACACTCAAATAACTCTATTCTGGCGCACGTGGGCTGAAGGGGTGTCTGAACAGGTGCTGAGGCCAGTCAGAAGCCTTTGGGGGAGCAACCGGTAGAAATAACAGGGTTCCCTGTAGAAGCGTCCTATTTTCTTCCGCCTCTCTGAGCGAGGCCACGCCCCTTCCTCGTTTCCTAGCAACCGTCGGCCTCCTCCGGCTCGTCCTCCTGCCTCACTCCTGCGTCACTTCCGCCCCGCGGCAGGAAGTGAAGTCAGAGCCGGCAGCTTTCCCGGGAGTTCGGTGTTTGCAGCGTCTGCAGCGGCTCAGAAGTGGCATTTCCCTGGAACTGGCGGCCTCCCCCGTTCTCCCGGGTTCCACTTCCCCTCCGGGTGGGGCGGCCCTCGCGTCCAGAGGGCCTCGAGGGGCCGGACATCCGCGCGAGAGGAAGGCGAGGCCCGGGAACGTGTGGCCCCCAGGGCAGAGGAGGGGGCTGGCGGGGGCAACTCCTGGGGTACCTGCGGCCTCTCTTCGGCCAGACTTCGCCCGTCCGCTGCGGTCCCCGGAGCTTTCCCACTCCCCCCCCCCGCGCACCCCCGAAGTTTCTGGGGGTTGGGGCTTTTCTGCGTCCCTCCCCCAGCATCCCACCTCCTGGCTTTGAAGGACGACCCCTCATAGAGAAGACCCACCCGGCTGCTCACGCCTTTCCCGCTCAGACCCCACAGTGACCCGCCATGACCTCAGAGTGAGCTAGTGACCGACTGTGGCACTCTGAGGCCTGGGGTAATTTATGTGTGTGCGCATGGCGTGAGTGTGTTTATCTGTCCCCGCAACACCTGAGCTAGGAGAATCCTGGACAGTGTAGGGCACGAGTGTATTTTGGTTTACTTTAACATCTCAGCCAGGGTTTGTCCCCGGTGGTTGCAAACCAGACAACTTTGTGCGTTGTTAGCTGGGGGTGGGGGTGGGTGGGGAGAGGAAGGCGCAGTGGAACGAGGCTGGAAGAGCGCAGGTGATACTGCTTTTTTTGATCCCAGCCTGACCTTTTAGGAGCTCAATGACTATTTGTATCAGCTGGTTCCTTAGTTAGTTTCAAGTCTTTAATGTGTTTGTCATTTTTGCTCCAAGAAGGGCACAGGTGATACCGATTTTTTTTGGATCATAGCCTGATCTTTCCGTTGTGACTATTTTTATCAGCTGATTCGTAGTCAGTTTTAAGTTTTTGACATGTTTGTGTCTTTTATCCAAGACTCAAAGATTTTTGGACAGAGACTGTCTTGTAGTAATGTTGTGACCTTCATAGCCCAAACAAAACACACAGTAAAAGTTCATATTTAACTTTCAGAAAATATGCAATTATGATATTTTCAACTTAATATTGAAAAGTCTGTTTAAATATAGTAACACTCTTGGAAAGGATGATGTAAAATGAATCTTTTTAGATCAGTGTGTCCGAAACGTAGAGGCTGCCTATAAGGCTTGTACAGTGCTCTAGTGGAAGAGAAAAAGGGTGCATCTATCTTTGAGGAAGAGACCTGGTAAATAATGGCATTTTATTGCTTGTTTCTTTTCTTTCTCTTTTTTTTTGGTAGGTGTTGTATCCTAATTTACTGACCCATAGCTGCTTGCTGCCATTATGGGAAATCAGCTTGCTGGCATAGCACCTTCGCAGATCCTCTCTGTGGAGAGTTATTTTTCGGACATCCATGACTTTGAGTATGATAAAAGCCTGGGGAGTACTCGATTTTTTAAAGTTGCTAGAGCAAAGCACCGAGAAGGTCTGGTGGTTGTGAAGGTCTTTGCAATTCAGGATCCAACATTGCCATTAACCAGCTATAAACAAGAGCTGGAGGAACTGAAAATCAGGCTTCATTCTGCACAGAATTGTCTACCTTTTCAGAAAGCAGCAGAAAAAGCATCTGAGAAAGCAGCCATGCTCTTCCGGCAATATGTGCGAGACAACCTTTATGATCGCATCAGCACCCGCCCCTTCTTAAATAATATTGAGAAACGTTGGATCGCGTTCCAGATCCTGACAGCTGTGGACCAAGCGCACAAATCTGGAGTCCGTCACGGGGACATCAAGACTGAGAATGTAATGGTCACCAGTTGGAACTGGGTCCTTCTAACTGATTTTGCCAGTTTTAAACCCACTTATCTTCCAGAGGACAACCCAGCAGACTTCAACTATTTCTTTGACACTTCACGGAGGAGAACGTGCTATATTGCTCCGGAACGTTTTGTTGATGGTGGGTTATTTGCCACCGAGTTAGAACATATGAGAGATCCTTCAACTCCACTTGTAGACTTAAATAGCAATCAGAGAACAAGAGGAGAGTTGAAGCGAGCAATGGACATCTTCTCAGCAGGTATTTGAATTGGAATTTGCTAAGAGGAATGTGCATTATTTTAACTTTAAAACACAGAAATGTAGTTTTAAGTCCCCATACTTAACAAAATTAATGGGGACTTTTTAAGTCCCCATACTTAACAAAATTAATTTTCTGCTTTGTTTTCATACATTGTTTCAGATAGATGCAGCATTCTTTCACTGGACATGTGCCTAGAAAATTCACAATAGTGCATTCTTTTATATGTGTGGGACACTGGTTTAAACACTGGAGACTGGGGTTATTGTATCCCTCTTTTCAAGGTGATAGAAGTGATACTGAAAAATGACTTCAGTGGTTTGCTGTGGTGGTGATAAATATAAGGTGCTGTTATAGGGATATGTAGATTTGTATGTTAGTAAGTCACCATGGTGGAGAGGGGTAGAAAGGCAGGATCAGAAAAAGTTTCTATTAGATGTTTGACATTTTAACAGACCAGACAACATGGATGGAGCTGGAAGGGATTATACTGAGTGAAATAAGCCAGAAGGTGACTGGATGGTGTCACTTATATGTGGAATATAGAGAAACCAACAAAGACAAACTTTAAAACCAACCCTTGAAAAGTGACCATGATCTGAGGCATCCAAGGGGGAAGGAGAGGGATAAGAAGGGGGCACCCAAATGGACTGCAGTGGAGGACTATGGGTGCTTTGGTGGTGGGAGAACTATGGTGACCACACCTGAGGGGAGAAATCCTATATTGTCAAAATATTAAAGATGTAAAACAGTGGTACTTCATTAATTAAAAATAAAACATAAACTGAGAGCAGAAAGATAATAGCTAATTTTGGTAAGGATAGTTTTTTTCAGGCAGAGGATGTTTCCTTTACAAAGACTTGAAGACCAGAGCATGGTGCGCTGATATATTAGGACATTTTAAATAGTTCTCGTATCTGGAACAGAGGGTATGAGGTCAGCAAGGCCCAGACCAGAAAGGATCTAGAGGGACATTAGAGATGTGGGTTATAGACAAAATCCAGACTGGAGCATGGCTGTTGGATTGCAGGGGAGCTGCGTTGGAGATGGTAGGTAGTAAATTGCCACAAGCCAGGTACCATGCTCCCCAATGGCTTACAGCTGTGAGAGAATTAGAGAGGGCGTGGAGAGAGGGAATGCTGAAGGGATCATCAGTAGGTTGAATTGTTGGGACTTGGTTGGAAGATGATGTCAAGAACACGCCTTTCCTCCCGCTGGGGAAACCGGGGATGAAGACGCTGGTTACCGAGATAGGAGGAGGAGCAGGCAAGATGATGAGGACTGTACTAGATATGCTGAGTTGAAGGCATCTGGGGGACATCCAGGAGAAGTACAGCGTATGGTTGTCTGTCATGGGGCACAGAGCTTTTGGAATGGAGATGGAGATTTGGGAGTTACCAGGAAATAGGTAGTCACTGTAGCCAATGGAGTAAGAAGTGATTCTGTGGAATCCCCTGAAAGAATCTGATGAAATCATTATCCTCCCTCCCTGGGAAAAAGCACCATGCATTGCTGTGCATTATTTCACATATACAGACCCCAGGAAGCTGTGCCATGGATTCTAGGTGAGTTATAAGCGTCTAGGAGAAGAGGGGGCTTGAAAATGGTATCCTGATGAACACTGCATAGTCTGGCATCAGTGCCATTTTCCACAAATTTTGCAAAGATTAAAGCTAATCTTTTTTTCATTGGTAGGTTTACTGCAAAGAAAAAATGAGCTATAATTTAGAATACATAGGCACAATATCATGACTAATGAAGAAGTCTAGTTCAAGGGAATGAATAAGAATTGTTAGCTTGTATCACACCTCTGTCCATCCATTCAGCTCACTAATCTGTGTCCCAAGACAATCTAGTGGTGGGTGTATTTGGTCAGCTATGGGTAGCCTTCGGACTGTAAATACAAGATCAGAAATAGTCATCAGAATTACAACTTTCTTTTTTTGTTGTGTTTTTTTTTTTTTTAATTTATGCATACAAGAACTGGGGCCTAGGCTACAGGTGTGGGGGTTGAGAGGATTCACCAGAGATAGAGTGAGGAGCCGAACAGGCTGATCTACTAAAATATACTGCTGTGAGGAGCAGCAGGCGAGACAGGAGAGATGAGAGAACTGCTGTGCCATATGTGGGTTAACTCCCTGGCCTGGGATCAAACTCATGCCTGCCCCAGGGGCTGGTGGTAGCTTGATAGCACTGAGACTTTAACCCCTCCCTGCGCCACCAGACAGGCCCCAGAATCACAATTTTCTTGATCATTGAATATTTACATTTTTCTTGAACCATTTTAACATTTTTGAATTTACTGTCTTGTGAGTAGGACTCTTGGCTTAGAAATGTGACCACTTTCTAGCTTTTGGGTATTTTTTAAAATTACATTTAAATTGAGTTAAAATTTTTTTAATTGAGGTGTAATTGACCTATGACATTCGTTTTAGTTGTGCAAGCTAATGATATTTGTGTATATTGCTAAATGATCACTGCAGTAAATCTAGTTTACGACAGTCACCATACATAGTCTAAAATTTTTTTCCTGTAATGATAACTTTTAAGATGTAATCGCTTTCAAATATATATTAGTGTTATCTATAGTCTCATGCTATACACCCATTCCCATGGCTTTATAACTGGTATTTTTAAATTTTAAGGTTGAAGAATTTCTGTTTATCCTTTGTTTTTGCATTATACTTTTGTAAACCTGAAGAAAATTCTTAAATCACCATTTAATTTTCCAGACTAAAGAACCCTACATTGTTTTGACTGAAGATAGGCCTTTGAAAGAGGGCTCGTAAGATTGTTTTCGCATGATTAGATTTAGAAGTACTGAGTAGAGGTACTGCCAAGGTGATGGTGTATCTTCACAGCATCACATCTAGAGGCATATGGCATCTGTCGGGAATGTTAATTTTGATCTCTGGTCAAGGTCTTATCCAATTTCTCTCTTCTGCAATTTTTTTTTTTTTTTCAACTGGTAAGCAAAAACCACTTTAAGACCATGCAAATAATCTTTCAGCCATCACAGTTCCCAGCTCGTTTTGATGTTTAGGAGTGTATTGTTTAATTTCCAATTATTTGTGAATTTTTCAAATTTTCTTCTATTACCGAGTTCTTACTTTCATTCCATTGTGGTTTCAAAGACATAATTTGTATGCTCTAAATCCTTTTAAGCTTCCGTGGCTTGTCTATGATCTAGTCTGTGGTCTAATCTGGTGTTTCATGTGTGCTTGAGAACAATGTGTACTTTTCTTTGTGCTTTGCTATTGTTGATTTAATTGTTCCTTTGATGTCTTTCAGACTCACTTGGTTTGTAGTGTTGTTCAGGTCTTCTGATTCCTTCGTGTTGATGGGATCTTGAATAGCTATTTTAAATATTCTCTAGAACTTGACACTAGGTAGAGAAATTAAGAAATCTGTTGGGGGTTTACAGGTGTCAGAAACTGTCTTAGTTGCTGGAGTTTTTTTAGTGAACAAAATAGGACAATTCCTTCCTTACGGAGGTTGCATCCTGGTGGCTGTACAGACAAGACAGAAGTAAATACATTAAATACATTGGGCAGTTGGTGCCTTGGGGAAGATACCACAGAAAAGGGAGAATGTGACAGACAGAGAACATGGGATAGCTGTGGGGATAGGACTTGTGATTTTAAATTGGGCAGTTAAGGCCTTACCGCTGAGACGACATCTGATTAAAGCCCTGAAGAGGTCGAGGTACAAGCTATGTGGATATGGGGAAGCGGGTAGAGGGGTAGATTCCATTCCAGCCAGAGGGCCCAGCGGATGCAAGGCTGTGACAAAGGTTATTTAAGGATTTCTTTTAGACTTTAACTCCATGCCACACAATGATTTGGTGGAGCCTTTTTGTCCTTTTGAGAATGTAGATACTTTTTTTTTTTTTTAAGATTTATTTTTATACATGAGCTGGGGTATAGGCCAGAGGTGTGGGTGGTGAGAGGAATCACCAGAGACATGGGGAGCAGAGCAGGCAGAAGGACCGAAGTACACTGCTGAGGGGAGCAGCGGGCGTGACAGGAGAGGTCTGCTGCGCCATGTGGGATTCTTGCCTGCCGGCCAGGATTAAACCCACACTGCAGAGGCTGTGGACAGCTTCACGGTGCGGCGCTCAACCGCCTGCGCCACCACGGAGGCCCCTGTTGTATTAAAATTTTAATCCAGTTAACTTGGGGTTTTGTATTTTTTGTTCTGTGAATTCTTATTTTTAATGGAATTTTATATCTATTTTCCAGGTTGTGTAATAGCTGAACTTTTTACAGAAGGCGTGCCACTGTTTGATCTTTCTCAACTTTTGGCTTATAGAAATGGACAGTTTTTCCCTGAACAAGTGCTAAATAAAATAGAAGATGGCAGTATCAGAGAATTGGTAACTATGCTACAAATATTTGCCATAAAATTTTTAATAAAATTATGTTCTCATTTTTACATTAGTTTGCTCTTTAGAATGTTACGACTGTGGAACAAAGCAACAAAGCCCCATAAACTAATTCAAACAGTCTGTTGATTTTACTTTGTAAAATGTTGTATGATTTTTGGGAGAATGTATAATTTTTACTCTTCTCAGAAACAGCTCATTTGACTTAATATTTATATACATATACATGTATCTTCCCATTATGCTCCTTAGTTTTGCTGTGGACAGATTTTGTAACAGGATCCCTGCAGGTTGGAGAGTTGTTCAGGATAGACCTTCCAAGAAAGAAGTGAAGAAGGCATGTATGTAAAATGAGGACAACAGGAAGCATCAACTTTCATATAGCAGTGTAGGGCCATTTTATATGGCTGCTGGTAACTTTGTATGACTTTGATCCTGAGGGCAGTTCTGGAAAGGGAACTATAGAATCACAAGTTAGTATAGCAGAACAGATATGAGGAATTTATATTGCCGTTTGAGTGGATCTTTAAGGTAGTCAGTACAGTGATTGATGCTGATGCTGATGGCCTTGAATCGTGGAAAGGTTATAGTATTTTTTAAAATATTCGTTAGTAGGTAGGGAAATAGACATTTTCTTTTTTCTTACAAAATGGCAAATAATAAAAGCCAAGATGCTTCAGAGTGAGCCAGTATTTAGCTCATATTCATTGCACAGTGCTCCTGATTAGGAATTGGCATAACTGACTGTTCTTTCTTAAAAATGGCAGTGATTTGTCTTGGTACATTGGCCAAGTAACTTGTGAATATGGACCTATGATTTCTTAACTGTGAGAGGAATGGATTTGGCTAACCTTTATGGTTTAATTCAAATGTGAAAGTAATCCTATTAAAGTTACCTTTTCTTATGTATAGTACATTTGATTTTCCCAAATTCAGTGCTAGCCTTCTGTTTGGAATATAAACAAAGTTAAAATAACTAGATACATATTTTGTATTTTGTATATTTAAATAATGATGACTAATACACTGAGGGTCTAGGAAAGAGACTGAACTTTATATTGAAAAAAATATTTCCCTTTTATGCTAGCAAACACAATAGATTCACATAGGTTATATCATTTCTAGTGTTCACAGGATTTAACATCTCTTTTATATTTTGAAAAGTTCGAAGTACTGATGCCTTTTGACCAGACCCTAGAGCCACACACTTAACCCATGTATTCCTTGTGGTAATAGGATTCTAATCTAGATTCTAATATGTAAATAGATTTCAGGGGTTCTATGATTCTTTTCAGAATTGTGTACAATTTTGTATACAAAAATTGTGTGTGTACATTTTTCTTTGGAGAAAATTCCATTTCTTTCCTCAGATTCTCAATGGTTATCTCCTGCTAAGAAAACTAAGGATCCTTGAACTGTGAGCAGTAGTGTGTTATTTCCCTGTCTTAATAAATAGGGAATATTGAAAGGATATTTCTCCTCTTTGTGTGTTTGGGCCATCTGTAATAATGTGTAATTTTCTAGTGCTTTCTAAGACAAAAATAGAATTACTTATTACTCAGTAATCAGGTCCTGGTTAGTTTAGAAGGTAAACATTGAGCATAGTCAGACTTACCTTGAAAATCCATTAAGTCTGGTGTCACATTTCCCCTCATAGCTTTCATCTAATTTAATTTGCTGTTCTCAAGTCTATTTTTTATTCCCTTTCTCCCCTTGGTATAGGTAACTCAGATGATTCACCGAGAACCAGATAAACGGTTAGAGGCAGAAGATTACTTAAAGCAGCAGCGCGGCAATGCCTTTCCTGAGATATTTTACACTTTCCTTCAGCCATACATGGCTCAGTTTGCCAAGGAAACATTTCTCTCTGCAGATGAGCGTATTCTGGTTATACGGAAGGATTTGGGCAACATCATTCACAATCTCTGTGGACATGATCTGTCGGAAAAAACAGAAGGCGAGCCGAAGGAAAATGGACTGGTCATCTTGGTGTCTGTTATAACATCTTGCCTACAGACCCTTAAATACTGTGATTCCAAACTTGCTGCTTTGGAACTAATTCTCCATTTGGCCCCAAAATTAAGTGTAGAAATTCTTTTGGATCGTATTACTCCCTACCTTTTGCATTTCAGCAATGACTCTGTTCCTCGAGTGAGGGCTGAAGCCTTGAGGACGTTGACCAAAGTTCTTGCTCTTGTCAAAGAGGTTCCTCGAAATGATATTAACATCTACCCAGAATATATTCTGCCAGGCATAGCTCATTTAGCCCAAGATGATGCTACTATTGTTAGGCTAGCCTATGCTGGTAAGAGTTTATTGTCCAGCTACTAACCATTCATATTTTTTTAAGTTAGTGACTATAATCATACCTCATTTCTGTAATTTGGTTGGGAATTCCAAGTGAACTTTAGTCCTTGAACTATTTGTGTACATTTTAGTTATATTTATAGCTAATCTGTTCATGGAACTCAGCTTTTGAATGTATTCTTGTTTTCAAAGTGATAAGAATTAACAAGTAAAAAGTACATAATATAGACTTTTACCGTTTTATTGGGAGTATTACATTTAATTTGGAGTAAGACTCTTCTAGACAAGTATGTACTTCTGATCTAGGGTCTTTGGGCCTGCATAAAGTTTTTTGACCACATATGTTTATTTGAATATAAGGTTTAAGATGTGACAGTTTATTACTGTTGAAAAAGTTTGATTTTGCTGGTAATTGTCGAAAGAAAGCCTGCTAACTTACTGAACTTAAGGTTCTTTTAGGTACTACAGTGCTTAGGATGTATGGCTTCTTTGTGATGAGGTGGGTGTGTTATTGGGCACACCTACCTGTTTTACTTGTAATTCTCACTCGAAAAAATCAGATGATACAGATTTATGCACCTGAAATTAATTCCAAATGCTATTTCTGCATGGAAAATGTCATCGAGACATTTACATAATTCCATAATTTATTTCTAAAATGTAATCACGCAAATCAAGGACTCTGGTTTGCAGTCTTTGTAAGCAGAATTTAAAATATATGTGGTGATGATAGTGTCTCTTTTTGGAAGGATACTAGCTTAATTCATTTTATGATTTTCCTGTAATTATTTTAATGGAACATGTGACAAATGGTTTTTGAAGTCTGACTTTATCTTTTAGCATATCCACAAACTGATTGGTGGTTGTAGGGTGGTTTTTTTCTCCTTACACAGTATGTTCTCATTTAACATTGTTAGTAGATTCTTGAAAAGAATATATAGCAAAAGCAGATCCTGCAATAGTGTCTTTTTGTTCATTGTCAGCCCAGAATTTTTCTTTCTCATCATTAGAATGAAATGATGTTATTGGAAGACCTGTAATATATGTTTATTTAAATTTCTTCATCTGCCTATCTACCTCTTTATCATTTCTGGTTTCCATAAATGTTCATGTAAACTTCAGGCCTAGAAAATCCAGGATTTGTTTAAATAATTTATCATCTGTGGCAAAGCATATTTGTGACTTACTCGACAAATGTAAATAATTGCACCAGATAAAATGAAGGAAAAGTTTATAGGTTTATCTCTAGTTAAAAGTTTATCTCTAAAGAATTTCAGGACTTATTTTGGCCCAGTATATCTTACTCCATTTCTTAATTGTGTAAAATAGGTAAGGTGTGGCTATATAGTGCCGGGTATACGTACTGTTGACCCTTGAGCAGTATGGGTTTGAACTGCACAAATCCTCTTGTATGTGGACATTTTTCTGTCTGTTGGTTCTGCTTTGACAGATTTAACCAACCACAGAATTTTGTTGTTTCCATCTGCAGACATGAAACTTACAGCTAGAAAGGACCAATTCTTTTCTCTCTTTTTTAAGATTTTATTTATACAAGTGCTGGGGTACAGGCCAGAGTCATGGGGCTGGGGGAAAGGCGGTGAGAGGATTCACCAGGGACAGTGAGGAGCAGAACAGGCAGATAGACCAAAAGCACTGCTGAGGGGAGCAGGAGGCGAGACAGGAGAGGTCTGCCGCACCATGTGGGTATATCCCTGGCTGGCCGGGAATTGAACTGGTGCTGCAGAAGCTCTGGCCAGCTTCACAGCACTGCGCTCAACCTGCTGTGCCATCAGGGAGGACAGGAAGCACCAATTCCTAAGTTGCACACCAATTTTTGGATGCCTAGGGTTTTGTGTCCCTAATTGCACATTGTTCAAGGGTCAGCTGTTTTGACCTTTCAATTACTAATAATCATAGCATAAAAATAATAGCTACTATTTATTGAAAAACCTACTGTGTGTCAGGGCATCTACTGCTCATGATTGTTACAAGAGTTCTTAAAATCGATTTTTAATTTTTTTTTTAACCAGTAGTTTTTAACTCAGATGCTGTTATAGATTTGTATTCTGTATAAACTCTAAAGTATTTTATGGTTTGTGAACTTAAATGGAGAAATAAGCATAGATCTAGCCAGACTTTAGAGGTGCCTAGGAAAGAAGAGCCTTTACTTAGTAATCACCAAAGTGGTGATACTCCTCTAGGATTTAACTTCTTATCCCAGGATGACCCAGAATTCTCCCATCTTCTTCCTGTGAAGCGGGCGTTATAGGGTATTAATATCTTGCCTACTTGGAGATAAATTTTTGTTCTATTCAGAACAATTTTGAACCTAGTAGAGGTGGGCAGTTGGAGACCAAGATGGAGGGAATCATTGCATTTGTTAAACTCCGAAATCTCAACTATTGTGAGATGCATCTCAATTTCAGAGGTGTTTAAAAAGTAAAAAAATGAGTCCAAGAATCATTAAAATAGGGTAGTTCAACTTTACGGTGAGTGCTGCTCACTGCAGAGTAGGGAGAGTGGGTGCAGTCTGAATTGTATGGTCATGTGTCAGGCAGAGACATACGAGGGAAAGAAGAGAGAGAGACACATGAGTGGATGAAATGGAAGGAAGGAAGTATAAGCAAAGAGAAGATGAAATTGATAGCAAATGTGACAGTAGTGAGGCATAACAGCCTTCGATAAACAAATACATTATCAGAAAGGAGAGAAAATAGACACTGCAGAAGCGTGGCAAATAGACTGATACTTTACTTAGGATGTCATCTGTCATAGTATCACTTGGAAGACTACTTAACAATGGTTGATTCAGCCTGCCACTGGCTCGTTGTCGTATTTATTTGTGAAGAAACAAACTCAATGGTTGGTTAGCCAGCCAACTAGAATGTGGCTAGGTTGAGATTTGATCCAAGATCTGTGTGATTCTAACCGCCCACCTTGATATTTTACTGAATTGTGAATGTTTTTCTGTTAGTCTAATGTCAGGATATTATTAAAGGGTAGATCTTTGTAGAGGGATTAAGGTTTTTTGTTTGTTTTTTCTTATTTCATTTGAGTGCTGTATTTTGGTGGGGTTTTTTTTGGTATTAAAAATATGCTTGTTTCGTTATTAAGACTGGTAGCTTGGGATAGTTGTAGATTACAAGCTAACTTACTAAACTAATTAGGTTAAATGTTAAATTGAAAATTCCTCCATTGCCTCCTTTGTTTTATGATTATATGTATATGGACTTAGGCAAAGTTATAAGCATTACAAAGGTTTACGATGATAATTATAAATGTTCTCCCTTTATCTTACAGAAAACATAGCTTTGCTGGCAGAAACAGCTTTGAGATTTCTGGAATTAGTACAATTAAAAAATCTCAATATGGAAAATGACCCAAATAGTGAAGAAATAGAAGAAGTTTCACATCCCAATGGAAATTATGACACAGGTAATATGATTTTTCTCTTTGAGATTTCTTGTTAATTTAGAATGAATTGCAAATTGGCACAAACCTACCATTTATAATTTTCATGGAGACAAAAGAATACCAGACACAGATGGGAAGGCCCCTGATGTCTGACTGTTCTCTCTATTCTTACATCCTGTTATCTAGCCAGGAAATGATGAGCTTGTCACCACAGATTCTAAGCTCAGTGCTTTTCAGCCAGAATTGATTTGTGTTAACAGTAATGCTAACTGAATTATATAATTCTTAGAGGGAAAAAAAAGGCAAAAACACTGGAAACTTCATAACAAAAGAATCTAAATCTGTTGTCTTTATATGAGAGTGTATTCTGAGTATTCTCAATCAGAAACTGTGTATTTCATAATATATGATCATATAGAAACCCACATCTTTTACTGTAAAGGAGCAGATATGATGGTAAATTCTTTTGCGTTTAGGGTCCTTTTGGAAGTTTTATCTACATCCATACTGTTCTTTTTTTTTTTTTTTTTTTTTTTTAAAGATTTATTTATTTATTTACTTATATAAGCACTGGGTACAGTCAGAAGCGTGGGAGGGTGAGAGAATTCACCAGAGCCAGAGCGGGGAGCAGAGCAGGCAGAAGGACCGAAGTACACTGCTGAGGGGAGCAGCGGGCGGCTGGAGAGGTCTGTGCACCATGTGGGACCCTCCTCCAGTGGCCGGGGAACAGCCGGGGATCGAACCGGCGCTGCAGAGGCTACAGGCAGCTTCGCAACCCAGCGCTTAACCGCTGCGCCACCAGGCGGGCCCTATACTGTTCTTAATAGGCTTTTATTTAATGTTTATTGAGTAAAAATTTAAAAGTAAAATAATATACTTAGATCTGTTCCAAGATGTTTCTAGTTGAGAAAAACTAGAGAAATCTAGTTTTCAGATTTTTATTCTATAGACAACTGAAAGGACTGTTCTGGTTATTTATTATGATAGAATGGTATCGTTTTAGATAGCATATGTTATCTGGAATTGAGGACAACAGAATTTTTTATTTTATATGACAACAGAATAATTTTGAACTTACAGAAAGACTTGTCTTACATTTTATTACATTAATTAGATCTTTTTACATAATGGAGTTAGGTGTTAAAACTTCTACGGAGTTGTCTTAACATTAATACATGTAATTTTGAATATCAGTTCAGCCTTTCCCTTGACAGTGGCTGTATCGGAGGATCTTCTGCCCTCATTCATTTAGCTAGTGAGTAATTGTTAAACATATGGTCTGTATTAAGCAGTTTCGTGTCTGCTCTAAGTACTAGGGGTATAGTGGTAAATCAGACAGAACAGATACCTGCTCTTGAGCTTGTGTTTTAATATGGGAAAGACAGACAAGTAAATACGTAAATGAGAAGGGGAGGTTGGGTAGGAGGTAAGCTTGGAGACGAAGGCAATGGCCAGGTCATGTAAAACCTTCAGAGGACTTACAGTGTATTTTCTGGCTTTCTAAAATATATTAACTGACCTTTGAAAACACTTTATAAAAGTATTGCCCTGTACTGTCAGATTATATCCTGAACTAATCTAGTATTTTCAGCTCTTGGCTAAGTTGATTTTCTTGGGTAGTGTGGTCTTCCTGGTGCTTCCCATGGTTTTCTCCTTGAGCCTCATGAATAGGACTATTTAATTAACAAGATGGTAACGGTGCTTGTGGAATCTCTTTGCTAGGATGTTCTTCAGTTTATGTATCATTTTGCCATCTCTCCTTCAGAGCTTTGAGTAGGGTGATACTTAGTGATTGCAGATTTTCAGCGGTAAATTATGTAATTATTCTATCCCTGAGGAGTAAGAAAGCACTGGGTCTATTGTTGATCTATTTTTACTTTTTTTGTTTTTTTAGAGCTTCAAGCCCTACATGAAATGGTCCAGCAGAAAGTTGTCACTTTGTTAAGTGATCCTGAAAATATCGTGAAACAAACCTTAATGGAAAATGGAATAACCCGGCTGTGTGTGTTTTTTGGACGTCAGAAAGCCAATGATGTTTTATTGTCCCATATGATCACTTTCCTAAATGACAAGAATGATTGGCATCTACGTGGTGCTTTTTTTGATAGTATAGTTGGTATGTTTTTTCTCCTGTTTTCAAATTTTGTCTTTAAGATTTTGGATTGTCTTAAATATTCATGCGATCTCGGCAGTGATACTGTTAACAAATTTCATTAATAATGAAATGAGTTTCTAGTCTCTTGTTAAGCTGCTTTTGGGTGATAGGAATACCTTAGTTGATCAAGGGATTGGTTAATTAACAGCGATAGGTTCATATGAAGGAATACCATGTGGTCATTGAAAACTGTTTTGTGTATGTTTTTTTCCTTCTTAAATTTTATTAATTTGCTAATTGTTTATATATCTGTCTAAATTTGGGGAGTATAACTTCACACCTCTGTATGTACACATGCTTCACTCACCTTCCATTAGAGCTCCAGTGCCAATACCCTGTCCTAGTCCCTGCTTTATACCCACTCCCACCTCCGTTTCCCTCATCCCCTCTGATAATCACTATATTTTTCAGAGACTGAGAGTTAATTTTGTTGTTTTTCTTTGGTTATTTATATTCTGCAGCTAAGTGAAACCATCCACTAACTGTCTCTTGTTTTCTGACTTAGTTCACTTAACATCATCACTTCAAGGTCCATCTATTTTTTTCCCCCAAAAGGCACCATTTTATCTTTTTAGATACCTGCATAACATTCCATTGTGTATTCCACAATTCCAGTCATTTGTCAGTGGGCATTTCAAGCTGATTTCATGTCTTGTCTTTTGTGAACAGTGCTGTTATCAACATAGGAGTGCATTTTTTGATTGGGTTGTTTTTTGTTGTTAAGTTGTATGAGTTCTTTCTTTATCTAGGAAATTAACCCTTGTTGGATATATGATGTGAAAATATCTTCTCCCAGTCCATAATTTGCTCTTTTGTTTTTGGTGGTTTTTTTAATGATACAAAAGCTTTATCGTTTTGTAACCCAGTACATCTCTGTAGTTGGTTGAATTGTCAATTAACAGTTACTTGTATTATCCGCCAAAAGTAACAAAAGAAGAGAGAAACAGGCATTAAGCTCATTGTACCCCAAATCAGAAGTAGAATCAGTAAGAGATAATGTACTATTTATATTTGCTTTACCATAATTCCAGTGCCATGACCCTGTATCACTTAATGAATATGTTTATAGCATCCAGGTCAACAGAGTCCTCTTTCTGTTCTCTACCAGTTACTAATACATTGCACATTTTAATTTCATATAGATACCGTGACTTTCTTGTTTTGGAGTTTTAAATTGCTTTGTTTTCCTTTTAAGGTAAAAGTAATATAATAACTTTCTTCATCTTGTCTGTGATATCTAGTTTCTTTCTTACTAATTTTATTTATTGCTTGTAATCTAATCCACTTTTCTACTTGGGAATAATTTTGAAATTTATTAGCTTTTTGTTGTAATTAGTCAGATTGATTTCTGTTTCTTTGCTAGCTGTTCTATTTCCCTCACCGCCTTTGAATTCCTGGGGTATGTCTTCCATTTTATACATTCTGCCTCCATCTGTATTTTGCTGGCGTACATCCTCAGTAAACTTTCTTAGAAGGGGTTGTATGTGAGGCAAACCTGTGTAGCCCTTGTATGTCTCAGAATGACATTATTTTTCTTATTCACAGTTTGAGTACAAAGTTTCTTTTAGACCTTGAAAGTGCTGCTCTGTTGTGATCTGACCTCCATTGTTGCTGCTGATCATCTGATACCACTCTGATTCTCTTTCATTTTTAGGGTACTTGTATTTCTTTCTGTAAGTTCATAGGTTCTTTTATTCCCTTGGAGTTCTTGATTAGTTGCTTTGCTGTGGGTCTTTTTCATTTATCATGCTGGGTAGGAAATGTGATTTATATTTTTGGCTTTTGATTATTTTACGTAGTCACATTTATACTGTGAGATATAGGATGATCATGTAATGTTGCTTCTCTTTTTTCAGGTGTTGCTGCTTATGTTGGCTGGCAAAGCTCATCAATTCTCAAACCCCTGCTACAACAAGGACTTAGTGATGCTGAGGAATTTGTTATTGTGAAAGCTCTTAATGCCCTTACCTGTATGTGCCAGTTAGGGCTGCTGCAAAAACCACATGTATATGAATTTGCCAATGATATTGGTAAGTTTTTGTTTTTCACAATAAAGTTGGAAAAATGTGGGTGTGGGAAGAGAAATAACAACTGATAGATCATTTAAAAATTCTAGGCAGTATTGTCAGATGTTCCACTTTATTCTTGTATTGTGTGTACACGCATGCTCCTGCCTATATATATGCATGTGTGTCTGTGTCTGTATGTATGTAAGAGACAGGCAAAGAAACAGGATCATTTGGTCTCCCAGCCCAGGTTGGGCAATAGCTCTTTATTTTTATCTGTAGTTAATTTTTGAGATTCTTGAAAAATGAAGATTTATTTATTTATTTATTTTTGTTTAACATGATGTAACTGAAGTATTTAACTTCTGAAGAATCAACTTGTATTTTTTTTTAAATTTTTTAAAAATTTTTTTAAATTGTAATTTTTTTTAAATTTTAAATTAAATTTAATTTTTTAAAAATTTTTTAGATTTTAAATTTTTAAATCCCAGAGGCATGGGAGGGTGAGAGGATTCACCAGAGACAGAGTGGGGAGCAGAACAGGCAGACAGACTGAAAGCACTGCTGAGGGGAGCAGCGGATGAGATAAGAGAGGTCTGCTGCGCCATATGGGAATCTCCCTGGCCGACCTGGAATCGAACCCGTGCTGCAGAGGTGGCAGACAGCTTCAGAGTGCTGTGCTCAACCTGCTGTGCCACAGAGGACGCCCAACTTGTATTATTTTGGATGCTTGACCACTAGTCATGTTGGAATTGGATATTGGATATGGAGGATTGTCTTTGACATCTACCATTACTGATTGCCAATTAAGAATTCATGGTGCTGAAGTTACAACTATTAGTAATTTTATTAACAAATGAAAGGACCTCATCCATTGACCTTCATGACACTTACTTCCCTGAACTTAAAATTTGATTAGGAGCGAACAAGTAAACATGATGTGATCTAAAATTAAGACATCTGGAACTTCTTATCACTTGATTTTGAGAAAGTTAGTAGTATAAGATTACAAGTAGCTCTGTACTGGGAGGACATGAAATCTTAGAAAATTGCCTTTTTAGATAAAAACATGTAATTGCTTCCAAGGAAAATTAAAAGATGCCAGAATTGGTTAGACTTGGTTTTTCTTGCGCAATCCTCAGAGGAAAAAGGCAAAGGAGTTACTTTAATTGATGAGAAGCTAGATGGCAGTTGGTAGATATACATAACATTTCTGGAAATTTTAAAAGCATGTATAGAGGTTTGTAAAAAATTATGGTAATTTTAAGTATATGTCAATTCTTATTTTGCACTTTAATACTGTATAATTCTTTTAGTTTATAACCTTGATTGGGTTTGAGTTTTTTGATGATTATGTTAAAATGATTACAATTTTTTTTTTTTAAAGGTTTATTTATTTATGCATACAAGAGCTGGGGCACAGGCCAGAGATGCGGGGGGTGAGAGGACTTGTCAGAGACAGAGTGAGGGACAGAATAGGCAGACTGACTGAAATACACTGCTGAGGGGAGCAGTGGGTGAGACAGGAGAGGTCTGCTGCACCATGTGGGTTGCTCCCTGGCTGGCTGGGGATGGAACTTGTACTGCAGAGGCTGCGGATTGCTTCATAGTGCAGTGCTTAACCTCTTGCATCACCAGGGAGGCCGAAAATGATTACACATTTTATAGAGAACTGTTGATATTGGCAGCACAGTCATAAGAATGAGGGAAAAAAACACATTGAAATGTTTTTGGTTTTTCATATAGAATATTGACCCTTGAGAGAGTTATATCTCTATTTTTCCCAATTTTTAAGAGCTGAGAACTTCAAAACCAGAAATTAGTATTATAGTAGAACAAAAGATAATAGATTTTTAAAATTTTTGGTCCTGCATGATGTAAGTCAGATCCAGAAGGCAATTTTCAAAATGATATTAAAAAGAAAATACATCATCTTTTTTTTTTTTTTTTTTTTTTTTGGGACCCTGGCTAGCGGCCAGGGAACAAACTGGTGTTGCAGAGGCTGCAGGCAGCCTCACAGCCCAGCGCTCAACTGCTGAGCCACCAGGGGAGGCCCGAAAATACATCATCTTAACACACATATCTTGCTACCTGCAAGTGTGTTTTCCTGCTCATTCTCATTTTCTGAATTTTTACATCAGTGTTTTCTTTTTTCTTCTGTAAGTGGCGTTACCCCTAAATGGTTGAGCTCTTTTTCCTTTTATCATCTTTATTTTAATGACTTTGTATATAAACATGTACTCTTATACTCAGAAATTATTTTTGAAATTTAGTATAACTTATAATAACATTTTGTTTATCTGAAAAATAGATGTCCACCAATTGCTAAGCAAAAATCATCAAACTCAGTTTTTCACCCCTCAAATTTTGCCAAGATTTTCATGCACCCTGCTGTTTCTAGTCATTGATTATAGGATGAACTTGTGGGGTACTTTATGTATCTTAGCATCACAATAAATTGTTACCTTTAGGTATTGAATAACCCAGTGTGGTGCAAGTTGTTGGATGGTGAAGACCCTTAGAACTGGAACTGAGTGTGGTACCACCTATTGGGGAAAGAGAGGAATCTTTGCTGAGAAAAATAAAATCTTTTGTCGGTATTTTAAACTACTTAAAAAACAAACAAACAGTTCTTAGTAACCTAGAAATACCCACCTGCTTAAAGTATATGATAAACTAGAATCTCTGTTGTGGCTCTAAACCATACTTAGCTAGCCTGTTGTAGTCCACCTTAAAGGGGATCGTGGTGTTGATTGCTGGAAGTTCTGTGGTAGTTCTTCTAAAAATGGCTCTCTTCTGTGCTCACTTTCTCTGAGGCTTATATTCAGATAACTGAAATGTAATGGACGGAGAAAAGATGGGATATTACTGCATTATAAGGAGGTCTCCTTTTGGTTTCTTGTCTGTGGATGTTTGAGGTGCTTTGTATCAGTTAGCTCCTTGTGGATACAAAGAATGCCATACATAGCCACAGAAATCTCATAACACTTCAGTAGTGTTTATCAGGCATCTATGGGCTGTGCAGGGGTCTCTGCTGTAGGCTTTGCATCTCCAGGGTCTCTGTGGTGACTCTGATTGATCTGTCTTATTCTGGGGCCCAGGTTAGAGGGGCAGCAGCTGCCTGGGTTATGTTGTGGGTGACGGCAGGAGATTGAGATAGCACGCCTAGCCTCTGTTGCATCCACTGCTATCCCATTGGCAAAGGCAGGTAAGATGAGTGACCTGAAAGCAAGAGGCAGAGAAGTCCTCTTTGTCCAACGTGAGCACATGGCAGGAGCCACCATGTAGGACATCCACAGAAAGAAAGGGGGCCAGGAATTCAGCCTCACAGAGTGCCTGCTTCTTGCCAGGTTTTTTTGAATTTAATTACTTTTGGGGTTTTTTTTTTTTTCAGTGTTTTTCTGGTTGTCAAAAGGAAGCTACCAGCCCCCCTTGTTGGAGGCCATAGAGGCTCCAGGGTGTTTATGAAATAATGAAAAGCCTTCTCCATGTAATTAGAATTGGAAATGGGAGAATTTTGGCAACATTTATGTTGAACAAATCTTTTCTCCTTCCTCCTTTTATATAAATAACATTAGCATGTGACAGTACCTTATTTCTCTGTTAGCATGGATTTCTTTTAAATATGCTCTGAATCCTGATGTTTTTGCTTGCTCAATGCAGAAATTTTTTTCTCTCAGAAGTTTGAATTTATCCTAAATCTTATTTTGGTTAGGTGAAGTCATTGATTTGGGGTTTAGGACACAAAATAGTGAAAAGTGGTGAAGAGACATTCACTTAATTTTTCTGGTTTAAGTTTATATTTTAAATTCTTTAAGAATAGGCTCATGGGGGCCTCCCCTGGTGGCGCAGCGGTTGAGCGCTGGGTTGCAAAGCTGCCCGCAGCCTCTGCAGCGCCGGTTCGATCCCCGGCCACTGGCGAGGGTTCCACATGGCGCGCAGACCTCTCCTGCCGCCCGCTGCTCCTCAGCAGTGTATTTCTGTCCTTCTGCCTGCTCTGCTCCCCACTCTGGCTCTGGTGAGTCCTCTCACCCTCCCACACTTATGACTGTACCCAGTGCTTGTATAAATAAATAAATAAATCTTTAAAAATAATAATAAAAAAAAAAGAATAGGCTCATGGTTTGTACCTTTTTTGTTTTCATTCATAATGCCTGGGAATGAATTTATGAATGATGTATCAGATGGCATTATTTCCTTAATGTTTATCCCTTGGGGAAAAAACTGCTTCTCAGTTTCTTTACCCCTCTGTAGTAGAGGGTATGTCCTTGGGCTTCTGTGGGTAGTAGATGGGGGAGTAATAGTTTGCATATATAATGTTCAAGTAGTTTTTATACCCAGTCTTATAAATGAGTAGGTGCCCACCTATTAAGTGAAATATCTATTTAAATCCTTAGAAAAGAGACTTTTTGTTCTTTTATGTTATTGCTGAGATTTATGACAGGGAATGTTGTTGTTATTATGTTTGAATTTATGACAGGATGATTGAATTTGTGGGGACTCCTGATAGGGACCATTGTGGTATAATCCCTTTATCAATTATGTTATGCAGTGAAAATTTGTTTATAAATTAGTTTGAAAAGTATTAGATAGTTTGAAAGTATTTCTGAACATGAATTGATCCTTATTTTTCATTTTGCTCTGTAGCTCCCTTCCTGTGCCATCCCAATCTGTGGATCCGCTACGGTGCTGTGGGGTTCATCACAGTGGTAGCTCATCAGATAAGCACCGCTGATGTCTACTGCAAACTGATGCCTTACCTTGACCCGTACATTACCCAACCCATTATACAGGTATGCATTTTCCAACTTGGTGTCAGTTCTCCTTCCAAAAACCTGTGCCACTTTAGAAACTGTTGGGAATCAGTTCTATATTTATTTAATCTATTTTTAAAGATTTAAATTGGGTACAACATTTTCACATTCCTTTCAAAGTAGTTAACCAGCACTTTTGAAGATGAGAAAAATTCAAGAGAATATGAGGTTACACATTATGTTAATGCATGCTATAGACCTCAGGGTTCATACTTTTCATTTGTGTAATGTTGTAAAACATCTGTTAAAGTGGAATGTAATCTAGCAGAGATGTATATTGATTTCTTTTTATTCTAAAAAGTATAACTGATTTCAGCTCAAGTCAGCATTTATAATAAATTAGAAGACGCTCTTTCAGGTGCTTGTTTTTTGGACCACTAAATTGGTTCTGGTTTTTTCCATTTTGAGTCTAATGCCCCTGCCCCTCCCACACCCCCTCCACCCCAATAGTAAAGTTGATGATAAACTTTTTTTCTTTGGTTTGTACAAGGCAAGTTTTTTATCCAACTTGTTGGGGTTTATACCCTTCCTCTTGCTGGACAGCTAAGAATTAAAATATATACTTAAATTGGACTATTGAGGGATGACTGACTTAAAACATCCTGAAATATCCTATTTTTACTAAAACTCAGTTTCTCATTTACAAATTCACATGCCTTTCTGGCTCTCTCCTTGTTCCATTCTATGTGCCTTCCTTTTGGCTGGAGAAAACGGCTTTGGATCTCCCTTGGGAACAAGGAGGTGTTGGTTGTGCCTTCAGTTTTTATTTTTCCCCTAGAGTCATCATTTTTGGGGATCATTATTCTTCACTTCATAGAGTTTGCTGAATTTATTTTTATCCTTTGTTGTGGGTTCTTGGACCCACTTTCAGTGAATGTATGAGTAGCGGCTTTCCCATGCCAACCAGCAATCCCCAGACTTCAGGTCGTTATTGTGAGCCTAGATTATCTGTACTTCTGTGGCTCTCAGTCAGAGGGTCCCAGACCTCCTCCCCAGGTTTGATTAACATGGTAGAATGGCAGATAGACCTCAGGAAACTCATTTAATCACTAAATCACCAATTGATTACAAAGGATATCAATAGCCTGATGAAGAGAAACACAGGGCGAGGTCTTGGACCAAAACACAAGAGTTTCTATCCTAATGGAATTTGGGGTCAGGCAGGGCATCTTGGAAGCTTCCTGAATCCCTCTCCTCTTGAGATTTTATGGATGTTTCATTCCCCAGGCTCTTGAACTCCTTGCCATTGACAATTGAACTTTGTCTCCAGCCCCTCTCTCATCCCTGATTTAAAGGGGTTGGGATTGAATGTCTTACTCTCTAGTCAGGTTGGTTTCCCTAGCAACCAACCCCCATCTCTGGAGTTTACCAATGGTTATTTTCATCAACATAACATGAAAGTTATTTTTAACACTTTAAACCCTTAGGAAATGCTTAGGCTTTTGGGGAAGCTGTGAAATGAGAACTGTGGATAAAGACCAACATGTGTGAGATTTTTATTTTGGTCATCTGAACGGCCAAATATATATACTTCCTATAAATTACAGCACATAACCCAGTGAAAATTTATGTATACATAAAAGATGGATAATATACTAGGAAAATGCCTTTTTTTTTTTTTTTTTTTTTTTTTTAATAGAGGCATGTTATTTATTTATTTATTTGTTTGTTTGTTTATACATGCACTGGGTACAGTCAGAAGCACGGGAGGGTGAGAGAATTCACCAGAGCCAGAGCGGGGAGCAGAACAGGCAGAAGGACCGAAGTACACTGCTGAGGGGAGCAGCGGGCGGCAGGAGAGGTCTGCGCGCCATGTGGGACCCTCCTCCGGTGGCTGGGGAGCAGCCGGGGATCGAACCGGCACCGCAGAGATCGAGGGCAGCTTCGCAACCCAGCGTTCAACCGCTGCGCCACCGGGGAGGCCCGGAAAATGCCTTTTTTAAAGATTACTAAAGCTTCTTGGAAATCAAGTCTAGAAATCTCTACTACCCTTGACTACTTATTCTATTTAGAAGTTTGTTTAGTAAACTCTTCTGTAGCACAGTATGGAGAAACTGTCCCTAGGATTTGAAAGTTTCATGCATTTGTAATAATTCTTAATAGTAGTTGACTATAGTAACTTTAACATATGAGCGGTTGGTTAGAAATCTGCACCGCAGATCCTTTCTGTTAAGGAAAAAAATTTTCTTTTTGCTTTTATCATTTTTTTATATTTTGAAAAGACTAGACTCGGAAATTTAGATGTATCCTTCCTCAGTCTTCCTAGTTGGAATTAGTTACACTCTTCTGCTGGTTTCCCCTGCCCTTTTAGTTACTGTTAGTAGTGCTCATATTTTTTATTATACCTGCGCTGGCAAGGCAAGGATTGTTGAGGATAATAAAAGGAAGGATGTTGTGAACTGTGTGGAGAGTCATGATTTTTAGAGGTGGTTGAATCTATTGGAGACATGACTGAAGCGAAGCCCTGTAACTGTTGTCTTTTCTGGGTCTCTACTCTTTGGGTATTAATTAGACCTGTGAAGTGCAGGTACTTTTTAGGTCTAGGAAGTCATTTGCCAGCTTGAGATCTTGTTTTCAACCTTTCTGGCCTGGATGTTTATTAGTAGTCTCTCAGTATGATAGGCACAGATGTGTACTGTGATACTAATAATGAAAAGAAAGATCTTAGCTCTTTTAAAGGCCTTTTGTATTTTTTCTTCTAAGCAGAAATTGCAGATGTTTGTATCTCCCATTTTCTTAGCAAGTAAACGGGCCAACTTCAGTCAGGTTGTAATTATTGAATTTGAAAATAACTGTTCTGTGTTTTCTCTTTTGTTTATTCTTTTTTTTTTCTTTTTAAATATAGATTGAAAAGAAACTTGTTCTACTCAGTGTTTTAAAAGAGCCAGTGAGCCGTTCTATATTTGATTATGCATTGAGGTCTAAAGATATCACTAGCTTGTTCAGACATCTTCACCTGCGCCAAAAGAAACGAAATGGATCTCTTCCTGACTGCCCTCCACCTGACGATCCTGCCATAGCACAGCTTTTGAAGAAACTCATTTCACAGGTTGTGTCGCCTTTCTGAACTCTTACATTTAAATGTAAATTTCATAAAAACGTTGACTCTTCCTTCTAGTTACTGAAAATATCTTTGGTTGAAAGTGTGTACGTCTGGCAAGCATCCCCTGCATTTACTTTGGCATCTTGAAAATATTGGGCTGCTGGTTAGGCATTGGGTTGTGCCTCAAAGCATCATGGGATACCTGTTAAGTTTCTTTTTACTATATAAATGAGGGAGAGAGTAGATATAACTTTAAATTTACATAATCTTGATTTTGTTTCATATCTCACCAAAAGTGTGTTAAAATTCAATCAGGAAAAACACTGCAAAATACAGGTGCACTACAAAAAAATCATGGTCCGTGTTGATTCAAATTTAGAGTTTCCACTCTATGCAAACAGTTGAAATTACTAGGATTTAGAGTGTGTATTATTGCATAAACCAGTTTACTGCTGTATTGTAGAAGAGCATGAGTTTGGAGCGATTAATAAATCTTGGTAGGATCAGGAAGTAATCTTTAATTTGGAAGACCTCTTTAGACAATAAGACTAGTCTCAGTATCCAGTTTCAAGAGGGATGTGTGCCACCTGGGGCAGTCAAGAGAAGAATAAAAATGGTTAGAAATAAGGAATACTGTTTCTGACTAAATGCTCCATGAGCCATAAAGCAAATATTGAGGGACAGCCTTAATGACCATCTTAAAGTCTGTAGGACGTTTTGGTTAAGAGAATGCTTGTCACTCATGTGTTGGCTAATGAAAAAAGATGAGAAAATAATTCAATTGCAGAGAGAGAATTTTATTGGGGTTGGGATATAATTCCTTTCATGTGCTGTAGTTGTCACTGACTATCAGTGCTGTGCGATGCCCAGATGCTGGTTTGGGTGATTGCATGTGGAATAGACTCCTCGGGGTTCTTTCAGGGCTAAATTTGCCTGGAGGTTGCAGTTGCCTCTGAATGTCCCTTCCAGTTCAGTGGTTCTGTTTCCTATATTTTAGAATACTTAACTTGATGTGATTTGAATTTCCAATGAGCTGTTTCTTTGAATCTTCTTTCAACCTTGACTTGTACAGAAGATGCATTTTATATTTCAGAAAGCAATTTATGGATGTTGAATCAAACTTTTTTGTTATTTTTCCTGATTCTTATCAAAAAATTTCACCATGCAATAAAAACCACTCCAATTTAGGTATATTTTTTAGGGCTTGGATAATATGAGCCTCTGTATTTTTCTCTCCTGCAAATCTTGTATATTAAATTAAAAACCTGAAATTTGCTTTTTACAATAAGTCATTAGTTACTTCATGTAGCTATCCTAACCCCTGGTCCTAGGCTTTTGTCCTTGCTACATTGTTGGCACTGCCATGGGTAAGCCGTTCTAGTTTTTACTTCCTACTGTTCTTTCCCCATTGCACTCCTTCAATGTCAACCCCATTACCAGGGACCATGATGAAATCACTAAAACTCATTGACTTGTATTCCCTGAAATGTCAGTGTTTGATGTAATCATATGTATGAGTAGAAAACAAGGAACAAGTAATCGCCTGTTTTATGTTGTTTCTGATACTAGTTTGAGGAGATCCCCGGGTTAGGAGTATTCTGTTGCTGCTAGTAGAAGGGTGAACGTGCCAGAATATCTGGGATCCATCTCTTTTGAAGCATTACAATGAGTTGCCCACTATAATTGGTGTTTTCCATTTTGTGAGTGTACTTTAAAGAAGCTTGGTTCATGGGCATCCCCTGGTGGTGCAGCGGTTGAGTGCTGGGCCACGAAGCTACCTGCAGCCTCTGCAGCGCCGGTTCGATCCCCGGCCACCGGGCGAGGGTCCCACATGGCGTGCAGACCTCTCCTGCTGCCCGCTGCTCCCTTCAGCAGTGTACTTCGTCAGTCTGCCTGTTGTGCTCCCCGCTCTGGCTCTGGTGAATTCTCTCACCCCCCTGCGATTCTGACTGCACCCAGTGCTTGTATAAATAAATAAATAAACCTTAAAAAAAAATTAGCTTGGTTCAGCAGATGTCATCCTCATTTCATAGATAGGGAAGCTGAGCCTCAATGAGGGTAGTTAACTAGCTGTGCTCACATGGTTCTGTAAATTTAAAAGCTGATATTTGAACCTAAACTTGTCTAACACCAAAATCCATGCTCCTGTACTATGCCATCTTGCTTCTCGAACACAGGACAGAGGGCTAAGACTGAGAACTCGCTTATGTTTTATATGGACTTAGGAAAAAGCATATGCACAGCTTATCTCCTTCAGCCCCTTGCAAGCTTTTTCTCTACCTTGATGTCTTCCCACACTGCTTAAGTCTTGGAATTCCTTGTAGAGACTTAGAGTCCAGGGAAGGGAGGTCAGGGGAGCATCTTTGGAGGTATGAATTGAGTCCTTATCCCCACTATCATGGCTATGGAGTGAAGACATATGTGGGAATCTGAAACTCCTACAGATTTCTTTTGCTTGGAGTTCTAAGTGCTGTCTTGTATAGGATTACACTGGAGATACATTATGGGTAAAATAGGCCATTTTAGACTAGCCTAGCATTGTTTCAATGGGGAAATATGTTCAGAGTTTCAGATATTAGACTTAAAGTAGAGTTTTGGAACATTACCCATATGGAGTTGGAATTTGCCTGTTGTCCAGATTTTCAGTGGGACTTAACCATCTGGAGATTACACATGGCAGGCTGTTTGATCTACAAGAGCGCCCTGTTTTACTCATGTCTGTTTAATCAGGCATTAATAGCAAATACAAAATGATTTCATGCATTTAAATGACAAGTACATTTTTAACTTTTCAATGATTTTGATTTTAGTAATTTTTTATTTGGTGGTATAGACACAAGGTATAAAATTGAAAAGATATAAGAAGATGGTAGGATGTAAGTTTTTCTCCAGTTGCTGACTGTCATCCACACAATTTTGTTATTGTGAATCTTATGTTGTTGGGTGTTGAATTCCTTTATATGGGGTTAGCTTTGTGCAGTTAAGTTACTTGGAGTCAGTGTATGCCTTTCAAACTTTGCTTTAAGCTGTTAAGACAGATTCAGAGCAATCTTTGGTCACTGGCCAATTTAGTCTGTCTACTAAGGATTTCTGAGAACATGATGCTGAGTTTAATAAGAGGTTGTTCCCCTTTACCTGGTGGAAACATGAATGATTCCCAGCACTGTGTTAACGGGTAGAAACGTGCTGCGGACACCTTCACAACACTGTGCTCAACCCACTGCGCCACCGGGGAGGCCCTGCTTGCTTCATTTTACTATCCTGTCTTACAATTTTACATTGGGTGTTATGATCTTTTAGTTCGTTATTTTGAGGCTTGTTGTTAGTTGCAAAAATAAGCTAAAACTTATTTGTATTTGGTTTTAGGGAATGACAGAGGAAGAGGAAGACAAACTTTTGGCACTGAAAGACTTCATGATGAAATCTAATAAAGCAAAGGCCAATATAGTAGACCAGAGCCATCTTCATGACAGTAGTCAGAAAGGTGTGATTGACTTGGCAGCCCTGGGCATAACTGGGAGGCAAGTTGACCTTGTTAAAACCAAGCAAGAACCAGATGACAAGCGAGGTCAGTACATTTCCCCGTGTGTGTGTGTGTGTGTGTGTGTGTGTGTGTGTGTGTGTGTAACTTGTTATTTCATAAGATTAATTTTAACTAACTGGCAACGAATGAAAAAGTCAAATTTCCCAGATGTAGTGCTTTCAAATTTAGTGACTTTATGGTATAACAGGACAGTTTGGAGGAGGGGAAGTGGAGAAATGAATTAACAACTAAGAGATTAAGTAACCTGATAAAATCATGGTTCTGTATGTTTCAGAATCAGTATTCAAACTAAAGCCTGACTCCAGATCTCTGCTGTTGAAGTAAAATCATGTTGCCTCTGTGAAGGTGAATGATTGAAAATAAGATTCTATTTTTTTAATCCTTTCCATACCCTCTCCAAACCAGTAGTAGATGAAAAGTGAAATAAGGTTTTTAGTTTTTTATTAGTAGACAGTATCCAGTAAAGTGAACAGTCTTGTTATTAACAGTAAAATAGAAGAATTGCGACCAGAACAGCCTTAACCATTTGAAGTCTAGAGATGCGCAACCATCAGCTCTTATGACAATGACGTTGACTATAGGGGGTTTTTAAGACCTTTTGATTTCTTCCTTAACCTTCCTGGAGGTATAATCACTTCCTTTCAGACTCTGTTTCAAGCCTTTTAATCTCTATTCCAATATAAGATTTTGAGGGAAGCTGGTGAATTGTATTTAAAATAAACCTCTGGCTGCCAAATTGGGATAAAGTAATATGCAAATTAATAATGGTTTACATCTATAATATGTAAAGCACTCATGCAAATTAATGACAGAAATGCAATTACCCCAAAAGAAAAGTAGTGAAGGATTTGAATATACAACTGATAGAAGAATGGAAATGCATATGTTTGAAAAGGTAAGTCATTAAGTGCAAATTAAATAAATGCAAGTTAAAACAATGAGATGCCATTTTCTGGTTAGGTAATTAGCAAAGACTGAGGATACCTAGTGTTAGCAAGGGCTTAGAGAGAAAGGCATTTTCCTACATTGTTTGTGAGGTAAACTGAGTATACTTTTTTTTAGAAGGTAATGTATTTTGACTCACTTCAGTTATGGAAATTTCTCTGAAGAAATACTTTGACAGGCATGTGAAGAAATATATAAAAGAGTGTTTTCCCCAGGCCTCCCCTGGTGGCGCAGCGGTTGAGTGCTGGGCTGCGAGGCTGCCCACAGCCTCTGCAGCGCCGGTTCGTTCCCCGGCCGCCGGCGAGGGTCCCACCAAAAAAAAAAAAAAAAAAAAAAAAGAGTTTTCCCAATGGGAAAAAAAAGGAAAATAATTGAAATGTGTCATTTTATTTTGGCAAAGGAAAATGGTAGCATAGCATCAAGCTATATATTTCACAAAGTTATAGGGGTGATTCTTGTAATATTTTGGCAGTGCTAATATTTTGGTGTTAATGTACTTGTAATCAGACAAGGATTTAGAAAAAAAAAGCAGGGAGGGTTCTCATCTGTCTATAGTCAGGAGCTGGCTGAATAGCGATTGCTGTATTTTTATCTTTTTCCACCATTAACCAGTACTGGAAAATGAGACATCATATTGAGACATCCTGACAGTTGAAAAGTTTTTGTTGATTCTGCAGATAAAATGGTTACTGGAATGTGAGCTAGCTTTGGGCAGCTAGGAAGCAGTTAGGTCTAGTTATTAATACCTTTGAAAGTGCATCTGCTCGCTCTCCCCTAGAGATGAAGTGAGTTAATGAGTTGATACAGAAAGGTAAATAAATTTTAGATTGTAAAGAATAAATAGGATGTGAAGGCCCTGTTGTCCCTCCATCAAAGAACATAAGGCAATAAAAGCACAGCAGTTTTAGAGCTTTCCTTCAAACTATTCTGAATCTTTTTTTTCTCAGCCAGAAAACATGTGAAACAAGACTCCAATGTAAATGAAGAATGGAAAAGCATGTTTGGGTCACTGGAACCAGCAAACATCCCACAGGCCTTACCTAAAGGGGGTGACCAGGAGGTAATTCAGACTGGGAAGCCTCCTCGTTCTGAGTCCTCCGCTGGCATTTGTGCCCCTTTGTCAACTTCTCCACAGGTACTGTCACCTAGGCAATGTCCTTTTGTCTCTCATTCCCATTCTGCTCTTTCAGATGTTTAAAAGCCTGGATACTGTGCTGGGAAAATCAATACAGTGTCCTTTAGGGAAGACAGCTTTCTAAGACAGGTTTATCTTTAATTTCAAGCCAAGAGGAAATCTAGTTACTGAAGGCAGCGAAGAAGGTATTATTTTAAAGTACTCACCAGTAAAGTGATTTCAAATTGTGGCTTGAAGACATCATTATGAACTGTGATTATACTTAGGTTCCAGTGAGCCTGTTAAGTCTTTTATTCTTTCCCTAATGTAACAGTTATATCTGTAATGTAGCAGAAATATTTCTTGGAAGAAAAGTCCCAGGTTTGCCATGTGTGAGAAATGTCATGGTAATTTTGACATACTTGAAATAAGTTTATAGATTAAGGTAACTCTTTCCTAGCCAGTCATATTTTAGATGAAAAACTAATTGAACCAATGGAGAAATTAAAATTCTGCTCTTTTAATTTATAAGATTTTTTGTTGAATGATAATTTTTAAAAATAATGTAGGTCTTTGGAAATGTAATATTTGTGGTTAAACTTCATTTTAACTAGATTTTCATTGAAAACATGTCATTGTATTTAAATAGATTTAAAAACTGATAGGTAAGTAAGGCCAAGGCTAGAGAGAACATGGGTACGTTCTGACACAAGTACTTATAATTCTGTTTGTTTTGCAGGTTCCAGAAGTGACAGTTGTCCAAAATAGAAAACCAACAATACAGGTTTTAAGTAGTACAATTTTACCGTCCACCTACCAGATTCGGATCACAACTTGCAAAACAGAACTCCAGCAGCTCGTACAGCAGAAGCGGGAGCAGTGCACAGCGGAGAGGATAGCCAAGCAGATGATGGAGAACGCCGAGTGGGAGAGTAAACCACCACCGCCGGGTAAAGTGCCACAGCGGGTAGTCGTTGTCCGTCCCAGGCTGAGGCCTAGTGTAATGGGAGAAGCTGATCATTGCTGGGCGAAGGAATAAACAAAACTGGCAGTGGAAGCCCAGAGGAAGGAGCGATAAGTGAGAAATCTTAAGTCATCATCTGTAGAGTGGGGTCTTCCTAGCCTTGGAGGCCAATTGCAAATGGGGTTCATTTTCCCCATTTGCAGTGGTAGGTTTTACTCACCTGCTTGGTGTTTATGCCACATTCTCATTGAATTTCAGGCTTCCTAAAATAGATTCTGGCCTAATTTCTGAAGGGTTTAACATCTATGTATTTTCTTTAAAAAAAAAAAAAGACAAAACATTTAGAAAATAATGGATACTTTATTTTTTATTTTATTATTATTTTTGAATTTTATGTATTTTTTTACATCATTTTTCATTTTTGCACAATGTGTGCATTTTCATCTTGGTTATAGTCCCCACACAATTCCCACCACCCTTGTTTTGATCCTACTCCCTCCTCCCCCGTAGTGTGTCTCTGGTTTATAGTTGCTTGTTGATTTTGATTTTTACTTTATTATAATTAGTCTTTTTCCTGGTGCCTTATTTAGGTTTTCTAAATTCCTGCTATGAGTGAGAACATACATACATACATATATATATATATATATATATTTTAATTTTAATAAAAATTTAACTTCACCTCTGAGAAGAAATGCATGGTGTGCTTGTGTGTAGAGATTTAAAAATTCACGTGCCTTCCCTTGGGCTCCCATGTGAACTCGGGGAAAATGCCAATAAAGACCAGTGATTTAAAGATTTTAAAAATATGTTCAGGTGGTGAGTCGAGATTCTGGTTGCATAAATCTTTATCAAAATATCTTGGAATGTTCAAATTGTTCTATAATATGGTTGGGTATTATTACCAGCCCTGCTTTAAAACCCTAAAAATGTTGACCATAAACTATTTTATGATAGAATCTATACTTATGTGGCATTTTCTACACTCCACTTAAGTGGGACTATACATTTTATTCAATAATCACAGTATTTTGTAGTTCGGGAAAACAGTGCAATGAGTATTGCACTTTGGGGTTTTTTTTCTTTCCACACTTGAGTGATTGTGTGACATCAGTTTTCTTTATCAGGAAATGTTCAAACTATTCTGGCAGATTATCTGGATTTCATGGAGAAGTGTTTTTGATCACTTTCAAATCCAGCCTGCCCTTCCTGAAATCACATCAGCTGTTCTGGCCACAAACGTGACTAGAGATCCAAAGGGAGATGATTAGTTTATCTTCAGAGTCAGCCAAGTCTGGCAGTTGTCTTGGCTTCATTTTTGTTTTTTGGTAAAAAGAAATAATTTCTTCCTACAATGACATTGTTATGACTTAATTAGGCACAGTGTTGGTTCCCAAAACTGTATGATCATCAGCAGAGCTTTCTCTTTTGCTTTATTTTAAAAATGAGTAATATTAAATGTTACTAGATAATATATTTACTAGAACATAAAAGGTTATTCATCAAACAGTGAAGACAGTTACAAACCAGGAACATGCTAGGTACCTGTCAGTGGATAAGGCCATAGTCTGGCATCACAGAATTTGCACTTTATTAGAGGAAATTAATCATAAGCAAAAAGTATAAACAATAAAACAAAAGTATAGATATTATAAAGAAAGTACTAAAAAATATGTGGGCATTTTGAAGCTATCATTTATAAAACCATTTATACTAACATGTCGATGCCATAGAATAAATATTACAAGTGTAGAGAATGTCAAGATTTGGGTGTTGACTATGAGCCTGGGGCAGCATCAGACTCTACATCTCCTTTATCCATAGTCACTCTTTGGATTAATATTTCCCTCATTTTGCATTTGAGGAGACTGAAGCTCAGGGAGTTTTAGTAAGTTCCTCAGGGTCACATATCTGTGGTATGGTGGGCCTGGGTCTTTGAGAGTTTCAGACTCAAACTCCCTCTCTAGTGACTCATTTCTCTGGGTCACGATAATCATTTCACCTTTTGCCATTGAGCAAGTAATGAGATTTTTGAGGAAGCAAGTGAGAGTCGTCCCTTCTCAGTCACCAGCTGATGGCCCCAAGTGCAGACTTTCTAAGGCTGTTTGAACATCACTACGTTGGTATCTGCCCAGATCCAGCAGACGCCTCCGTGTGGGCGAGCTCTTGGTCCCTTCGGTCTGATTGTTCTTGTGCTGGCGGCTGGTGACGGAGTGGGGCAGGGGGAGGGGAGGCCGGCCTTGGTAAATTACAGTTTGAGACTCCTTTGCTTGTCCTTAGGATGGCGTCCCAAAGGGCTACTTGTTGCACATCTTCATGAACACAAATCTGCTGTGAATCGAATTAGAGTCTCTGATGAACACTCACTGTTTGCTACATGTTCAAATGACGGCACAGTGAAAATCTGGAACAGTCAAAAGATGGAGGGGAAGACAACCACTACCAGGTAACATGTGCTTGGAGGAGACACGTATTTATCAAGCGCTTACTCTGACAGGCGCTGTTGTAGGTGTCAAGGGATACAGCAATGAGAGATGGATAAAAATCCCTCTTCTGGGGCGCTTCCCTTCTAGTGGGAAATGTCAGACAAACAGTATTAATAACTACAGTCTATAGGATGGCAGATGGTAAACATGTTCTGGGGAAAAATACAATAGCAACGAGGCAGAGGGAATGCAGTCGGGTGGCATGGGGTTGAATTGTAAGTAAGTGGCCTGGAGAATGCCTCGCAGAGAAGACGTCACTTGAGGAAAGACCTGCCAAGGGTGAGCGAAAGAGACGTGGATGTCTTGGGAGGAGCATTTCAGGCAGAGAGAACAGGGATGGCCACGGCCCTGATGTGGAGGCTGTTTGGTGTGCTGGAGGAAGAGCAGGAAGGCCGGCGTGATTGGAGTAGAGCGGGCAAGAGCGGGGAGTAGGGTGCTGTGGAAGACTTCAGCCTGAATAAGTTAAGGAGCCTTTGGAAGATTCCAAGCAGAAGTAAAACATGATCTACGTCAGATTTTCAACAGTCATTTTGACTTGTGTGTTGAGAGTAGACTACAGAGGACACACGTGCAGTCACTGGAGAACGTGCAAGAGAAAAGTGAGAAAATGACGCACTGGTTACTGCTATGTAAGGAGAAGATGCCCGCTGACCCACTGTTACGTCGAGAGGGATCTCATTTATGACCTGAGGAGGCTGAGCGGCTTGGCCAGCGTCGTGGAGGTAGTCAGCAGTGGAACTGGATTTTTTGGCTCTAAAGCCAGTGCTTTTCCTGCTGGGCCACGCGGCATCTCGGGGGTTACGGAATAACCGAAGGGCTGAGGGCAGGGTTAAGAGTTGAAGGAGAACTTGTGGCAGGACCGCACGCGGGGAAGTCCAAACGGAGAGGTGGGCAGTTCTTCTGTGAGGAGGGAGTGTGTGAAGATGACTTTTTGAAAATAGCGGAAGTAAAAATGATTTTTGTACCAGTGCTTTTGAGACAGATTCTTTTCTTTGGTCCTAAGAGCAAGGAAATGAAATGGACGTCTACCTAGTAATTGTTTGTTAATCTCATAGCTATTTAATGTTCATGAAAATGCCCTTGTGACCCTTCCGGACACGCTGTCACCTCTCCCATGTGCAGGTCTATTCTTACATATAATCGGATCGGAGGGCGCGTCAAGACGCTGACGTTCTGCCAGGGCTCCCACTACCTGGCCATCGCGTCTGACAACGGGGCTGTCCAGCTTCTAGCAATTGAGGCATCTAAGCTGCCCAAGTCTCCTAAGATCCATCCTCTACAAAGCAGGTATCTGTCTTTCATGTCTTTTAAACAGTGTTGAGTGGACAAGGGCCACTGAACACTCTCTCCCTAATGGAGTGTGGGTCAGCCAGGGCCTACTAGACATTATACTGTTTTTAAATACATGAAATAAGACTGTTTCCAGCTCAGATCTATCACATGTGATTTCAGAAAACTGCATACGTATCTGATTTTCTTCCACTTTATCAAAAGGTCAGGGTGGTGGCTTTGAACTTGATGCTCTTCCCAGTCTGGAATCTGTCTGAATAATCTTTTGTCTCAACTCCTAAAAGCCCAACTCTAGCTGAATGATTTTGAGACTGCGTCTTCACTATGGAATTAAATGTTACCAGTATTTCACAATCACTTAGCACTAAAGCCTCTGAACTTGGAGTGGACATTTAGTCAGATGATTTGCTTATTTTAAAACAAAATATACACTGATTTTATTCAAGAATTTGCTTCCCATCTTACAAATTGTGGCTGCTTACAGATTACTCGTGCACGGCAAGATATTTAAAGCCTAACATTCTGCCCAGTATGTGCCACACAATGAGGAGCCCCAAAACAAAGTCATGTAACGTATTCTCAGAAACTACACGCTGGTGGAGTAACAGACAAGGCAACAGATGGTGTCAGTGCTGTGTGATCATGTGCCATATCACAGGGCCAGGGCGCCAACCTGCAGGGGTCAGGGCAGAAGGCCTGAAGGAGGTGAGACCCAGCCATCCACGTCAGGCTGGTCAGTAGGGCACGGCCGCCATTGGTGGTGGGCCCCACAGGGGAAAGCAGAAAGAGCAGATGATGATAGCTTAGTGGATTATAAGTCATCACCATGGGGTCAGAAGTAAGGCAAAAAAGGACATTTGTTGGCTCACCTAGGATTTTAATTGTTTATATTGTTTTAGTGTTACTGATGGATTGAGACTTTTGTCATGATGCATTATATATGGCCTTTAACTGCAAAACAGATACTGCCAGTTTAAAGTCATCTCAGCAGAGGATGACATAGAGCAACACACCGATTGAGCACCATGTAAATTAACAAAGACCTGCTGGAAGACGTGCTGTGACTGTGTTGGCAGTCACGCCAGGCACCTCTCAGCAGACAGCAGTTTTCACTGTGAAGGTTGCTGTTTGTACCCTAACGTGACACCCAGAGTGGGAGAGAGAGCCTGGAAGTTTAGACGTCACTGCCTGATGGTGTGCTCCAAGGGAACTTGCCGTGAACCTTTTTTTTTTTTTTTTTTTGTTCCTTCAGCTCCACTGTTGTAATGTCACTGGAGAGCTACTTGTGGTACCTTTTCGCATGCATTTTGGTACTTTGCATTGCTTTAAGAGGAATATAGTCAGTATTAGAATGTTTGTAAATAGAATTGTTTATCCGAGACAGGACTCAGCAAACTGCAGCCTGGAGAGCTTCCTGTGGCCAGAGTTGGGACACTGTGGGCCACACAAGTAGTGGCAGCACTGGGCTGTGCTGAGAACAAAATCCATATCCATAGGTCCGTACTGGTACAAGCAGCACATGAGTAAATTAGAGGTGACAACTCTTCCTTACAAAAGAATTCAGTAAGCATAAGAACCAGTCAGTGTTAGAACACCACAGGCATAATCAGAAGATCTAAAATTAGTGGGCAGAATTTAAGCAGAATTGGGATTTTTGCATAATTTCAAAAGTTTCACTTAAATATTTAGTACTCACAAGTGGAGAAATAAGCGTCTAGTGAAGACGCCTGGAGACTCCACCTTAGGCAAATGGCCAGGTTAACATCAGTCACACACGTGCTGCTTCCTCCTGTGTGTGCTCAGAGGGCTTGTGACTCCTGTGCTCTCCCTCCCAGTAAGACATAAACTCATTCTGTTTGGGGGAACACATGAGGCAAACCAAATTGAGGGACAGTCTACCAAGAAACTAAGCAGTAATCTTCAGGAATGTCAAGTCATGAAAGACTGAGGAGCTGTCACGAGTAGAGAAGACTTAAGGGTAAACGCCACGTGCTATCCTGGCTTGGGACCTGGAAGGGTAAAAAGGACACTAGTAGAACAACTGCCGAAATCCAAATGTTCTTTACTTTCTAGTGTTGCACCAAGGTTGATGTCTTAGTTTTGATAAGCGCCCTGTGGTTTTATCTGAGTGTCAACACGGGGAAGCTGGGTGAAGAATATACAGACACCATCCTCTGTATTATTTTGTAACTTCTGTGCACCTGAATTATTTTAATAACGCCTCAGTTGTCATTGTCTTGAAGAGTCAGTTTTAAGTTTCTTGGCGATGGGCAGCAGGTACAGTCATCCTAAATGGACACTGGTGTTGTGTGTTTAGTGTCTGGCAACGTCTTTGCTTTTTGGTGTTTCTTTAGGATTCTAGACCAGAAGGAAGATGGCTGCGTGGTGGACATGCACCACTTCAACTCCGGGGCCCAGTCTGTTCTGGCCTACGCCACCGTGAACGGCTCTCTGGTCGGCTGGGACCTCAGGTCTTCAAGCAACGCGTGGACACTAAAGCACGATTTGAAGTCTGGCCTCATCACTTCCTTTGCTGTGGACATCCACCAGTGCTGGCTCTGCATCGGTGAGCTGGCTGCTGCATCGTTGCGTTCTGAATGCTGCTAATGCCTGAAATGGCTTTTTTCCCGTCTTTTTTTTTTTTTTTCCCTCATAATTAGTGTGTGGTAATCACTTGCAATTTAATTTTTTTCATTAAAAAAGATTTGAGCGTGAAATCAGTATCCCAACACATAAAGCAATTTTCTCTTTCTCCTTTTTCTTAAATGAGCCTATTTACTTTAAAAATTATGATGATCAGATTTGCTGATGTTCTTCTTCTGTTAGGAAAGCTGCAGGCGTGGTTTATGCATGGCAGCATTTGAATTTTGGGTGCACTTGGTTTTAAATTCCAGCAGCTTCAGGCAAGCTACTTAACTCCTCTTCAGAGGGGGCTCATCCGGGCGGGGGCTGTTCTGGGGGCTTCATAAGCAGCATCGCACTGCTTGGTAGAGGAAGGAGCTAAACAATGTCTTCCTGCCATAGGGTTCATCACGCCCCTTTCCTCAAAGGCTGAAGACATACCGTGCGACTGGCTTTCCTCTGTGTTAGTTTCACTCCCCCCCCCATAAGGCTTTGGGCCTGCCCCTGAGAAGGTCCCGCATATTATTTTTGCCCACGTGGCACTCTTGTTAGGATTATAAATCCACTGTGTTTCTAAATTGTGTTCTGGTTTCTAGATTTCCTAACCCACATGTGTCACATTGCCCTTTCCTTTTATTACTTTGTATAGTTTATGCGGAATAGTCATTTTTGCCTTTTGTGTAAATTGTCTGCAGTCTAACACCAGGCCTAGGAGACTAGATCTGCACTCAGCAAAGGGCAGTGATGACTCACAGGTGTCCTGGTCAGCTCCGAGGAGGGCAGCCAGTGCCACCTGCAGCTCTGAGAGTGACACAGGGGACTTGCTGCCCACTTTTCCCCCTCACCAGTCTCTCCACTGGAATTGGAGGCCACCTAAGAATATACTTAGTGTCAGCGTAGGCACTGAGGTGGGGGGGGGGTGCTCTTTGGAGTTTAAGTTGTCACAGGCAGATGCGCAGGTGCCCACCCCAGGTCTGCCGTGATTGGACACCATCTCTGTCTCCAGGATGTTTGGAGAAAAAGGCTCACAGATGTGACTGGATCCAACAGTTATAAGCTGGCGCTGCTGTAGATTGGTCAGGTGCTCCTTGAGTGCCAGGGGCACACGCCTGTTGGTGGAAGGCGGTCTCAACACTGATGTAGCAGGTTCACTTTATTCCTCGTGTAGGCCTGTTTCTTGGGTGCCTCTGACATTAAGTACCAGTAATTAATGAATTTTTTCCATTCACAGTCACTGGACCGCTCACAGTCACAATACCGCAGTATTGTGATAAGCCTTTTTGTACCTGTTATTTAACAGCTAGAGAGGCTATTTGAAATTAGGGAGATAGCTTCACGGGAACAGGCTTTTTCTTAGTTGACTGTTTTAAAATATGTTCATATAAGGTAACGTGATTACCCTTCGTGTAGCTGTAACCGCTGTGCTCTGTGGCTTTATTTTCTTTAAGGAACAAGCAGCGGCACTATGGCTTGTTGGGACATGAGGTTCCAGCTGCCAATTTCTAGTCACTGCCACCCTTCCAGAGCTCGGATCAGGCGCCTTTCAATGCATCCTTTGTATCAGTCCTGGGTGATTGCAGGTAAGTGGGGGGGATTTTCTTGGAAAGGGCAAAATATCCTGCCGCCAGGATTCCTATTCTTAAGTTTTTATTTTACATGTGACCTGACTGCTTGATTTTGGTCTGTTTATGGAAGTCCCCACCTCTGGTACCTGTCGTTTAATCATGATCTCATCAACCGCCCACTCCTGTCTGCCACCATTGCCCCTTCTGTTTTACTTCCCCACTTCCACGATTTTTGTTAAAACTAACCTAGAAATGAAGTGAGACGCCTTAATGCAGCCTTCGCGGCAGCCATGTCTCAACTCTTCTGTTGTATTTCTTACAAGCTTCCTGTCCCTCATCGGGCAGTCACACTTTTTTGCATGAATTCTTGGGTAAGTCTGGGAAACTCATTTTCCTTATCTGGAAAATGTGGCTGGGAAATTCTGAGATGAAATAGGTAAAGATGCAGCCTGGCACACGGCCGAGTGCGCGACGCAGTCTAGCTCCAGCTCCTCGCTGTGGTCTCTCACACGTGGTCCGGCGCGCGCTGTCAGGCCATCCTGTCAGATTCAGTGGTCCTCGCTTGACCCTCTCTCAACACTTGCTTGGTTTCTTCCTCTCTAAAAGACTGTCCTTACCCCATTTCAAAAACATCACTCGGGTCTCCTGTCTGTTGAATTGCGGGTTCCTCCTCATCTTTGACTTGTAAATTGTGGTCTGCCCAGGACGCTGTCTTCCTACTCCACTGCCCCCCAAGTGTTACATACCATGTTCGTTTAGATTGTTATACCTGTTTATATAAAATCTTCTCAAAGGTATCTGATACACTGTCTTAAATTTAACAAGTCCAACCTGAACACTTGGTTTCCTCTCGGCTAGTCCCCACCACTCTTTCACCCCAAGACAGACCTGCTCTGCCTATGGCATTCTCCCAGTCACCGGTAGCTCTTTTATGTAGGTGCTCAGAAAAAACCTGCTGTTGAGCTTTCTTTCTCAGACCATTAGCCACTGCTGTGTGGTACATCTTGAAATATATCCACATCTGGGCACTGTCCTCCTGTCCTTCTAGTCCAGACAACCGTCACCTCTGTTCTCTGTTAATGCAGTGTCTTCTGACTCCTGCCCGTTCCCTTCTATTGGATTCTTCTGCCCATTACCTTAGTCTGTTGGATTCTCATCCCAAGAGACAACCAGACTCCTCACCCTGGCCCAGAAGCTTTATGGGATTTGCCCCCTTGCCACTTGTCTTAGTCAGCATTCCAGCAGGAAACAGATGGTGCACCCAAGGTTGGAAAATCCAAGCTTTATTTTCAGAGGAAGTATTTACAAAGGCGTGGGTGTGGGAGCTTCATAAGATAGTGCAATAAAATAGGGCTAGTACTAGCAGAGCAGAAGGCAGGGAGGGTGGTAACTGGAGTATGCAAAGAATTTGAGTAGCAAACGCCACATTGAGTGGAGCAATGATTTTCAGGCACCTTGAGGTGTCTGGCTTGACTCTCAGCCACCCCTTTGCTCTCCTACTCAGGCTTCTGACCGCTGTAACAAATCACCACACATTTATTCTCCGATAATTCTAAGAGGCCAGAAATTCAGACTAAGTTTTGCTAAGATCAAGGTGGTGGCAGGGACCACAGGCTGAACCCATCTAGAAGCCAGAGGGCAGGAGCGTGGTGTTGGGGCCCATGCAGGCCAACCTGAAGAGTGCAAGTGGGGATGACTGCCCTGCTACCCTGCCACTGAGAATGTAAGTTTCATGAAATGGAATTTTTTTTTACATTATTTTCCTTTTTGTTAAGTGTCTAGGACAGTGATTAGCTCACAGAAGTGATGTTGGCTCAGTAAGTACCAGTGAGGGAGTGACGCCTGTGCTACTGTAATTCCCTCTGCTCAAAAGTCACTTTTCTGCCTTCACCTCCCACATGTGCTGCCGTGAAACCTATTACTCCCGTGTCTCCACGATACCCAGAGATTTTTTTTCCTCATTGCAGTCTTTTTGCCTAAAATGATTTCTACCTGTTCTTGCAGGCCCGGTGAAAACATCTCTGCCCTGATTCTCATCCACGGGCGGGGCTCTTTTCCCCTTCAGTGGAACTTTGTCCTCCCTTGTCTAATCCTTTTTTTTTTTTTGTTAGACTGGAGAGATTTTGAAGGCAGAATCAGTTTATGATCCACCTTTCCTCCTCAGAGTTCTCCTTGTTTGAACACCAGTGAGTGCTCACTGGTGGGCTGTTAGCCACCTGCTGTGGGTCACACACAGTCTGCTGACAAGGCCACAGAAACTTCTTGCAGGACGGGGAGAAAGGATGAACTGCCAAGCTCTGAGCTTGTTCTTGGGTGAGTAATGATCCTGGCCTTTGTCTCCCACAGCTGTGCAGGGCAACAACGAGGTGTCCATGTGGGACATGGAGACCGGTGACAGGAGATTCACCCTCTGGGCGAGCAGCGCACCTCCACTTTCTGAGATACAGGTTTGACCTTTATCTTTATTCTAAAGATCCATGTCATTTCCTACATCCTGAGCACTTCGACATTCTGTCAAACAAACTAGGGGGCTGTGGGTGCTCTGCAATCCCTTAGGTGTCCCAGTGTCTCTAAGGTGTGTGGTGTCCCTTGGGAACCCTGGTAAAATCTGGGTTAGTTGGGAAAAGCCCAGTGTGAAGTGTGGAACACAACTCGCTTACACACTTGTTTTTCACCCATGAAGGACACTGGGCAATTAAAGAGAATTGTTTTAGTCAGGGTCCTTATCATCCCAAATAGAACATTTTAGGAAGCAGAACACAAAGTTCCAAAGACAGACATATCCAAGATGCACGTATTCGTCTCCTCATGGGCATCATTTACAGAACTCTGATGTGTCATCTGACTAATGTCTATTTCTTTTAAGCCGTCTCCTCACAGTGTCCATGGGATCTACTGTAGTCCTGCAGATGGAAATCCCATCCTGCTAACAGCTGGTTCAGACATGAAAATAAGGTACAGTAACTGGTAATATAATGTGGACACTATGGTTAACACTACGTGGTGTTAATTTCGAGAAAATTCTGTTTTCCTAATGCTAAAGAATATGCTGATGCTTGGATGAATGTAAACCAGTGATTATTTTTCCCTTCTCCTGCTGAGATTATCACCTCATTTCCTCTCCCCCAGGTTTTGGGACTTGGCTTACCCAGAGAGGTCCTATGTTGTTGCAGGAAGTACTACTTCTCCATCTGTGTCCTACTACAGGAAGATAATTGAAGGCACTGAAGTCGTCCAGGTACAAGCAGTCTTTTTGAGTTGATTAAAATCACTTTGGCTAGGAGTGGAACTATGAGTTTAAGAAGTATATTTTTACTTTTCTGTACTTTAAAAAATGAAGTTGTATTAAGGTATGATGCACATAAAAGGTGCACATGTGAGTGTAGAGCTCGAAGTAAGCACCTTCTTATATGGTCTTAGGACAAAGTAAGTGTGTAACTTATTTTTTTTCTACAAATGAGGAAGCTCAGTAATTTGTCAGATCACGCAGCTAGTATAAGCAGCAAAAAAGATTCATACCTGGAAGTCCCTGAGCCAGTAAGTGCTTGGTAGATGATAGCATGCGTCCTTCAAGACAGCTGTAGAAATGCTAGGACACCTGCTTTTTATCTTGATGTTGACAAAAGATAAAATGATACACAGGCCAATAATCTGTATGTATTAAGTGGCTAATCATGGAATCCAGTGACTTGGAAACCTAGAATATCATTTTGGACTCTCCTTACTCATTTCACGAGAGGCGTTAGTTTCAACAGCCTCTCCCAGAAGCCAGACTGAGACGAGGCAGAATATGTGGTACAGCCTTTTAACTACTACTTTCTCCTTCATTTTTAACCACAAAACAGGAAATTCAGAATAAGCAGAAGGTAGGACCGAGTGATGATACGCCTCGGAGGGGCCCAGAGTCTTTGCCTGTGGGTCACCATGACATCATCACTGATGTCGCCACGTTCCAGACAACACAGGGCTTCATCGTCACCGCTTCTAGAGATGGGATTGTTAAGGTGTGGAAGTGAAAACCTAGTGATTTGTATAATTTGTAATAAAGTTATAAATACACTCAAGAGAACAGGTATTTTTAGAGAACAGAAGCAAGAAGAGATTCATTTTGATTAATTTTTAAAAAATCATGTTACTGTTTTATGATAAAACAAATCCCACCCAAGGTGGTTAAGGAAGTTGCACTCATCTGCTCGTGTGTATCTCTGCGAGAGTCCGCCAGGCCAGTGTCAGGTGATTTGATGTCACAGAGGTAAGGAATTTAAAGTGCTAAGACATATCTGTTTACTTTGTATTGAAAAGGATGGCTGTAAGCTACGAACACATTTTTGCTATTAAAAATGCTATTCAAACTAGCCAATAAACTATATTCAAACATCTTAAGGGCCTTTTGTTGCTATTTTTAAGTTAACTTTAGGATAGGAAAAAAATTTTAGCAGCACTTCTTGTACAGAAATGGATTTAGTTGTAAAGAATCAGTGACAGAGCCAGGCCTACCCCAGCTCTCTGCCCTCTGTGTGTCTTGCCCTTCCTGCTCTTACCTTTCTTCCTGTTTTATGCTCTGCCTTACTAGAACACTGCAGAACTGATCTCCCGTGTCTCAGCTCTAGAGAAATAGATCTCTTCTTGGCCACCATTACTGTTTTAATAGGCTCTACAATCAGTCCTGAAACTTGGTCCATCGGCTTTTGTCCGGAGTAGTTATTTGTTAAATGCATGAAAAAGAAAAAAAGGATTAAACTCAAAAACATGACAAAACTTATATTTTTGATGAAAGACCAAATTGGCCTCTCCTATTAAGATAAATCTTTCAACTTTATTGTTTATACACAAACCTAATTCATTTGTCATCCACTCACGCAAGGATGTACGGTGTTCAATGAGTTACATGAGTCTACAGAACCAAAAAGTTGAATCGATAAACTGAATCTGGGGAAAATACAGAGAACTGAAGTATTTCTTAATTACATGAGAGCTTGCAATGCTTATGTCTGGCTTCACGATTCGCTACACTTATTGTTTAGGCAGGCAAACAACAAAACTACTGGAAAATCCTGTCATTCAGAAAGGGTGACATGAGGCGTGATGAGCCCTGTCGAGGCCAGAGGGCTGACTGGGTCAGCACCCGCACATTTGGCATTGCCTGTTTCCCTTAAGTGCTAAGACTGTAGTTACAGAATTTCTCATTCTAAGTCAGAGGCAGAGGTTAGGGGAAATTTCTGAGCCATAAACTTAGCTGAGAATGAGCTTCCAGCCTGGAACCATTAGATAAGCCATAGACTGACGCGTGTGGGACGTGCTGAGGGGAGGAACAGAGGGCACGGCTGCGTGCTCCTTCTCCCCCCAGCTTCCTGCCCTCCTCCTCCCTGCTGAAAAGTCCCTTTTTGAAAAAAAGATCATTTGGTTGAATTGTTACTAAGTAGGACGAGCTGGGCACGCCATTTGACTCGTGGCTCAGGGCAGAGATAACAGGATGCGCGTCCTTGAGTTCATTTACATTTTAAAGCACGGAGCATCCCTGCTGCTTTGTGCTAGTCTTGGTTTAACGGAGTTTTAATTTATACTCAGTTTTTGCTGCTTCCCCTTTAAGGAGAGGAGAAAATACTAATATTAGGGATTTTTAAAAGCGACTTGAAAAAGTGACCCAAATCCATTAACAAGGAATTATTTGGTGCCAAAAATATTTAAAAATAACACACACAAGGAATTTTTGCATACTTGAAAGTTAACTGGAAATCCCCCTGCTGCTAAAATACCTCCTGGACGCTGCTCAGCGGTTTCCTATACTGGAAAAAAAATTCTCCTAAAAAGCACCACTTAGGACATAAAAAATTTCTCCTAAAAAGCACCACTTAGGACATAGGAAGAAGCCATGTTGGGAATTGTATTCTTTTCAGTTACCTGAGCACGAATATGACATTTAACTCCTTGCTCCTCTGAAGACATTTTAGGAGCCATCTCTATGGAGTTTCCTGAGAAAAGATGGCAGAAATGGGCTTAACAAATACTGGAGGTGGCTCTTTTACACGGGTTGTATGAAGATAGACATAGAAAAGAAAATTAGACCGTAACTGCTGGTCTTTGGTGTCAGAAACCATCTGTTCCACACATCCAAGCAGGGCCTCCCTCCCAACAGAGCGACGCTCGCCCCTGCAGGGCCATGTTACCAACTGCAGAGCCAGCTGTTAGAATCCGAGGTAAGTTCCCAACATTACAACTAAATGAAATAATGCTACTTTGGTGTTTGTTAAAAAATAAGAGTAAGAGTTAGGTCTCCTGGATGAGGGTGAGAAGAGAGAAACACCTCTCCTGCTCTACTTACTCCAAGCTCATCCACATTTCTCCAGTCCCCTATAAATTTTGTGGATCAAAACAATGTTACGGTTTTCCAAACTCAGCAGACATTTAAGGCTTCTGGCAGAACTCCTCCAGTCCTGTTGGGTGCTGTTCCCCACTGACTAGACAGCTGCCTGATGGTAAAAAGTAGCTCAGCTTCACCAGAGGCAAGATGTGTCTTTTCTTATCTAAAGGATGTATTAGTAAAAAAATGATCAAGAATAAAAGTCCATCAAAATGACCAAGCATGAATGAAGATGGAACTTACGGCTAAAAAGCAATTTCTATTCTGGGGAAAATGATGACTTTTTCTCAAGTAAGGAGGGGAAAATTGCCCTCTGCTTCTCACCTGGTCCAAGCAAACACGCAGAAGGTGGGAGGAATCTTCCAGCATAAGCCCCGCGTTGGACTAGCCCATCCATTCAGAGACAGTGGTGGAATTAAGTGGAATAAAGAATGAAAGTCAAATTTTCTAATCATGACATACAAACAGCATCGCTTTCTGGAGTAAATGTTGCGGTCTTTCAAAACATTAACCTGCAGTTAAATAGGTGAGCCTCTGCACTGCTAAATTAGGAGAGAGGACTTGGTTTGCAGAAAGTGGACTGAGACAGAGACTGGCACCTGCAGAGAGATGTCAGAAGAGTCGGCGTTACACACGGGAATACACTAAAATTTACCTTCAGGACTTTTCAAAACACTTCATTCTTGGCATCTTTTAACGAGAACAGCTCTTGAGCCTATTGGCTTTAGACCGCTGCCACTGGCAGGAGTGGTCAAGCAAACGGGCAAGAGGCGTCCTCATGCAAAGTGTCGGCGGCAAGGTGCCGGCAGTCTGCAGTCTGCAGCCTAGGCCGGCGGCCTCCAGAGCAGGCCCAGGCAGAGTCGCCCAGACTTGTGCGGTGTAATCAGTTCAGTTCGGAGTCTTTCCATGCTTTGTAGGGTAGAATTCTTTGAGCTTTTGGTTTTTTCATTGTCATTTGGGAGCAGTTTTTATTACTTTTTTCCCATTTTTAAAGGCATGAGATATATTTCTGGCAAATTTTTGAACAATATCAACTCTCCCGCCTCTTGCTACTCTTGAAAGAAATTTTTTATCTTGAAAGAATTTTGCCTTCCGAAAGATATCTCCTTTGAGAGCAGCTTTTTGTGGTCCAGGAACAAAGCTATATAATGAAAGAGGAGAAATATGATAGGAGACAAATACCAATTCAACTTTAATAAACTATTAATCCATCTTCCTAAATTAATTGTATCCATTCTTTGTAAAATGCTTCAGGGTAATTTTATTAAGATTATTAAACTGGGGATTTATACTGGGCTAAGAAGCTGATGAATACGACAGCTCGTCACAGTATGCAAAAGTATAATTTCAACAGCACAGTTTCTTCTTCGTGGACCATGTTCTACCTAGCACGTCATGTGGTTGGCTTCTCTTTTGATGATTCAGGTTCAGATTTGGGCTCAAAGGGGACCTCCTCAGAGACCAACATAGCTACAGTTTTCCCACTTGCATTGTCCCCCCTCCCAGGCAGAAGGTTTCATAGACCATATGTAGTCACCATAGAAATTCCAGGAACCCAGAAGACAGTAAATGTCTAAAATATCTAATGAAAGCATGAATGAATACTCCCTCTTCTTCCCTCCTTGCCTTCCTCTTATCCACCCATCCCTCCCTCCCTCCATCCCTCCCCCCTCCCTCCACCATCCATCTATTTACTACCTGCCCTACAGATGGTGCTGTGTTGGGTACAGGGTGGGCATAGCCACCAGCCCAGTAGACACAAAATGGGTGAGATTCAGGAGAGCTGGAGTAGGACTCTAGAAGGTCTAGAATGCCAGGCTCAAACCAGGAAATCATAGAGGCCAGGTACCTAGAAGTTCTAGCCTGTCCAATGAAACTTTCTGTGCTGGTAGAAATGTTCTATAATTTTCGAGGGCCAGTATGGCGGCCACTAGCTACCTGTGGCTGTGAAGCACTCAATATGTGGTTACTGTGACTTAAGAACTGATCTGAAATTTCATTTACTTGAAAGCCAGTGGCTACTGCATTGAATGTGTGGGACACGAGTCACTTCAGACAAATTTTAACTTTAGAGGGAGGTAGTATAAAGGGCTTTGGGCCCCCAAACTTTCTTACACTCTAACTCCTGTACTTACTAGCTGACCAGCTCTACACATCACTTAACTAGAGCGATCCTTGCTACTTCAGGTGTGATAATGGGGATAGAAACAACCTGTGATGTGAGCAACAGCTGAAATCCCCTACATTTGTTACCAACTGTTGGTATGTTGGTGTTCTGTTAATTATGGATGAGGAAACCGAGATGCATACAGGGTGAAGGTCAGTGACAAGAGCTGAGACTACAACCCAACTCCTCTAACACTGAGTGCTCTGTTATTTCCTCTGAACTAGGTTTTAATTCAGGACACTATGGATAGTACCAAGATTACTTGGAAAGAGAAAGCAAAATGAGAAATGTCATGCTTTCAGAAGTGCCCGGATATGGGTGCAAAACCCCAGGCAGGCAGATGGCCTGGGGCTGCCTGGGCAGCTAAGAAGCTGTGAGGAGCCTGGCACATCGACACTGCACGTTTTAGAAAGAACGAAGAGCACCTGGAGGTGCGAGAAGAGAAGGTTTTCAATACTGATAAGCCTCAGAAATGAGCTGAATTGTGGTTAAGGGAAGACTCTAGAGAACTCAAGAACACAGACCAGGAGGACAGGCAACATTCACCAGGACCTGCTCCTTCATGTTAGGATTTCCATGCGTTCACCAGCTACGAATTGGATGGCTCTCACCAAAACATCACTGTGTACAGTAAGTGAAAGATACAGAAAATTCAAAATTATTTCGATTGTCTCACACACCACACAGAGTCAGGGGTGAAGGAGAACCACACCATTCACGTTACACAGACCCTGACCCTGATGCCTCACATAATGTGTATCTGGCTGCTCAAGCTCAAGGCCCCAAGTGCCTGTAACAGGCCTTGCACGGTGCTACCAGACGTGCTCTTCACCCACAAGCTCCCCTCACTCCCGGCCCCCATTTTTGCTCTCTCCTCTGATTTCTAGACTATTACGGTCCAATATTCTCTGGCCACGTGGCTCCACTGTCCACAGGGAGAACATTCTTCTGTGTTGGGACACCTCTTCATGCCCAAGTTTGCCTTTACACGCCCTCCACTTCCTTTTCTGTGTCGGGTCTTCTTTTGTGGCAAGTTTAGTTGTCCAGGTTCTCATCCTCTGTGTTCGGACAAAGCTGTTGAATTGGCAACTGCTTCACCAGCACAGCACTGCTCTCCTTCCCTCCCTACACTCCTGAAACACCTTTGCTCTCAAAAGAATGGAACACATTCAATACAATTTGCACCCCCATTCCTGCCCCCACACCGCGTGGCACACAGGCATCTGTATTTGCTAAGTGCTTGGTAAGAATGACTTGATGACGCTAGTTGGGAACCATGCGGACTTTGACTCTATATGCAAACACTTCTTTCGAACAATAGGTAGTCAAGGCGAAGACCCAGGAGTAAAATAGTTCATTCTGCAATTTGTGCCTGGCTCCAGGGAAGCTTGTTAAAAGACATGGCAACTAGATGGACTGAGGTGTGTGGACTAATTACAGATTTCACTTCTCAGCCGTCCCAGGTTTCCCCCATCGATGTGGAAGAGCAGGTGTCGGCCATGCCGAGTTTCCTACACAACTGGGTGCATGGGCGTGCTAGGAAATACTGACAAGATGCTTCTGCTTCCAGAATTCTTTTTATCTTAATATATTTTGTGTGTCCAGAAGACATGCTTTGGAATGCAGAATCGCAACAGATGCATCGTTCATATGGCATTGGTGACTGTGTCCATTTTTACCATTTGATTGCTCTGCTCTGGCCTTCACCACTTTAAAATCTGGCACCGGGCTTCCCTGCCAGGATGAAGCAGAGCGCAGGTGGCTGCCTTACGTCTCCGAGTGGACCTGACTGCTTACAAATAGGTGGCCCTGCATCTCACCTCCCATGGCCATCTGTCGCCTCAGTGGCCTACAATTTGGTTCAGTGCATTTTTTCCCCATCCAGTAAGAATGAGCTTCTACCTGTATTTCTTCAGATCTCTCACTGGGACCTGATTTTTACGCTTTATGATTTTTTTATGTTCTCTGGACGTCGCGAGTCGTCTTTTGACCCAACCTCTTGCCGAACAGGCGTTCTCAGCTCCCTCGGTCCGACGTGCTCCCTTTGTCTACAGTCCTCCTGAAAGGCTCCGCAGGGAGTCCCAGCAGTAGCTGCGCAGCTTGTTACCTGTTAGTACAGTCTGTGGCCACTCAGGGCCTAGGGAAGTGCCAGCCTAGCAGGCCGTCAGGGGGGTCGCGGCAGCAGGGACGACATGTCTCCAACGTCAGCCACCCCAACAAGTCAAAGGGTACAGAAGAGAAGCAGTGCTGTCAGTGCAAAGTGAAGAAATTTCCCGAAAGCACTGTGACTGCTTCCCCTGCTCATGTTCTTCAGACTGCAGAGGGTGGTGAGGGAGTGGTTTCAGCTGGCCCAGCGTCTGCTCTGGCCATCGGTGGCCAGTACACAGGGCGGGGAGCACGGACAAACGAAAGCGAGGCCCCTTTCCACACTCCCGGACACCTGCGGTAGGGGGAGCCCCGCTCTTTGCGCACCGGCCTGGAAGGGCCTGACTTCAGGAGGCCCTCGCTGCTGGACAGTTCCCCTGCCGCAGCCCACGGAGGAGCCGGATGCTCAAAGGCTCAGAGCTGATGGGGCCAGGCTTCTGGCTTGGGGGCGTGGGGGTGGGGTGCCTCTCAGGCCGGATCTCATGGAACCACACACGCTGCATGTGGCTGAGACTCTGGCTTAGGTGCGATGCCCAGGGGTCGGTGCACATTTAAGCTCAGACTTCGTTTAGGTCAGCGTGACTGATTCATTGCAGAAACACGCACTCTCCTCGCTGCTTAAGTTATTTCTATTTTTTAAAAATGTGAGTGATGTCCATACATGTGAGAGATGTGATAACTACATACATTATTAAGTTTTAAAGGAACTTGTTTTGCTTTTGTTGATATATTCTTTCATATTCTCATGAAAAATACATTGTTCTACTCATTTCTTTCTTTGGGTATTTTTCTTCCCGCCCCCCACCCCCCCATAACATCCTAAAAACAACGTTTAGCTCATTAGCTTTCGAGCTTTAAGAATTCCCCTCACATAAAAAGTAAGACTATGTACCTTCCTAAATTATAAATTCTGATGCATCCCAGCAGTTTTGACACACACTATGTTTGACATACACTATTATCCAGTCCTATGTATTTGTTCTGTCTCTAAACTTTTTATATCTACTCTACATTCTGAGGAATTCCCTCAACTTTTTTTTGCAGTTCACTCTGTTTCTCTTCAGATGTGTCCATTACTTTTTAATCCATTCATTGAGTTTTAAAAGTTGTCTTATTTTGAAAATTCTCGAATTCACAGAATATTGTAAAGAACAGAACCATGAACAAATTCCTATCTACCTCTTGCCTAGATGACTTTCCAGCTGTTGCCATTGTGCTAGTCTGTGTATAGACACCTACATATATACACCACACACACACACACAACACCACACACACATCCTGTAGGAAAGCTACCTGAGACCAGGCTGCAGCCACTATGCATGCTATTCTTAAATACTTGCACATCCCTCTCTTGAGAACAAAGATCTTCTCTGACATGAATACAACACTATAAGCATACATCAGGAAATCCACATGAATCAACACTAACATCCAACATATTGAAGTTTCTCCAAGAACCTCACAAATGTCATTCATAAAAGCTCTTTTTTCTGATCTAGGATCCAAGTTCACACCATTTGATTGTTCTGTCTCCTTAGTCCCTTCCTTTCTGGAACAGCACCCCACTTCCTTCTGTTGTTCATGACACAGACCTAGGAAGAATATCCCACAATCTGGAATTAGCCAGCGTTTTCTGCCTTGCTAGGCTTAGGTCAAACACTTTCAGTAAGAATCTCACCTAGTGACATTTATTTCCCCACTGCATCACTCTCCAAGGCTCATAAAGTCAGATCCTGGTGAAAATGGTTACTGCCAGATTTCACCACCCACAGGTACTTTTTCCTCTTTGTAATGAACACTTTGTGGTGGTCCTGTGAGACCCTGTGAATAACTTGCCCCTCAACAAACCACACCAGTGTTTCTGCATCCTTGATTGGTGCCTGACTTAGTTCACATTACCCTGGGGACTGCAAATCAGCTATTTTCTAAGTCTACCACTCCTATGTTTATTAGCAAATGTACTTCTATCTTAAGGGAAAAAAAAGACTTTTCCTCTCCTCCCTCCTTCCCTTTTGGGTTTTCTGCAAATTTGTGGATTTTAAAAAGTCATTGTGCTTAGTCATGGATTGGAAGAATTAACATTATCAAAATGGCCATCCTACGAAAAGCAATCTACAGATTCAATGCTATTCCAATTAAAATTTCAATGTCATTCTTCAAAGAAATAGAAAAAATATTGATGAAATTCATATGGAGCCACAAAAAACCCCAAATAGCCAAAACCCTCCTGAAAAAAAAAAGAAGGGAATGGAGGCATCACTCTCTCAGATTTCAAACTGTACTATAAAGCCATAATAAAACTGCATGGTATTGGAACCAGAACAGACACACGGACCAATGGAACCAAACAGAAAACCCACAAATAAACCCACAGATTTATGGTCAACTAATCTTTGACAAAAGAGTAAAGAATATGCAGTGGAGCAAAAAAAGTTTCTTCAATAAATGGTGCTGGGAAAACTGGGTCGCTACATGCAAAAGAATGAAACTTGACTACTACCTCACTACATGCACAAAAGCCAACTCAAAATGGATTAAAGAACTAGACATAGACCTGAAACCATAAGATATATAGAAGGAAATATAGGTGAAACACTACATGACATGCACCTCAAAGACATCTTTACAGACACATCGCCCAAAGCAGTGATAGTGAAGGCAAAGATCAACAGCTGGGACTACATCAAATTAAAGAGCATCTGCACAGCAAAAGAGACAATAACCAAAACAAAAAGAAACCCCACTGACTGGGAGAAAATTTTTGCACCCAACACTAATGATAAAGGATTGATCACAAAAATCTACAAAGAGCTGACAAGACTCAACAAAAACAAAGAAAATAATCCAGTCAAAAAATGGGCAGAAGAGCTAAAAAGAAACTTCTCTGAAGAGGAAATGCAAATGGCCAACAGGCATATGAAAAAATGTTCAACATCACTTGTCATCAGGGAAATGCAAATCAAAACTACCATGAGATACCATCTTACACCAGTGAGAATGGCACATATTAAAAAAACTAGCAACAACAAATGTTGGCGAGGATGTGGAGAAAAAGGAACTCTCCTGCACTGCTGGTGGGAGTGCAAACTGGTCCAACTGCTATGGAGAGCTGTGTGGATATTCCTCAACCTACTAAAGATAGAGCTTCCATATGATCCAGCAATTCCACTCCTAGGTATTTACCCAAAGGACACAGAAACATCAATTCCAAAGAACACCTGCACCCCTATGTTTATAGCAGCACTATTTACAATAGCTAAGCTTTGGAAACAGCCCAAATGCCCAAAAATAGATGACTGGATCAAGAAGATGTGGTCCATATACACCATGGAATATTACTCAGCAATCAAAAAAGATAAACACATGTAATTTGCAGCAACATGGATGGAGCTGGAAGGGATCATGCTCAGCGAAATAAGCCAGTAAGAAAAAGAAAAATACCAGATGGTCTCACTCATAGCAGGAATCTAGAAAACCTAAATAAGGGACTAGGAAAAAGAATAACTATAAGAAAGAAAAAATCAAAATCAACAAACAACTATGAACCAGAGACACTCTATAGGGGGTGGGGGGGCAGGGAAAGGATGGATTGGGGTCAAAATAAGGGGGTTGCAATTCTATGGGAAATATAAAAAAAAAGTCATTGTGCTTAAATGCCTATCATCATTATTCTTTCTGATGTTCAAACTGCCCAAAATGAGACCAGTGGGACTCCTTTTAAGATTGTTCCCTAGTCCTTTTGACATGACACTGTTAGCTTTTGACCACTTTCTTATTGTCAACCATAACAAGTTGCCCTGCTGCAATCTAGAAATCACGTATTTCTCCAAGAATCCCTAAATCCTTTTCATGGGGAATGGCATTTAGAAGTCAAAATCTGGGCATTAGCTACATTTCAACCATTAGATTTAACACTTCAAAGACCCGCTCTTTGGTTATTTTTCAGATCAACCGGTCGTTTCCAGTGATCTTTTGTTCTGTTCAACTATATTTAAATATCATGGAGCAATAAATTTGGTCCAACTGGGGTAAAGAAGTGGAAGAAAATGAGGCATGGAAACAATGGATAAGGAGGAGGGAGAGGGCACATTCACCCAGCAGGTAACGCCGAGCAGAAGGTACCTTTGCAACTGCCGTGGGGGCTGCTTTGGGTCTGTCAAGCTGATTCTACTGCACCTTGTTTTGAAGTTTATTGGTGGATATTTGTTGATTGCACCTAAGAAGAGAAAAATCTGTGATGAGTTTCTTGCTCATGGCTATTAATACTGCAGCAATCTGTATGCTACGTGTCACTTCTCCGCTTTCAAAGTCCAGCAAAGAAAGATACCAACGAAGCTGTCCATGAAAGATAAAAGCAGGTTTCTTGGGGGCATCTCTAACACTGGGTCTATATATATATATATATTTGTTGAATTTACAGGTAGAGAATCCAAATCAATAAGAATTCCATCTGAATAAGATGCCCTTAGCTGCTGAAGTTGGTCAAACCTTAGAGGAAATGTTATGAACCAGTTCTAAGACCCTGGCCTCTGATTGACAGGAACTCATCAGAATTTTTTTTGGCTCCTTTGGGATCTTCACCTGCAAGTAGAAAGGGACGTCCCCTTCGTGGTCACTGCATCGTCATCAACACCAGTAACAGTGACGCTATCTTGGATTTAATTCAGTAGGGGCTCATTTCATTTGAAGTTACATTCATGTTTCACGCTACCAAAGCATGCTTCTCCACACCACTTAAACATTCAAAAGCCATTTTTTGATGTGAAGCTTTAAAAAGTGTCCTATTTCCTGGAAGCATTCAGTTGACCAGACTTGTTAAACAGTGTCTTCCTGGTGGCCCAGGCTCATCGAAGGCACCATTTCCGAGCCACGCCTGCAGCTAGTCTGTGCGCTTCTGGGCTGGATGCCCATGGCTGTGACATGCCCTTCCTCGTTCACCTGAGTTTTGATTTTTTCCTGTGTGTGTATATTAACTCTGAGGTGCCAGGGCATTTGTCAGTAGGCTACCTCCCCCTCTTAGAAAATGTGCTGATTTGGCAGTAGGCTGTGCTCAAGAGCAACTCTGCTTGCACCAGTGTCACCATGAATTAGATGAGCTGCACTGGAGTCCCAGGAGGGCAGTGACCATGTGTATTCTGGCCATTCCTCCGCATACCAAACCTGCGCTGTGAGGGGCAGGGGCCGGATGGACATGGCAGTGCCAGGCAGATGAATGTCTGTGGGCCGGCACACTTTCAAGGTAAGTTCATGCCAAGAAATACAGCCCATGTTTCTTTTTTATGGGCACCAGTTACACTAATTACTAAAATCACAAAAAATGTTAACCAGGCTGAGAACGTTTTGCTAGGATGTAGCTTTCATTCTTAAAGGTAAAGTGGTATCTATACTAAGCACTTCAAGTCCTGTTTTCGGAACTTGCAAAAAGCAAAGGCAAGAAGAGCTTCATTTTTCTTGGGCTCTCTCTTTGGCACGTTAACTGCTGGAATTTGCCATCAAAGGGCAGGGTACTAATGGTACCTGGCAAGGGTTTCTACTTTCTAGCTGAATCTGTGACTTCACACCCCAGACTCTACTGCTCCCTGCAGACAGATGTGAGCAGCTGTCTGTTATGATTGCTTCTCCACAGGAACCATAGGACAGTCAAAGAAGATGAGCCAGAACACTGACTGCATAGGAGGGCTCCCTCCCCTCCACCCGCCACCATTCATCATCACATATTTTCCTTTCTGACCCCACAATACCCTTCAAAACAAACAGGAGGTTTCCAAGACTCCTCGTTTTGGAAATACCAAGTTCACCCCAATGTGCAAGAAAGAACACTTTATGACTTACGCCTGAGCGAGTTCACAAAGGACTTCACAAACTTCACACCGTATCTGTGGTCAGGTTTATGAATTCGGCCAAGCTGGACTAAGTGTTGATCCAGAGGGGAGCTGGCGAGATCTTCCAGCTCCTTATCATTCCAAGCAGGCCCAAGGGAAAACACAAATAGGGCATATCCTTGACATTTGGCTCGCAAAGATTCTTTCTTCAAGGTCTCCCTGTCTAAGGGACTGGTCTCCCCAGCAGATATCACAAATATGGCTCTGTTTCTCCTCAGATTGGGCGTGTTTAAAAAGACATTGTCCAGAGTCCACCGCAGGGCGTGGCCGATGAAAGCATCACCGTTGAGCTGCTGGACCGACGCTTCCACGTGCCTCTTCATGAGGCGCTGGCTGCAGTAGGTGGTGAGGTTGAACTCGGTTCTAACAGGGCTCGTGCGCGTGTTGGGCCGGAAGTTGGGGGGGGCGTGACTCACGAGGGCCACCCGGTCTCCAGTGATAGAGGTCTCTGGCTCCTCAGCCACTTCAAAGTGATCCAACAGGGCCACCAGGAAGTCTCTTATGTCTTCGAAGTCAGCACTGCCCACCTGCCGGGAGCTGTCCAGAAGGAAGGCGGCATCCACATAGGACTGCAGGGTGGGTGGTCGGGCTTCCTGGCAAGAAGCATCTGGGTTGCACACATCTGCGGGCCCAAAGTCACTGGGGTTATTGAACAGAAAGGCAGAGCAGAGGAAGCACAGCACCACAGAGACGTGACATTTAGAGACTGCTTCATCTCTGATGTTAAGATAGTTATTAAATGACTCTGATCTCAACGACAGGAAGGTCTCCTAGTGCACGGTTTGTACCTCCATCCCCAAAGTAAAGACTTCACCCCCAGCCCCTTAAGGCTCCTTGACTTTTTAAAATTAAGCTGCTTTCAACCCAAGTTTAGCCTCGGTGGTGTTTTACATCCCTAAAGACTGAAGCGGAGGATCTCGCTCATCACACTGGTAGGGTGTGCTGGATCATGACGTGAAAACGAATGCTCCATCTCTAGGTTGACAATAGGCAGGTGAGGTCAGTGGCCTTAGCACTATGCTCACAGTTCCTTCTCTGGAAAGCAATCTGCTTATTGTGGTGATGGTGCACGGGTGCCTTGGGGAAGGAAATTCTATGGGGACTCAACCTGAGAGGGTTTGGGGGAAGCAAATATTGCTTAAAAAAAAAAAAAAGTAATCTGCTTAAGAAGTGAGAATTTAAAAAAACCAATCATTTATTTCAATTTATTTCAACTTAAATAAAGGTTTATAACTCAAAGTCTAGCTGTACATTAGATGTTAAGGACAAAGTTACGACTCCTATTTATATCTCCATGGTGCTTTCAGTTGAAAATTCAATTTGTGCTTGTAAAATAAATAGATATAAATACTGCATATTAATGGGCTTCCGAAACTGTAAGATCTTTTTTTTTATAAATATGTACATCTCATTTACCAAAAGAATGTGTAGTAATAAAATCATAGTGAATTTTATGAAAATGAAATCTGGCCGCAATGAATATTCAGGGGGATTAATATAACAATGGAAATGGAAGGCTCTTAGAATTCATGTGATCTTCTAATAGTCCAAAGAGACAGAAGAGGCCAGAGAAGTTAAAGAATTAGATAATTAGAGAATTCTAATTGTCAGAAGAGGCCAGAGAAGTTAAAATCATTTTCCAAAGGACACAGCAGTGTCCTCTAGAAGGTTCTGTGGATGAAGTCAGCAGTCTAGTCTAAGGCGCAACAGAGACCAGGGGTTTAATGGGGAGAGGCCCCTGGGTCTGAGAGCCAGGACTCTGCGTTCTGGTCTGTCCCAGACACACTGGTGCCTTATCGGGCCAGCACGGGCCACAGGATCTATCTGCAGGGTGAGGTGCTTGATCAGACTGACCCAGGGAGCCCTCCCAGGGCTCACATTTTATAGTCCTTGGTGCTCAGCAGTAACTGATGGCTGAAGACTGAGAATGGCCTCTTTGAGAACCAGAGAAGAGAAAGGGAATAACATGCACATGGAAACTGGTGCTGGCTATGGACACAGCCATGAGTAAAAGCTGTATTAGGTGGAAGCCTAAGACCACAGATCCCAAGGGATGCCACGAGTTTCCCCACATCAGTCTCATGCGCAGCCTCTGCACAGCCATGCTTCCCTTACTGAGCTCAGGGAGACTTCATGGCCCTGTTCAATGGTGAGGTGACAGGGAACACCTGTGCGCGAGGCAGATTCTGGAACCGGGGACAACAGGCTGCCCATTTGCTCATTTTTTCTAATGGCAGGAAACAACGGCCAAAAAATCTTCCATTATATGCCTAAGAGTCAAAACAAGGGTCGATGCCAAGAAATGGAGCCAAAATCCATCCCCAGTCACACACGTGCCACTTCTGCCTGTGTGACATCCCAGCGCGCTGCTGTAGCGACATGTTTGAGAGCACATGCGAGAATGTGGAGGGTGGGACGCAGGTCCCACAGCACCGTCAGCACAGAACTGCTGGGAGCCACCTGCTGGGGAGAAAATCCTGCTTCCCAGAGTTACCACCTCCCTGTGAGGTCATCTATATGGCAAGCACTAGCATCTCACTGACACAGGGTGGAGAGGAATTAAGCATTTTCTTAGGGAGTTTCTGGGAGTAGTAAAATGGAATCTTCACTCCCACATTGCAGGCATTTAAAAGGCAGCTTTCACCGCGAACCGTCATCCCCTGTGCTCGTCCCTCCCTCTCTCCCTTCCCTCCCCTGCTGTTTGTCTCAGATCTATAGTTTGCCTTTGAATTTTGTCTTTTTCTTTTCTTGCCTTAGACCCTTTGTTTGGTTCCCCTATTTCCCTCCTATAGGGAGGGATATTTTTCTTTTTCCTTTTGTTTCATTGAGCATAGTCCTAGCTCCATCCATGTTGCCGCAAATGGCATCAGTTTCTCTTTTTTGGTCAGTGAGTAGTATTCCACTGTGCATATAGACCACATCTTCTTGATCCAGTCATCTGTTTTTGGGATTTGGGTTGTTTCCTGTCTTGGTTATTGTAAATGGTGCAGCAGTAAACATAGGAATACACGGTGATGTGGTGGTGGGAGATTTATGAGGACTACACCCAAGTGGGGAAACCAAAGGTTGTACAAAAATGAACACCAATGTGAGAAAATAAAGTTTTTTTTAAAAAATCAGAGATTTAAAAAAAGAGTCAGCTTTCCTGAATTTGATGTTTTAATAGATGTGAGGCCCTGGGCAATTTCTCTCTCTTCCCATCTTCCTCATCTGTAAAATGAAGCTAGTAATAGTGCAAATATTTCGGACCACTAGAGGACTGAGTGGAATAATTAGAAGAGAGCCTGGAGCACTATAAGCACAACAGCTTAAGGACTAACTATCATCATCATCATCATCATCATGCAAAGCATTAAATCATGCATGATCATGCCCACCACCAGTAACCTCAGAAGCCTCCACTGTCTTCCTCAGCACTAGAGCAAGCAAACTGCTAGAATGCGCAAAAGCAGGGCTAGCTAGTTTTCCAGCTAGGCTACATCTCTAGACTGGGTAGAAAACATAAAAGACAAAACGGCCCTGCAGATCTTTTCTGATGTTTAACATTTGGGAATCTATATAAATCTCATTCCCCTGGGCCTCCCTGGTGGCGCAGGAGGTTGAACGCTGTACTGTGAAGCTGTCCGCAGCCTCTATAGCTCTGGTTTGATCCCTGCTGGCCGGCGAGAATCCCACATGGCACAGCAGACCTCTCCTGACTCACCCGCTGCTCCCCTCAGCAGTGTGCTTCGGTCCTTCTGCCTGTTCTGTTCCTCGCTCTGTCTCTGGTGAACCCTCTCACCCTCCTGTGCATCTGGCCTGTACCCCGGTTCTTGTATAAATAAATAAATCTTGCAAAAAATCAAATCTCTTTCCAGTGAGAGATGCATGAATTTCTGCTAATTTCACTTCCGTTCTACTGAAACACATTCCCAAGCAGGCAGGAGGGGCTGAACTGCTGTGGAGCATTTCTTTGGAGATGGAGAAAACATGAACCTGTATGACAGCATGATAACTCGGCAATGAGACAGGCTGACTTTTCTAAAAGTCATTACTGTTTTCTGGAAACCACAGAGTGGAGGGGTCTGGAATGCAATCCTGATAGGTGGAGACCCACGTCACTGAGCTGAGCAGCTCTGTCTGTGGATGACGCAGGGTGGTGAGGTGAGCCTGGAGCGCCAGGGAAAGTGTCCCTAACCACTCAGATCCCTGCTGCCAAGTGTCAGCCGCTCCTGCCAATGGTGACTCATCGCACTTAATAGGCCTAATCAAATTATGCTCTCTCTGTGGGTCTTACCGTGGCAGAATGTGCACAGTTGTAGTCTCTCTAGCGCTGGTGTGTGGTCAGCCCCCGATGGAACCATTATAACTTGGAATGTGCCAGTGTCGTCGATCTGCAAGGCACAGAAGAGAAATAGCAGCTTAGTGGGAGGTCGTGCTGATCATGAGCTTCTGAGAGCTCAGTGCTGCCCCTTCCCAGAGGGTCGTGGGAGGCTTGGCGAAGCATGACTCTCCCCTTAGCCGCATGAAAAGTGACTTTGCTTCTGTTTCCTCAAGGAACAATCACACCAGTAGCTATCGGACACTGTGAGCGTTACCTGAAGTCGCAACTGAAAATGCTTCGTAGCCCAGGTGGACACTGCATGCTATGAGCCACATGTCCCTACCTGTTAGCTCAGCAGTCCGGGAGTTCATTCTTACATTCATCACCCAGAGGAGGACACAGAAACTCGGAGAAAGATGAAGGGACTGATATTCTCTTCATCTCCCTGGTGGCACAGGCAGTTGAGCACAGCGCTGTGAAGCTGTCCGCAGCCTCTGCAGCACCAGTTCAATCCTGACCAGCTGGCAAGGGTCCCACATGGCGCAGCAGACCTCTCCTGCCTCACCTGCTCTCCCCTCAGCAGTGTATTTCAGTCAGTCTGCCTGTTCTGTTCCCCGCTCTGTCTCTGGTGAATCCTCTCACCTCCCACGCATCTGGCCTGAATCCCAGTTCTTGTATAAATAAATAAATCTTTAAAAAAGAAGTCACTTACATGGAAGCTACTCAAGGAAGAAAAGCGGAACCCCCACCCCGCCCCAAGTCCCAGAGAACCACGTGGAATTGTGGGCCCTGCTTCATCACTATCTCTGAACCTCCCTCCACCCCGCCCAGAACCTGGGGAAGCAGCTCTGCCATGTGGACACAGAGCAGAGCCTGGGCCGGGGAGCTGTGCTCTGAACCACGCCCCGTCCTTCCCCATTTGGCTGCGGGTTAGCGATCTGCAGGGGGAATTTGAGGAGAGCGAGCCGGGGCGATAAGACGGTTCCAAGGTTCCAAGCAGTGAAGCATCGCGAGCTCTCCAGCTCGCTGACTCAGGGATCAGGGAAAGGGAGATTGTAGGTATGATCCCAGCTCATGCCTCAGGGACGAGGCAGAGGGCAGTTTCCTCTGTGACCCCTCCGACTGAGTCTCTTTCTCGGGGACGTTTCTGCCTGTGCGTTATCTATGGCGGGAGGACAGACAGCTGGCTTGGACGGGGCCTCTGTCCCTCCCCGAGTAGCGGGTGGCTCACAGCAGCGGGTGGATGCTTTGTTGGGGCCAGCAGGACTCCTGGGAGTGACCCTGTGGCTGAGCCTCACTGTCAGGCACCTTCCGAGCCACCGTGGCCCCGGGGTCCTTCGGGACCACACAGTCAAGTTTCCATCCTCCAGCTAAAGAGCCGTCACAGGAATGGCTTTTCCTTGATCAAAGTCAGATATTTACATGACTGATAAGTTTATAAAACCAGGTGACTGGTTTTCAGATACAGCAACGACTACTATGCAGTTATAAAGTGACACCCACGGGTGCTTATGGGTCTTCTGATTTCCCATCTTTAACCCAGAGGGGCCCGAGGAGAAGCAAACCTTTGAGCCCCGACAGTTGTCACTTCTTAGCTGTGAGGCCCTGGGCATAGAGGTGACTTCTCCCGGCTGTTTCTTACTCACACACTAGGAACCGCAACCACGCCTGCCTCCCATCGCTGTGACTCAACCAGGGTGACACACAGGAAGGGCTTAGCAGACTCCACAGTGACGTGGTATGGTCCATGCTTCCTAGGGAGTGCACGCCTTACAAGTGACAGGAAGGCTGACCCCTCTTACCGCAAAGGCGCGCTTGATGGAGGGCACGTTGCTGAAGGCGATCACCACCGGAACAATGTCAAGGGCGCTGAACTCCATGGTGGCTGTGGTGATGGCCTGGGCATCAGCAGACTGACCGCTGCTGAAAAACGTGGCGATTCTCCTGGTGTGAGCCCCGGGAAGCGTGCGCTTGAAGACATTCCTGGAAATAAACCTCATTGCTTTGCCAATCTCCCCGCCGTCTGAGGACTCCTCATAGGGGAGGGCCTCGACTTCCCTGAGCAGGCGCTTCTTCCTGTAGGTGTCTGAGAAGCGGATGAGGTGCCTGGTGTGGGAGTTGTAGGAGAGGATGGCGACGCGGGCGCCCACAGGGCAGCTGTTCTCCCGGACCCTCATGTTCCTCAGCACGGAGGACACCATCCTCTTCATCCGCTCAAAGTCCTGCTTGGTGACACCCCGGGACTGTTCTAAAGCGAACACCAACTCGGTTGGGTGCACGGGGCATTCTGGCTTCCCTGAAAGACAAGACACTGATCCTCATCACGGAGCCCACTTACTTCAAAATAATACAAAACACATAGATGGCAAAGTAACAGTAAATACCAGAGTCAAATATTTAAAGATTTAATAAGCATGACCAATTTAAATGTAAAAAAGACTTAAAATGTTATTTGAATCTTGAATGGGCAAAAATTCTATTCCAAAAACTGAATTTGTTCTCTTAAGCAAAAGTCTGTAATTCAATTTTTTAGTGAAATGTGCACATTAATTACCAAATTGCCAGTAAATAATAAAGAATTCTGGGTAGGCAGATCTACTGCGTTACCTACAGAGACTGAATCAGTAGCTTTGTTTGTTGCTGGAACTTTACTCAATTTTTACCTGGAAAGAAAAGGATGCAAAGGCTCTGTTGATACTTCCAGGAAGACTGGAAGCATGCTTATGCAGTACACGGAGCAGACCCCCAGCTGCCAAGACCTCAGGTGCTGCAGGGAGTGCAAGAAGCCCTGGGCTAGCCCCTACTGGCCACAGGACCTCGTCCACATGACTCACACTTTCTGTGTCTCAGTTTGCTCCTCTACAAAATCCCAACCCCAAGAGCCCCCATTGCACAGCCCTGTGTCGAGGATTAAATGAATCAACACAGAGCACTTAAGTGACAGTACCTGGCACATAGTAGGTGCTCAATTAACACAAGCCACCCCTGTGAGTATTTTCATCCTAGAGCTTTTCATGTGTTCAAGAACTGTATCATTGAAAGACTGAGAAAAGCTTTCACTGACATATTTTTAGTGAACAGTAAAAATGCAAGTTTAACCAAGAAACAGGACTTATTACTTAGAGAAACACTGAATTATAATTGAGACTTACACTTCAATATAGCCATTAATATCAGATTTATTCATGGATTCATTCATTCTAATCTCAGTGCCCTGCACTTTTCACAGTTGGCAATTTCTATTTGTCTGATGATCTGATTAATGTTTGCCTTACCCATAATTATGACATGCAGTGACAGGGATGTTTTCTCTCTGATCTGCCACATTATTAGTCCCTGTTGTCTATCTGGGACCTCCTAAACACTGACTGCATGAAAAAGAATGAAACAAAGGACAGTTCATTGTTGCAGGCACAGGAAGAAAACTGGGCTTTAATAATGGCTGAGATGCCTGGCGTTGAGATGTATGTTGGCAAAAGGAAATCTCAATGATGTTACGTCCTTCAGATGCCAGCAAGTCGGACAGGGAGATTAAATAAATGCTTCCTGCACTCACCAGCCCTTCCCAGGGAGCTCAGGCACTCAGACCCACTGGGCTAGGCCAGGGTGACCAGGGAGGGGTCATCCCCACAGGAACCCAGGGAGTCCTGGTCACCTTAGTGTTAGGGCGTCACCTCTTTGTGGCCCAGGACCCTGTGACCTTATTCTGACTAGTAATAAACAGTCAAAGCCAAATCAAACTGCATCTCAATAGAGACAGGACAAAATTTATTAATTTATGGACCAAAAATTAGGTATTAAAGAAAATTGAGATGTCAATTTACAAGAAAAAAAATCTGGAACTGTAACCCCAGAGAAAGTGGTGCTGTAGCTTTTCCTTGGGAATGTTATTTGCATACAGACACAGTGATCGCCACAGCTGCAGGTATAATTTAGAGATCAAGGGGAAAAAAAGATTCACAGGACTGGCTGAAGATACGAATAAAAAAATTTCTCCAGTTTTGGGGAAAAAAACCTAAGGGTCGATTCAAATGGCAAAATGCATCCTCTATGATCCAGCAAGCTACTAGGAATCCCACGGCTCTGAGGAATTCAGACCTGAATGGCTATGGCAGCCAGGAGGGCCTGCTGGGGCTGTGGTGACGAGGTGAGCCCTCCCGTGGCTCTGCGGCCACACACGGTCTATGTGGATGGCTCCTGTTTGGCACAGTACAGGGGATGACAAGGACATAGGACAGCAAACCCAAATGGCTGCCTGTAACCAACACACGGCAAGGTGGCCCCTCCCAACCATCACCACCTCGCCCAGAACACACTACCCTCCTTGCCAGCCCTCCAGTTCTCCCTTCCCCGTGCCTCTTCCACAGCAGCCCAAATAAGCCTTAAGAAATTATTCATCAGATCACACTCTCCTCCTTCCAGAACTTCCAATAACCTTTTTAATAACCTCTTACAATTCAAACAAAACTAGCCTCCTCATCATCACCTGTGAAGCCTGGCTTGATCTGGTCCCTGCCTACTTCTCCAGTCTCTCCTTCCCTAAGCCTTGGTTGTACTGGGCCTCTGTCAGTTTCTAGAAAATACCTAGGGCTGTCCTAGCTGGTGGCCTTAACACTTGAGTTCTCCCTGCCTGGTTTCCAAACACTATTTCCTTTCACTTCTTCAGCCCAAACCTTATAGTCCCTGCCTCACAGAGGCGCCTTCCATGCAAGGGCGAGTCTCTTCTTCCTAGACATTATTCTGTGATGGAGCCTCCTGCTTTTGAGCTCTTTCATGGCAACCACAGGATCCTGCAATTCTTTTATTTGTGACTATCTAGATCCCCCATGAGGACCCAGCTCTGAAGACCGGGATCATATCCATCCTATTCAGCTCTGTGTTCCCACGGCCTAGCACAGAGAGGGCACATAACAGGCTTTCAATAAAGATGTGTTGAATGAGCGAGCAGTAATTGGAGGCCAGGGGTGCCCATGGGGGGACAGACACACATGGAGACATGAAGCTGTACTCCCAAATCTTAGACCATATTGTAAACCAGGGGTCAATTAATACAAATTAAAAATATATATACATAAAATCAATTGGAATTATAAAAAAGGTGTAAGGGTGATGCTGTACAAGTAGGTGATACAAATCATATAATAAACATCTGTACGATACTTGAAAACCAGCATTGAGAGGCATCAAGCCTGGCTGGTCATTAACATCAGGCGGGGAGCAGGGGCAGCGGCCTCCCGAGTGCAAGTGCAGCTTACATGCTAGGGCTCACGTCTGCTTTTTCCCCATGCTTTGCCCACTCTTTCTTAGTCCTTAACCACCAGACTGCAGAGACAATAATACTGAAAAAAAGGGGAAAAAAAAAAAAAGGAGGGAAAAATACTAGCATAAAAAAAATCCACTGACAAGGTAAAATAGCAATGTTAATCACGAAAATATTAAAGATAAAAAAAATCAAACCAGCTGGTTGAAGAATAGCTGTAAGATTCCACCAAAACTCAGTGATTTTTATTAGCGCAGGTCTGGGTTACCAGGATGAAGCAGCAGAGACAGCCCAGAGAAAATTCGTGTCATTCGGCAGGCAACACAATATTTGAATTCATTTTCCCAGCTGTGTGATGTTTTGGGGCTTGATTATAATATGCTGCAAATAAAGACCACTCACCATGTCCGCCAGCTGGGGAAGAAGCACAAAGGAGACTGGTTACTATTTGGTAGAACAGTCCTGTACTGTGTAGGATGATGACCTACACAGAGCCGAGGCTCTGCCCCATGTGCTTTTTGCAGATGACTCAAAAATCAAGGCACACATAGGGCTTGGAGAAAATGCAGACAGATCTCAGCCTCTGTGTAAAGGCATCATCCCTTCCATAGGGAATGGACTGGGGGGTTGGACAGTAGGCAGCCAGAATCAGCAGCCTGCAGCCACGTCAGGGGGTAAGGACATGTGTCTCCCACGAAGGAGGCTGCAGAGCGCACTGTGTCTGGAAGGTTAAAAGGTCCTACCCTCTCTTAACTCTGGTCCACCCACTTTAGCTATCTAGAGCTATCAGTTTTATTTATGCACATGTATCAATTATATAGCCATATAACTTGTGAATATATGTGCATGCAAACACACATTATGTGTATGTATGTATAGAAGGTGTATACATATATATAACATACAAACATACACGCATGTGTATACATCTCACGCACACATAGGTGCATGTACATATACGGCTGACTCATTGGGGCTGGGAGGGCTGACCCTTCAAAAACACCTGCATATCACTACTGACTGCTCCCCCCAAACTTAGCTAATAGTCTGCTGTTGAACTCACTGACACTATCAACAGTTGGTTAACACATTTTGTATATGTTATATGTGACTTTCTACAATAAAGGAAGCTGGAGAAAAGACAATATTGAAAGAATCACAAGGAAGATAAAACACATTTGCAGTACAGATGCATTTGTCTACACCATGTCATTTGTTTACAAGAAAACCAGCACGGATGTAGACACACACAGCCCGCCCTGTGTAGTTTGAAGGTGAATGCTCTTCCTGTACACCTGTGCACACACGTTAACATCAGAGCTGAAGCTGCTGGGAAGCAAATGAAGCTTGAGGCTCAGGCTTGCACTGTCCAATATGGAAGCCACGAGCCACAGGTGACTATGTTGTCATCAGAATTAAGTGGAATAGAGAATTCAACTCTCCTGCTGCACCAAGCACACTCAGTACTCAGAGTCCCTGGCAGCTCGTGGCCGCAGCACTGGACAGGGAGTGGCCACCTCCAGCACCAAAGTTCTACTGGCCCACGGGTGCCAGCCTCCCACTTGCAGGGGCCCTGGGCACATGTCCCCACAGCCCTGTGCTTTTATGACATGCAGAAAATCCCATCACATATGGGTGGGTCCAGCCTGTTACAGAGGCAGAGGATCACCCATGCCTTCGAAGCTTGTTGATATCTCTGCATCTTGACAATCTATGCTCACTACAGAAACAGGCTAGAGTTTATTTTTCTCCCCCAAAATGCTCTGGGAAACTTCTGACTCTTCCTTCCAGTCCTAGTGTTTATTTGGGGTGTCATTGTGCCTTTGTTGATGAACAGTCTGCAAACTGTTCAAGTCTACGGACTATTTAACAGATGAGTCTATTCTCTCGTGTTCTACAAGGACTCCCCTGATGTGCTAACACACACACTCTGATAGAAGAGGCTGCTATCGGGATCTTAAAGTAAATTACAAAGAGCATTTGCCAAATCAAAGTGCCTTTTTGCTTTTACAATTTCCAGAGAGAATATAATAGCAGAATGAATGATGTTACAAGCCTATCAATCCATTCGGCTAAAAGCAGTCAAGCATGCATTTCCAGGAAAGGAGTAATGAACAATCAGCCAAAGTCAGGGTCCCCACCCACTGGGGTGCCCTATTATCATGGCTGTCTCACACCAGGTGATGTCACCTGTCAGTGACTGTCAGGTATTAATAATCACTTTCCAAAGTGCAATCTGATTCTCTACAGATTGATTTCAACATCAGCAGGGTTCTGACCTCCTAGGACAATTTCTCCTGGATTAAAAGTACTAGATATATTATTACTTAGTGCTTGGAACGGGTTCCAATAGATATACTGGCAGCCAGGAAGGGAGTTAATAGTCACCCATCTATTCTAACTCAAAATATATGCACTGACATTTCTAATTTTAAGAAACTGGCTGTTAAATTGTCTCAATTCTGAGTACAGATTTCACTGCCTTCTGTGAATGCTGACTCCTTGGCTGATCGTTTTAAGCAGGTACTTACGTCTCTGGTCCCGCACATACTGAATGAGCTCACATGTCTGCAGTTCAAAAATAAAAAAGAAGGGATTAACTGACGGGCTGCCAGGTCCTGAGGTTTAAAAAATAAATATGCTTAAGGGAGTGCTGAGAGCACACTGCTGAGCCAGGAGATACATACGGAAAATGAAGCCAGTCCTTTGGTCCCTTTCACACCCTAGGGAAACAGACAAACAAATGCAAGCTTACTGCTCTAGACACATACATCCATAGCAAGAAAGCGAACGGCCTCATCCTAAGAGAGTGATAACTTTTTGAGGTGTTTCCTATTAAGATAGGGGAAATAAGACCATTGGTAGGATACCCATCAACTACATGAGAGGCATTCTAAGGGGAATAAACCGCAGGCAGCAAGCATGAAGTATACAGACTCCAAAAGCCACTTTCCCCATCTCTGGGTGACAAGGGTTTCCCAGAACCTAAGGATGGAGTGCTTGGGAGCAGCCCATGACTCAGAGCTCGAGATGGCGCAATACCCATGGTGGCCACTCCTCTGAAGGCAGAGGTTTGGGGTTCCTCCACTCCAGGCTGTGGAGCCAAACCTGTGTCTGTTCCCATCACTGGTCAAGGGGACCAGACTCAAACCCAACATACAGAAAGGTAATCCCAACTGTCTTCCAAAAAGGAATACAGATATAGATTCCTGTCTGGGTTGGGGATAGAAAGAATGACATGGAACTGGCTCTATTCCAAGTGCTCAATCCCATCTTGGAACAGGTGAGTCTGGCTACTCAAAAAGAGACACCCCAGGAAAACTGCACTGGAGTTTCCCCCCAAACTCCTGGAGGTACTAAGTTCCATATGGGTCAACTTTGATCCTTTATTCATTATTTTCTCTTTGATTCATTCACTGATCACTTATTGACTATGAGAAGAGAACAAGGATTGGACTGATAAACAAAACTTAATGATCATTGAGAAATCTCATTTTAGTGTAATACTCTTCATTTTCTCTCTTAATTCCCCCCTGCCCCAAGAATGGCAACCAATATTTAATTATCATTTACCCTCCTTTTTGAGCACTAAAATGTGGGAAAACAGTGAAAATAGTAGCCAAGCTGCAAAGACAAAATGCCATATGCTTGGACAATGAAGACTCCATTGTCTTCCACTGACAAAAAAATGTCTCCATGGACATTTTATCTGGAAAAGGATCTAGTGTTGTTTATGGCTTTTCAGCTTACCTTGCGTCCAGGAGGTCCTTGCTCCCCAGGGGATCCCTGCTCTCCTGGAAGCCCAGCAGATGTCTTAAAACAGAATGTATTTCAAAATTATATTTTTATATATGTGTGTAAGTTAAATTTCAAAGACAATACACTTTCATCTTAGAAAATTAAGAGCTATCTAAAAAGCACATAGAAGGGAAAAAAAAATCCTCAATATTTCCTTCTCCCCCAAATAATCATTGCTAACATTTGGTGTATTTTCTGCTTTTAAATATTATTCTTTTGCTATTAAGATATATACTCTTTTAAACATATAATGCTATACTTCTTTTCTGTTGCCTTTTAAGCTAAATGTGCATTTCTGGACATTTTCATGTTACTAAAAATTCTTTGGTAAAATCACTTTATAGGACTGCAGATTATTCCATCACATGGATGTACCTTGATTTATTTTATCAGTCCTTTATTTCTGGCATTTAGGATTTGGTGTTTTTACAGTAAGCAACACAATTATAAAGTTATATGCATAATATTGATTATTTCCATGGATTGCTAGAACTGGAATTTGTAGGTCAAAGGAGACATTTTTATCTAAATTAAACAGCAGGAAAATATCTGAAAAACAAATGAAAAGTCAAGAAAAACATTTAAATATAAAAACCCTTGAAATAACAAAAAAACAAGCAATAATTGCCTGAAAATATCTGCAGCGAAATGGTGGGGGGTGGGGGGGAATAACAGCAGTTAGAAAAACAACAGCTGTTGACTATTTACTATGTGCCATGAATTTTTCCATGTGTATTCAACAAGATAATCAAAAAGAAACATAATTTAGTTTTAAAATTAGGGCCACATTCCTTTGTTGATTCAAAATGCTACAGGTTTTATGACCGTTTATAGGAATAAAAAATGAAGTTGTCTAAAATCAACTTAATATGTAAAAGCCTTGCTTATGGAAGAGCAAATAATTATTAATACCCTTGGATATTTCAATGATATTTACAGTATACTGGGACGAGAAAAGAAAATTACTGCATATGTTGTTTAGAAGACAGAGATTCACCCCCAGGATATAAAATCGCGGGTTGAATGTATATTCTCATTTTTGCTCCTGCCCAGTGTCTTACTGAAATGATAGTAAGGATTTTTTTAAGGCCAAAATAACCTTGACAAGGATGGGGAGAAGGAGAAACAGTCATAAACCTTTGGAGGCTGGAAAGCAGATGTCTAAGTGTTAAATGACGTAGCAGATCACAAAAAGCTGCATCTAAGCCAGCGGCAGGCAAGTGTGTTCTGTGCGTGTGACTCAGTCCCAGAAGGCTCAGCACTGGCAGCACCAGGCAGCTCTAGGAGTGGAGGGGAAGGGGAGAAGCTAATGAGGAGGCTGGTTGAAAATCATTTTCAGACTCTCCAAATTCCCTCTCCTTTCTCCACACTTGGGACAATAACCCTTCTTGCACCCCAGCAACAGACAGAGGTAAAACCAAGTGTCTGTGCAGGACTGAAGGTCAAGGACACAGTTCGGAAAACAGGAAGATCAAGTGCGGGTGTAAGAAACAGATGTGAGAACCTCCACTCTCCTTTTCCACCTAGCAACTAGAAAGCTGCCAGTCAGACCTTTACCCTTAGGCAGGAAGTTGAAAGTAACTTCTCAGGAGAATCTCACTAGATCAGGAAGAAAGTCTTGAGATACTGCTAGCAGAGGCTTGCTAGGAACACAGCCAGACCCCTTTCCAGTGAAGCTTGTACTGTGGTTGACCAGCCCTCTGTCCTTGGGGCTTCCAATCAGCACTTTGTCCTCTGTCCTTAACTAGAAAGCCATCACCCATTCCCGAGACTTGTGAGGAATAGCAAAAAAGAAAAACAGAAAATAAACAAAAATAGAATAGAAATAAACAAAAACAGAATAGCAAAATAGAAAAAAAAAAAAAAAGGGAGGAAAAGGCTATGTTGGGCAAAGAAGACTGAAAAAAATGTTACTGTGTAGCCTTAGAGAAAGAAGACATTATAACCATGAAACCAGAATAGGACACATAAAAAAATAATCAGAGAACAAAAATGAGTTCTTGAAAATTAAAATGTAAGAGGAGTGTTGTAAGGTAAAGCCAAAGAAACCGCCCAGAAAGTAGGGCAAAGAGACCACCTGGGAGACAGCCAAGAAAAGGGGCGGAGGCACTGCCCCCCTTAACAAGGCTACGAGATGGTGTGACTAGTCAAGCCAGTGGTTCGGTATCAGACAGTGTCTGGAGATGAATTTAGCTGCACTGTTACAGGAAGGGGGAGGAGAGACAGTTGATGGTGCTGGCATCTAGTGGGCAGAGACCCGGGAGGCCGCTCAACAGTGTCAGCGAGCAGGACTCAAGGGAATTCTCCCTCCCGAGGGTCAGCAGTGCTGAGGCTGTGAAACCTTACTCTGAAACGTGTGTCAAGTTCACGGTAAGCACAGATACAGGCCAACACCAGGTCTGCACAAAACTGGTTGCACATTGTAGAAAAAAAAAATCGAGACCATGTTTCAGTTGGGGGTAAAAATCAAGGTGGAGATTTAGAAAACAAACTCGGGATAGACTCATTCTAAGAAAACTAAGGAGGCCCCAAAAATCTCAGGCAAAGCTTTACCCAAATCTCCCAACACAAATGGCAGGTTTTTCAAAGAGAAAACGTGGACTTTTCAGTATTTCAACTTCAAATTAAAAAATAGCAGATGTGGAAGCAGCGACTTGGCGGGGGAAAAAAAGAATCGAAAAGTTGACCCAATTTGGGGGGAATAGAAATTCATGTAAACAAAGGTCAAGAGAAGAAGTGTATATATTCCCCATTTGTTTATTGTTTTTAAAAAACTGATGGCTATGTCACAGAGGGGAGGAAGAGCAGCGACCATGGAACTTGTCAGCATGAGCCCCAGGTTCAAGGGTAAATGTCTTCCCTATCAAACCGAGGGAAGAGAGCTTGAGATATTTCATTCCAGATGACATCTGCATTAATTTGAAAGTTTTTTCCAATTATCTTTCTAATTATATGAGTCTTGATCCCCCTTTTTCCCCCCAAGCATAATGTTAAAGGAGAGTCGTCCAAAATAATGGATGAGGAAATGAATTATAGCTGAGACGCAGTCCTCGGGAGCAAGACCGAGGGACAGAGAAGTTTCTTCATTTGGTGCACCCCTAAAACCCCAAAGTACTCTTGTACATAAAGGTCTTGTTAAAGTTTGTTAAAAAATAAAAATAGGGCCTCCCAGGTGGCGCAGCGGTAGAGCGCTGGGTTGCGAAGCTGCCCGCGGCCTCTGTGGTGCCGGTTCGATCCCCGGCTGCTCCCCGGCTGCTCCCCGGCCACCGGAGGAGGGTCCCACATGGCGCGCAGACCTCTCCTGCCGCCCACTGCTCCCCTCAGCAGTGTACTTCGGTCCTTCTGCCTGCTCTGCTCCCTGCTCTGGCTCTGGTGAATTCTCTCACCCTCCCGTGCTTCTGACTGTACCCAGTGCATGTACAAACAAAACAAACAAACAAATAAATAAAAACATGCCTCTGTTAAAAAAAATCTTTAAAAAAAAATAAAAAATAAAAATAAAACATATCAGAATAATATTAGTTATGATGATGAAACTGGAAAAGACTCCACGTATCAATTTTTATCAGATTTTATGTCTTCTTTTTCCTGCTGATTGACATGGTATTAAGATCAGTGCTGTTGTGAAGAGTTACCCCAACTTCTCTCCTACTATTCCATTTCAATCCCTAAACTTCTAAGTCAAATGACCATTGCAATCCTTTTCTATACTCAAAATAGAACAATTTTCTCCATTAAAAAAAGAGACAAAGAATGTATGAAGATGGCTATCCTAAAGCAGTCATCTCATTTATTCACAGTTAAAAGGTTAGCAAAAGCAAAAAGCCATTCCTGACCCACAGGACCTGATGCCCAGAAGACAGAGTTGAAATTCATGCTTATTCTGAGTGACCAGTGGGCAAATATATTCCTCCCTCCATGGACGAGTCAAGACATGATCACCCACGTAATGAATGGGAACTTTCTCATAAGGCTCCCTCATGAGCTAGATAAAGGAGACGATCTTTCGGGGTATATGTCTTGTTAAATAGTTTAACAAAATCTTCCTGGTGATGACAAGCTGCAGGGGAAGGCATTAGGATGCACCAAATCTATCAGGGAGATTTGATTAATCAAATTGTCCATCTTTGGGCAGTACAAAAAATATTTTGGATCAGGAAGATTCCTTTAATTTTTTTTTTTTTTTTATTTCCAGTGTGGTGTTTTGACAACCAGAGCAGGTGAATTTACTCACTAAAAGTGAACAGTTCCTGATATTCTGCTGGCATGGAAGGATGAGTAATAGTTTGTCCTTCACCAAGTTTCCCTTAAAAACACCCACATGTGGCCAGTCTTTGGGACCAAGTGATAAATGCCAATTATTGTGAAAGCATGAAAGAGAACTCCTCAAAGTAACTGAGGTTTCAAGGCAGTGAAATCTAGAAGCTTACCATCTTGCCTCTCACTCCTTTAGGCCCGGTTTCTCCTGGACCACCAGGGTCCCCAATTTCACCCTAATAAATACAGAAAAATAAAATTTAATGGTTATTGCAATCAAAGAGAGATAGCTCAGTGTGTGAGGTACATGAGATGCTTTTCATGTATGTTTTTATCGTTAATTCTTTGAAGGGTCTTCCTGGGCCCCACTCATCTCACAACTCTCTCCACTGCATGCTGTGCCCGCCTGGTTTCACCTGCTGTCTCTGTGGCGACAACACTACCTTCATGAGGACACAAACTCTAACCTTTATTTTGTTGCCTGATCCTATCACAGGACCTGGCATTTATTGAGCTCAGGGAATGATTCCAGCAAAGGTCAAAGCCTGAAGGTGGAGGACATCATTGCTAACATCATGGGAAGGGGGTAGAAAAACACATCGGGTAAACTGAGCCAGGAGAAATCGGGTCATTGCAGTTTTCCGCGCATTTCACTTTCCTTTGATCAAGGAAGAAAATACATGGGGGTGTAGGGGGAAGGCACACATTTGAGGACAAAAATAAGTATGACGTTTTTCCTTTACCTACTAATTAAGAAACAAGACTTGAATTTAAAAAAAAAACCAAAACCTGTTTCTTTCTTCCTTCCCCTCACACCCCACCTCCCACCAAAGGTTTATTTGTATTTATTTACAATTAGCTACTCTTCAATTATCCTGTAGTACATTTTGTAGCCCCCAAAATAACTGTTTGACATCAAGTTAGCATGAGTACAGGGTACCTTAGGTCCACTTTCTCCAGGAAATCCTTCTTGCCCCTATAATTGACAGTAGAGAAAATTAATATATGCACCTCTCACCAAGGTAGGTTTATGTCAATTTTAATTTACCTCCCGCCTTATTTATTTTGGCATCTCTGAGCCAAGAAAGAGCTAAAGCAATTCGATGTGAAATTGTAGAGCAGCATTTGAGAAACACACTCTAATTTCTAAAATGGTTTACTGGTTTTACCAAAATGAAAATCTAAGAGAAGTGGACAAATGCAGACAGCTGAAGAATTTTAAATCAGTTTCTCTATGGCAGGCATAGCAGGACAGTGGATTAGGCATGTAACTCAGCAATGGTTATCTTAATACAGTCCAACGGAGAAACTTGGGAAGGCAAGTGTCTACATTTCTTCATTCATTTTCTGAGCCTCCATGTACTTCCCTGTGGTTAAAGAGGCATGGTGATTTCCACCCGGGGAAGAATTATTTCATTTAAAATATCCTGTCTCATTACTAAAAGTCACATCTCCTCTAATAAATATGGAGTGGAAGAAAAACCACCCAAATCCTATTGCCCAGAACTAGCCATTAGAAATAATGTGTCATATTTTCTTTGAGCTTTTTAAATTGCATTTTACCACAACTGGGATTATTTTTCTGTTTATGTTCTGATTTTTCACTTGACACTGTCATATAGTTATTTCTTTACATAATTATAAACATCATGAATTTTGAAGGGTGGCTAATATTTCAATTCTATAGATCACTTAATAATTGCCTTTTATGAGAATAAGGTTGTTTTCAAATATTTTCTATTCTAGTGAACACCTCACTGGAAATCTTTTATTCATTAGCTTCTTTTTTCAAAGAAGTTCTACCTTTTGCATTTTTTTTTTTTTTTTTTTTTTTGGAGAGCTTCTTGCATTATCCGCATGGGACAACATCACTCGGATTACACTGATCCTTTAAAAGGGCTCGGACTTTACGACAAGTCCATTTGTCTGGACTGGACTATACCACATTCCTGACAGAGTCTCAGCAAATAAATGATCAAAATGTCTCTAATGCCTCCCCCTCTTAAATGTGGCAAACAAAAGGAGGTAAGAAGTCAGTGGGCAAAGCCTGCTTCCAGCAGGTGCATCTTACCTTGGCTCCTTTACTCCCCATTCCCCCATAGCCCGGGCTGCCGTCACCACCCTGCAAGCAAAGAAATTCCTTACAAACACCCCAGGTTTGTTCCCAAGAAAACAAGATGGCCAGCCCAAGGGTTTGAAGAAACGTGGAGGTGGGTCATTCCTGGGGGCAGCCAATGACACTGGGGAGAGTGGACTAAAGTCATTCTCCATAACAGACTGCGCTATTCCTTAGTCTCACCTGAGAAAACAGGAACAATTATACTCACATAGTATCACAAGGAGGGTTAAATGACAGAGGTCCAGGCATACAGTAATCTTAGCGAAAGGAAGTAGCAGTGCTATCTTCTCTGGTTAACACTTGTGCTTTAATTCCTTAGTTCTGATCTGTTTTCAGTTTGCTAGGTAAATGTAAGACTTCCTCACTGCCTGCACCCTCTAGAAGGCCTTACTGAGAATTTCTGAGATTGCGGTAAAGGTAGGCTGGGTTTTGGATGAATGGTTTCCAGGGGGAGGAAAGGCCGGAAGAAGTGTTATGGTGATACTAAAGATAAAGCTTGTCTGTTTGGCTTCACGAGCATCCTGTCCAGGATATATTTGGTACCTGCAAGGACCAGTAGTGATAAAACACAAACCGGCAAGCCTCGAAGGCCAGGAAGGCCGATAGCTCCTTTTTCTCCCAGGTCTCCAGGTTCACCCTGCCAAACAGAAAGGGGTTATTAGGCTTTTGATAATGGGAATGAGAAATGAGAGCACCGAGACAAAAGATTTAAAGCAATCACGTGTGTCACACACAGTGACATGTGGGTCATGAGTCTGTGACCAGACCAGGTTGTGCAAGCAGTAGATGGGGGGCTGCTGGCCTGGTTGCAGAGGTCTCCCCATTGGTAAAGAAACCCCGGTGCAAATTGCCATTGTAGCCGCTCCCTTGGAAACATCATGCACCACTTCATTTCCCCTGTAAGAGCTGCAGAAAAATTCACAGAATTGTTTTCATGATGACCTGGGCAAGTCATGAGGCGGCTGTAGAGACAGCACACTCATTCATCCAGGTCTAAGGTTTTAAGGCTGAGTCAAGATAACCGAGGGCACATGACATTCCTGGCAGTAGTTTCTGACTTCTGAACAGTGGAATATCTACTGTGGGTTCTAACTCAATCTCAGTATGATGTTGAAGAAAGTCCAACTTCTTATAAAGACAACAAAGGTTTATAAAAGAAGGTTAACTCCTTTCATTAAAAAAACAAAAACAAAAACACTTTTAAGTTTGGAATAGCTTTCTGACTACAGAAATGTTGTGGCCACAGATGTGGATAAATTGGAAAATCTATTTGATATAATAGAAGTGTCTCCAACATTTCTAGAAAGCAGATTTTATTGGAACAGCTTTAGAACTGAAAATTAAAAAGAAAACCAATTCAGAGACAGCACAACTGTCTTTGTCTGGTATGGACACTTGAGATCAGATTTTTCCTTGGGGAAATGCAAACATGACAGAAATCTTTTTTGGTGAAACTGTTTAAAGTACTTGCGAGTAATCCCAATACCCGTGAATTGAAGTCATTTTCATAATTTTTTTCCTACCTTCCCCACCCACACTTCCTCTGTAGCTGACCCCACAGTCGTGGCCTCAGTAGGGAGCACCTGTTGCAGCAAGGGAAGCCAGATTCAGTCTGTCCTTATGCAGACTTCCTTGGCTTTCACCTGCTGCCACGACCCCACCCGTCATGTCTCCTTCGGATCCTGTAGGCCACTACAATTTAGCAGATTTTCCTGGTTCTTGATGACTTGAAGAGTCCTTAGGAACACTGGGCAGGTATTTTGTAGAAGGTCCTTCAATGGGAGGAAAAGCGTCCCTCAGCTCAGATGGGGTGACGCCCCCTGTGAGATTCTGGTGAGCTAGAGTCCCTGTCCTCATGCTGGAGCATGACCTGACTTCACACCCACGTCGCTAGAGGTTGCTAACTTTCTAGGAGTTGAGCCAGGGTGCAGGGACAATGAGATATGTTCCCCTTGTGTTGAAAGGACTCTGGCTAATACAACCAGATACACTTCCCTTGAGGAAAAAACCCTCAGCTTGGTGGGTATGAAGAATGTGACCTACTTTATTTCCTTGGCTTCCCAAATGGCCTTGACTCCCTGCCCCTCCTTCTGGTCCTGGAGGCCCCTGAAACAAAACAAGAATTGTAAATCTAGCAGAACATAAAGCATCTTTCCTTTAAGCATTTTTGTTTCTTCTAAGAAACACAAATGAAGCACAGATGGGGAAAGAGTTATGGTTATACTGACTCCTACTCTGGAAAAAAAGTATCATAGCTGTCAAATAAAGACTAGAAAATAAAAAAAAAATTAATAAAGTAATTCATGCCAGATGTTGCCTAAATGATTGTAGTTCCTTGTAAGTCTTCTCTTCCAAAGAAATTTTAGGTTCTCACCATTTTACTCTAGGAGCAGATGTGGCTAAAACATCTAACACTGAAAGAAGGCATTTCAAATGACTTCTGCCTTGACCTATATCATTACTGATTCCTTGCTTTGGTAGAAAGCTTTTTTTTTTTTTTAAGGTAAGCTTATCTTTATTTGCAAATAATATGATTTATATATTAGAAAGTTCTAAATAAAGTTTACTAAAAATAATTAGCATTCATAAGAAGGAATGTTCATCTGGTCTAAGACAAGTGTTCCCAAATAGCTTTCTCTTTCCTAGTGCTAAGTTAGAGAAGTAAAAATAAATAAATTCCTAGTTACCAGTAGGAGATAAACACTGTTAACATAGAGTAAATATAACAACAAAGATATAAGGCCTACATAAAAAAGCTTTCAGCTCTTATTAAAGAATGTAACAAAACTTAGATAAACATACCATGTGTCTAAATTGGAAAATCTATTTGATATAATAGAAGTGTCTCCAACATTTCTAGAAAGCAGATTTTATTGGAACAGCTTTAGAACTGAAAATTAAAAAGAAAACCAATTCAGAGACAGCACAACTGTCTTCGTCTCGTATGGACACTTGAGATCAGATTTTTCCTTGGGGAAATGCAAACATGACAACAGAAATCTTTTTTGGTGAAACTGTTTAAAGTACTTGTGAGTAATCCCAATACCCGTGAATTGAAGTCATTTTCACAATTTTTTTTTGCCATGGTTACTATGATTTAAAAATAAATAAAGCAAATCTGTGTAATAAACATGATACTTAGCAAATTAGTTTTGCTCAGTAGAAAAAACATGACATTAACCTTGTCATCTTTTAAACATAAAGTTGCTCATAAAAACGTCTAATAAGAAGGAGTGTTGTTGAACAATGGATTGATTGCCAAGGAAGATAATTATGGGCTTTCCACACCCTCCATGCAACCAGCCCTCTCCCTTTTCCACCTTAAAGTCTCAGTTTCTTCTCTCTCCATTGCTCTCAATCCACGCCCTTCTAACTTCCAGTTCCAAAAATGCTGGCTTTTTAAAGGTAGACTTAACTTTCATTCACATAAATGTTAGCATAAACTTCATGCTCTGTGGATCCTACTGATACTCTTCTGTCCATATCTTCTTGCAGTTTGGTCATGGGTCACATGAAACACCACCACCACCTTCTATGAACCCAGTTTCCAGGGTCTTCCTTGTGCCTCTCTGGTCCCCTCTCAACAACCATCAGGTCCTCCCCTTCTATCTGTCACTTAAATCGCCACATGTCCCATGGCTTCATCCTCTAACCTTATTTTTTCATTCTATATTCTCTTCCGGAAGACATTCTCATAGATTCACATGGCCATTCTACATTCTATCATTCTACAAAATGACTCTTAAACATGCATCTCCAGTCCAAACCACTCACCTAAGACCAGATCCATGTATTAAAATCCCTATTGAATATCCCATAGGAATTGTTAGTGTGATTCCAAAATAATCACATTTACCGGAGATAACGCTCCGAGCCTCATATTCTTTTTATTAAGGAATGGCGGCGCCCTTAAGTCTCCCTGAAACCCAAGCCAGGAACCTAAGCATCACCTAGACCCTGTTCTCTAACTCACCTCTCCAATCCATCTCAAGTCCCACAGAGTCTCTCCCTGTGCAAGACCCACTGCTGTGTCCTCCCATCACCACTGTCTGCTTCAGGGCCCTCCCACATTCCACCCAAACTCCTGGTCTCATTGATTGTAGCCTGACCGCTCTCTACACTGCTCCCTACCCTTTTCTCCTTTTGATTTAAAATGCCAGGCTGTTATTATCACTTGGTGTGAAAATCGGAATTCGGGAGTATGTTTCTTCAACAAAGTTAAAGATGTGCTTAATATGTAGTCCATATTTGTTACATTATTATCGTGCTCTTTCTTGGTTCAGTGACTGGCATGCTTTGGACATAAAATGCTCCTGTTAAATTAGGTAATGCTGAGGCATACAGCAGTAATTAAGAACTATTGATATAGGGCTTACTATATTTCTGGCATTATCCTGAGAAGTTATGTGGTTTAAATCATTTAAAAATTTTTTAATTAAATTTTTTATTGACGTATCATTGGTTTACACTGTTATTAGTATTTTGGAATATAAAATCCCCCCCCTTTGGATGTAGTTACCGCAGCACACCCACCACAAAAGCCCCCTATGGAAAGCAGTTTGGAGTTTTCTCAAAACACTAAAAATGGATCTGCCATGTGACCTAGTAATTCCACTCCTAGCTATCTACTCAAAGAATATGAAAACACTAATTCAAAAGAAAATTTGCACTCCATGTTTACTGCAGCACTGTTTACAATAGCCAAGCTGTGGGAATAACCTAAGTGCCCCCAAACAGCTGAGCGGAACAGATGTGTATAGCAGGGATCTACTATAACCATTCTTATTTCATGGCAGAGAAAATTTGAGGTGCAGAAAGGTTAATTACCCAAGTCCACATAGCTAGGAAGTTACAAAACTGGCAACACTGGTTGCAGACTCTAGGTCCTCAACCACTAGGCTATGCTTTGCAAAAATGATAACAATTCTACTTTGTATCACAAATCAGCAATGAAATAATTCTAGCCTTCCTCCAGGTTGTACATGAAATTAATGATTATTTCACTTAAAAAAAATCCTCATCATAATAAAGAGTAAGTCCGGCTTTAACTGGACTTATTTTGTGTCTGATTTTCTATTCTTTTCCAGTCATTGGCTACATCAGAGTAGGAACTTTGGGTGAGCCAAGCAAGAAGCCAAGCAAGGAAGGAATAAGCCATTCCTGTTAAAACTCTTCCTTTTTTTCTGAGAATAGACTGTATTTCTTTTATAATATAGTCACTTGGCTAGATATTTTCAGGATACTATAGCAGAAATCACATCCCTTTTCCTAGTTGTATATCCTTAGAAAAACTTTAAATCCTGCAATCAGAAAACACTCATTATTCCACCCTAGTGACTGGTCCCAGTGGGTGTTAATATGAAACCTCTATGGCAGTGGATTTAGACTCAGCAAAGAATAACATCCTCCCCAACGTCTTATCGTGCCTGTCTCTGTGGTTTTCCTTTGGAAATGACAAATCTGAGATCTCATTCATCATGTCCTGAACATAGGAAATTCTACACGTCTTTGAAACAACATTTTCACTGTGTTGACAGGGATACTGCAAGCAAGCACACAAAGACAGAGAGCCATTTCCAGCTAGATAAACCGGAGAGCTAGACTGGAGAGGGGGAGCCTTTTGGTAATGCCAGGTGGTTGAGTGATTTATGACCATGGCCAAGCCTGCCAACACCACATTAAGGGGGACTCACTCGCAGATGAAGACTGCAGGGAAAAGCTATTTGGGTACAATTTTGTATTCTAGAGGAAGGGAATTGCTAAGCTCCTTGGATTTCAACCCATCTATAGTTCAATATTTTATAAAAACAGATGAGCTAATCTAATCACCTGATATATGTTTCCTTTGGCATTTACTGTTTGTTTGTTTTTTTTATCCAACTTACAGTGCCAGCAAGTACTTAATGATTCAAGGATGTGGATGCAAAATAGTTACTTTTCATCAATCAGTTTAGTTCTACCAAGAAATTTTATCATTTTCATGCTTTTTGAAGGAACACATTCATCAAAATTGGGAACAAATATCCTCAGGAGCAGTAATTAAAATGTTTTAAAACACTGTCAAGAGATACAGATACAAGTTTATGCAAATAACTTCTTATTTTGATGATGAACACATCCACTTATGGGCTGGACCACTGCCCAGGTTAACTAATGGCCAGGAAGTAATGGAGTCCCTTTATCCTGTGTTAGCTGAGGATGCAAGTCCCGACTGAGTCTCATTCACTCATTTACTAATTTCATTTGTTCATTTACTAATTGATTCATTATGCACATGTGTTGAGCTCTTCTGTGCCAGCATGAGTGATCTGAGCTGAGACAGTAGCATAGGAAGTTGTCACTTACTGCATCATATGCAGGGAGCTGCCTCTTCAAGCAAAAGGGAGCCAGTTTTAACGTAATTTATCGGACATAAATAAGAGTTAAGTCCTTACTGCATATCTCTGGTCACAAAAATATCACCAAACTTCTTAATATAGACCCAAAACACATCCAATATCAAACAATAATTTATATTCATTCACTCATTCATTGAGTCAGTCATTCATCCTCCAACCAGCTTATTCCAGGTCTGGGTCAGACGGTTGAACCTATCCTGGCAGTTCAGGGCCCAAGGTGGGAACCAACCCCACACAGGGTTCCATCACAGGACACACACACAACTGTCTCCCCAACTGGGACAATGGAGATACTCAATACCCCTCACATGCACATTTTTGTGATGTGTAAGGAATTGGGGGAACCCAGTAAAAACCCACAAAGAAAACCCACATATAAACTCCACACAGTGCCCAGACTGGGAATCTATTTTTCTTTCTGATGAAAATTATAACTAAACAACATTGAACAAAATGACATTATTTGAGATCCTGCTGTATAGCAAAACTAAGTCCTGGGCTTCCCTGGTGGCGCAAGGGGTTAAGATTGAACCTACGAAGCAATCCGCAGCCAGTGCAGCACGAGTTCAATCCCCGGCCAGGGAGCTACCCACGTGGTGCAGCAGACCTCTCTTTTCTCACTTGCTGCTCTGCTCAGCAGTGTATTTCAGTCAATCTGCATGTTCTGTTCCCCACTCTGTCTCTGGTGGATCCTCCCACCGCCCCCCCTCCCATGCCTCTGGCCTGTACCCCAGTTCTTATATACATGTTTTTTTTTTTTAAATAAAAAAAACTAAGTCCTAACCCTCATGAAGCTTAAATCTAGAAGGGAAGACAGATGGTTAAGCAAATAAATACATATTCTGATAGCACTAGGCAGAAACCAGGTCATGCTGAGTCTTGCTACTCAGAGTATGGTCTAGGGACCAGCAACATCACCATCACCTTGGTGCTCACTGGATGAGTGTATTAGAATCACCTGGGGAGATTTTAAAGTTTCTGATACCTTGGCCTCCAGACATTCTCATAGAAGTGGTCTGGGGAGGGTCTCAGGTGTTTTACTGTTGACCCCAGAGATACTCCTGTGTGGACAGGTTGATGGCCACTAGAGTATGTTGTATTTGAGATAAGATGGGAACACCCTGTACAGTGGAGAGGAGCACGAACTGGTCTCACAGAGGGGGAATTATTAACCTCACAGTCATGGCTGAGCTCTCGAGCATTCCACCTCTGTCCTGACAGGCAACAGCCCACTCTGCAGGGGAGGGACCACGCAGCCACTGCACAGAGTACCGAAGGTAAATCTAATACACTTCACAGGTTCACATGCAGAAAATAACTTCACCTGCAGGGAATAAACTACAATGACATCCATCTGGAAGCCAAGGTCAAAGCCAGGGACAGTCACTTTCTCCTGTTACATACCTGGGGACCTTTACTTCCCAAACCTCCTTTTTCTCCTTTGACACCAGCTTCTCCTCTTGGACCCTAAATACACAGAATTAAAGCATTATTTTCTCCCTAAAAGAGAACATTTGGATATTAAGCATTAAAAATGGAAACACTACATCAGGAACATGAATCAAAACTGGAAAGGTGGGGCCTCCCCGGTGGAGCAGCGGTTGAGCGCTGAGTTGTGAAGCTGCCCGCAGCCTCCGTGGCACCGGTTCGATCCCCGGCTGCTCCCCGGCCACCGGAGGAGGGTCCCGCATGGTGCGCAGACCTCTCCTGCCACCTGCTGCTCCCCTCAGCAGTGTACTTCGGTCCTTCTGCCTGCTCTGCTCCCCGCTCTGGCTCTGGTGAATTCTCTCACCCTCCTGCACTGCTGACTGTACCCAGTGCTTGTATAAATAAATAAATCTTAAAAAAAAGAAAATTAAAAAAAAAAAACAACTGGGAAGGTGATCCACACATGCCTTTGATTGTCTGGAGTGGCGCAGCTCTCCCTCCTGCAGGGACTTGATGGTCTAATCTGAAGGTATTTAGGTAACTGGGCATTTGCTGGCAAAGTGAACAAATCGTGAACAGGTGAACTATTCAGTACTGCTTCATAATTATTCTAATCATCTTTATACTCCAAATGCATGTGTTTCTTAGATCAAGAATAACCCTTAGTTATTAAAAACCTGAAATATTTAAATGGATTTTCTATTCAACAACCACACTGAAGATAAGTCATACATAAGATACGGCACACATTAGAATCAAATTTGGGTATTTCTTCTTCTGGACTATTATATTGTCTGTTCACTGTGGCTTCCATGCATTGTGCAGAGAGACCTCACACTATGTTATTTTATTTTTTTGTGAATCTCCCTTTAAATAATGTCATGAAGAAAGTCAGTCTAGAAAATGGAAGAAGGGATGTTGCTGTATTACTGATTTAGCATGAACTAAAGTAAAGCCAGTCAATTTCTTGAAATGCTTCTCCCTACCCACTACACCACCCCAACCCAGTGGCAAATATTCCTTACTTGAAAGTAAGAAAAGTGACCTTTCCTCTGCTGGCAAGCCAAAGGAAAGCAATCAAACTAGAAAGAGACAGAGGTCTGAGGGGCAGGGTCTTCACTGTTCTGAAATCTTGGCACAAGGGGCACAAAGTTTCTCTTCTGAAGTCAAAGTTTGCCCAACTTCCATGCACTGAGATACCAACATACAAGAGTCACTCTAATTTTTTTTAAAACTATGGGTTCAAACTTTGAAAAGCTGCAGAACCAGGGATTGTCCTGTGGTTGCCAGACAGTAGAATTATTTCTCAGGTTTTCAAAACTTAAAGTTTGGTTGGGGGGAGGGGGGCGAGAAATCTGTATGTTCGAACTTCTTGTAGACGATCTTTTCTTCCCAGCATTTTCTAAGACTTCCTTTCCCATCTTGTTATTATTTTATGTACATTTGGCTTTTTCTGGCACAAGTTTCCTTTCTCCTCATGGGCCAGTGTAAAGAGCCAATCGTGGCTTATTCCTGACAAAGGGAAAAAGTGCTGGCATCAGCTCCCTGGAGAAGGGAGCTGGAGCGCACCGGCTGCACGCCACACTTCAGGTCAAAGTGGAGGACTTCAGCTGTGGAGGAGCAATTCTTTCCTAGAGTACAGCCAACTTTTCCACATTGTGGGCATCTAGATATGTAACACTAAGCTTTTACTGTGAGAAAATGACCCAAATTTCCTGTTTTGGGCTCAATATTTCTCTTGGCGCAAAGTCTCTCCAGAAAGCCCTGGGGTCACATTGGGCCCATCACATAGGGATCACTACTTAGTATCCTCTATTTCTTTTCCACTGTTGACAAAACTGGGGGATGACCAAATGCTGTAGACAACTCCTGCAGCCGTATGACCCTGAAAACAGTTTACACATCTCTAATTCTGCAGGGGTTGATTGCAGGGGTTCTATCAAGATTTCAGGTTCCTCTTTATGTTCTCACACCCTAGTTATGCCTGATATTTACCTGAGGGCCCTTAAAGCCGAGTGAGCCTTCCAGCCCTTCTGGGCCTGGAATGCCTGGTTCCCCCTGTGGTGAGAGAGAATCAACCTGTTAACATTGTTTTCTGAGAGTTTTGTCTTCTTTATCTGTAGAATTGTAAATATTTTTTTCAATCACAATAGCAGTATGGGATCTTGTGATAAATTTTTAAAAGCACAAAGAAAATAAAATCTCCCACAATCTTATCAAGCAGAAACAGCCACGGCTAATGTATTATTGTATTTGCTTTACTCTTTGCATACAAGCATACATTTTCACAAATTTTTTTTCTAAAATAACACATATATAACTTGGATACTTGGTCTGAAAAACTCACAATTTGCTTCATATTTTCTTCAAAAATATCTAGGCATCTTAAAACATTATATTATATTCAAATAGATAAAATATCTAGGGATCAAAAGTTGAGTGTTCTCTTCACATCGTCCTTGAACTCTGCTGCAGATAATAATTCCACAAAAGAGTAAGGATGAATTAAGACAATTTCATTTAGACAACTGTTAAGATAGTCCAAGTTTATGTCTCAGTTGTTACACTAATATAAATATCCCTCACTGATACCTCTTCCTAGAAATCAGAAATAGAAAATTTCTTACTACTGTAGCTTCCCCCGATTTCATTTATTTCACTCAATTTTTCTGCACTTTGTTGAAGTCTGACCTCAAAGTGTGTATGTTTGGGGTAATGTCTGTGAGTGGTAAGCTCTTAGGGTTCATCTACCAGACAGAAATCTGTTGCAATCAATTTGTCATTCCTTTCATGGGTAAAACTGTCGTTTCTGGTAGTGTTCCTTTAACATTCTGGAATTTCACCATGATGCAATCAAAAATGGATTATTTATGCTCACTGTATTTTTAACATGTTTCCTCAATTCTGTGTCATTCTAAGGGACAATTAACCTTTCATAAATACTGCAGGTTCATGAAATATCACCAATGTGAACAAATGGAATATGCTAACATATTTAGTCAAGTCAATCTTTGAACAAAACATTTAAAATATCCCAGTTGTATTAGAGTTTTATTATACTCTCTTGGCTTAAATGAGGTTTGTGCAAATTTTAAGGTTTTAGAGCTAACTGAACAAAAACCAAGAATGTTACCCACTAAGTTACTGGAGTTTGTACCTGAAACCCAGATTTAATAATTACTGAGCCAAGTAGTTATCTCTGGTCATTAATTTTTATGGTTATTGATTAAAGTGCCCACATTTTCTTTTTTTTCAAGATTGGAGTTCTTAAAATTGTAGCCCAAAATGTTTTCTAATATTCTATTACACAACCAATATCATAAAAAAGCAAATGAACTCCAGACTTGGAAGAGATTTTATTCCAGTTCCTAGACTGGACAGAGATTACTTGTCATTTTGCATTAAAAATAAATCACCAGGGCCTCCCCGGTGGTGGAGCAGTTGAGCCCTGGGTTGCAAAGCTGCCTGCAGCCTCTGCAGCACTGGTTTGATGCCTGGCCACAGGGTGAGGGTCCCACATGGTGCGCAGACCTCTCCTGCGGCCCACTGCTCCCCTCAGCAGTGTATTTTGTCAGTCTGCCTGCTCTACTCTCCGCTCTGACTCTGGTGAATTCTCTCACCCTCCCACGCTTCTGACTATACCCAGTGCTTGTATAAATAAATAAATAAATCTTTAAAAAAAAAAAAATCACCATACCTGGGGTCCTGACAGTCCCCTTTGGCCACGAACTGCCTAAAATAGGAGAAAAATGCAGATACCATTAACTCTGAAAAAAAGATTTTTACATTTTATTTAAATTAGTAATGAACCTTAAGGGGCTGACATTAAAAAAACAAGTTTCTACATATTGCTTAAAACATTTAATTATCCACTGCACCAAGAAAGCAAAATGTTCCCAAATCTGAATTTCTATCCTACGGCAATAGGTAATTAAAATCAAAGACAATTGAAATCTGTGGATCCTTATGAGACCAGATGTGGACAATAGCTTGTGCTCCACTGAATTGTTACTTTAGCTATTTTCAAGCTCCACAATGGACTGATTTGAATTTCTTTCATTTTTCCACGAAAGATATAAATCAGGAGTGATGTGGCCAAAAGGCAGGAATCAAGAGGAAAAACTGGGAGAATTAACTTCATAAACTTTATTATAGATTAAATTAAAAACATAAAGAGAGCCAGACTAGTTTTGTCTCCCTGCCCTCAAAGCCAAATAATATGCTTATCAAAAAATGAAATCATCATCCTAAGCACTCAAAAGTTCTCACTTCAATTCTAAAACACCCACCTAAAACAGCAGTAGTACATCATGTGGATTTTCCTACTATTTTCCTATGTGACATTAGGATTTGGATACAGTCCTGATCAACATTTCATAAATTTAGAAATTAAGAAACAGACATTTTGTTGTTTAACTTAGGATGTCTCAGTTAGGCTACAGCAAGTCTGAGGTCTAGGATTCGCAAAATAAATCGCAAATAAATATCAGTATTTTTTTTGATGGAAACTTAATCAGGCCTCTATGAGATGTCGACGTTAAATTCTACTAATCATATTTCAGTCAAAATATATTGCTATCTAGGAGGCAGGCTGTATATTTGGGGAAGTGACTAGAAGTCTCTCTCTTTAAAATCCTGGTGAGTCATCTTGATAATCTGAATCTTTTCTGTCAGGAGGAGGAAAGATACTCTTTCCACTTCTTTAGCACAATCTTTCTGATTCTGTTCACTTTAGTTTCCATCAGAAAAATATCTACCAAGGATCTATTACCTACAAAGCCAACTGAATGGGAACCACAGGAGCATAAAGACCACACACACACAGTACCTGAGCTCAGGTGACCCTCAATCTTTCGATTTATGGGCAGCAGATAAATACTACAAGTATTTACATGGCAGAGTATGGCCAGGGTAAAGAAAGGGGAAGACAGAAATTGCACCCAGTGGGTCAAAACAGGAAAATCTTCCTGGTGGAAGAGATTCTTAGGATGTTTTCAGAGGATGGGTAGGAGATTTACAGGTAGAGGATGTAGCAGGTCTTTCTATGAGGTTTCAGCCTCAGAAATGAAGCAGAGGAGAACAGAGAGGGTGCATTTGATAGTGGGAAGCCTGGGTCAAAGGTGTGAGGATCGGGGAGGAGCAGGCTTACTAGCCTGAAATTACTAGGCTGAAGATAGATACTATATCAGAAAACACTGTGTTTTTAGAGCAGGAAATGTACTGGCAGGACCTTGACCTTAGGTGGGTACCTCAGGTAGTAGTGGAACGACTTGATGGAAACTCACATTCCTATAAAATAATGAGCTTCCTGTAGGCCATCATTTAAGGGATATGAGACTGTTTCCCAGGTCCAGAAATCTTTCTTTGGTCCACTGCCAGTATTTGAAACATCAATAAATGCTTGTTTTCTGTGTCTTTATGGTTTGGCTTTGAAAGAGCTTGATTAAAATTAGTCCTCTCCATACAATCCCCCCCCCAAGATGAAAATGCATACATTGTGCAAAAAATGATGTTAAAATATACAAAATAAAAAAAATAAATAGTGCCGCAATAAAAAAAAATTAGTCATCTCAATACATTATTGAGCTCCTGCTCCACCTAAGGCACTAGGGTATGGTATGGGGGTGAGCCAGACCTGACTCTGGTCCCTAGACAGGAGTTCGTAGGTTTTCATCCACCATTCACATAGAAATATCTCTAGAAGCATCTTCATGAATGGCTATTTGGGATTTAAACAGAATGAATATCATGAGTTTAGATTCACTGGGTAGATGTGAGACACAGAAAAAAGACAAAGAAATAGGGGAGATGATTTTACAATTTTGACTCAATTTTTCAAATGGGAAAGATGACATCTCAACAGGTCTTAAGGTGTGCCTAGGGGCTGGCTGATGGTGGTAACACATCCAGACTGTGGAAAGGAGAGTGAACGGCACGTCAACCAAGAAAGGCCTGAGAGTTAACAAGACCCCAGACAGGGCACTCAGTCCCCTGGTTCCGCATAGGCTGAATTCCGGTGGCTTACCAGGGCCCACTTTCCTGGTTGGGTAAGGACTGACTCCAGACAGGGTCCCCAGGACTAAAGCAGTATGCTTAACGTGCTGTCTACCAGCAAGCTCACCCACAATGCTGAGCCACCGTCCCCGCATACTCCCAGCTGCCCAAAGCAGTGCCAAGGGAGAAAAGAGCAAAGCATAACTAACAAGTCTCCGGGCTGAACAGGACGGAGGGCCATGCTCAGTTGGAGGCAGTTGCTTCTCATTATCCATGGACAGGAATCTCTTCTAATTCTCAGTACACTTTGGCTCAGAAAGAGCCAATCCACATTCTCACTCCTCCTGCTCCAGTAACTGCAGCTTTCTGGTTCTGAGTCTTCCTCCCTCCCACCAACGCAAGCCATTACAGACTCCTGGCAGGGCGCTAGTAACAGCTTGTTATCCCACCAGGCCCAGCCCCTCTATAATGAAGAGTTCCCACTGCAAGAGGAGGGCTCAGCCCAACCCTTTCCCCTGGCACACTTGGCATTGCCTAGAGAACGTTTTCATTGTCACAAGTCAAGGATGCCACTGGCACCTGGTGGGTAGAAGCCACAATGATACCTAATACCCTGCACAATGCACAAGGCAGTCTAGCCGACAAAAATTATTCAGCCCAAATATTAATAGTTAGTTGAGACACCACACTCTACAACCCGATCCTTAGTTCCTTGAGAGCAAAGTTTATGTCTTATTTGAGTTTGTAGCTCTAGTAGTTAGTGGAGCTGCTGGTACATTGCTGGTGCTTGATAAATGTCTGCCCGATGGATCGAGGTCAGATTTGGTCAGCTGCTGTTATTCCCTGCTGGCCACACCCTTCCACTGGCCATTCTCCAATCACTCATTAGTTCAGTAGATTCTTGCTGCACTGAGGAATACTTAATGCTCATTATAAGACATTTAGTTTTTCAGTGAGTGAGATTTTTCTTCTTTCCAAAAGGATAATTATTTTACTGCTATTATAAAAATGACACATGCTGATTTTTAAATCTCCAAATGCAGAAAATACACCAAATAAAGATGCTAAAATCATCCCAGATCCTTCATATAGAAATAACTATCATTAGCATTTGGTAATCATGATTCTTGATTATCTTTTTTTGCATGTTTACAAATAGAATTCTAAATAGTGGTACTTTTAATTAAGATAGGATAATACTATTTTAAAATTAAATTTAATTTTACTAGAATTTAATAGAATAAAACTCAAAAGAATTAGAAGTGTCAGATGGCAGCATTTCTTGACAATAGAGATATCCATTCCTAAGAGAAGAAAGACTTATGAAAAAAAATTAGGGGGTTCAGGTACATTTGTAATAAATATTCTAGCTTAAGAGGATTTTTTGACATCGACTCTCTACAATGAAAGATGAGGGCATAGTCTATTGTACTTTTTCCACTTGTATATGACTTTTAAATTGTTAAATGTAGAACATTCACATTTTTTTCCTGTGACCTATGGTTTAGTCTAATTTTGACACTTAAAGGAATTCAAATTGATTATCTTAAAATTTTATAGAAAGCGTACTGGGGCTGATTCTGCCTGAACGTGTGAAGCCTTGATTGTGCTGATTAGTCATAAGGACAATGTGGGTGGGTATATAACACTCACTCACAACTCTGCAGCCATTTTACAGCTCCCTTTTGACTCTGAATGATGAAACAGGGCTGCAGACCAAGTTTCCTATCTTTTCTGTTAAGAAATGCTCATACTTTATATACACTTTGTAATATAAAGTCACCTGGGTGTGGCTTCATGTTGATATTCTTGTACCATTTCTTCCCCAGAGACTATGCATTTTCTGTATTTTTCAATCTTGGTTTCAAGATGTTATCTTTTATTTCTGACTATGACTTATATTTGTTCTGTTCACGTTCATAGCACAAGCTGCACACTTGTTGGCTCCGCTTTGTGTGCACCCTACCTCTGTCATTGCTTTTTTTTTTAAGATTTATTTATTTATGCATACAAGAGCTGGGGTACAGGCCAGAGGTGTGGGGGTCGAGAGGATTCACCAGAGACAGAGGGAACAGAACAGGCAGATTGGGGAAAAAGAACAGGCAGACTGACCAAGATACACTGCTGAGGGGAGCAGCAGGTGAGACAGGAGAGGTCTGCTGCACCATGTGGGTTGCTCCCTGGCTGGCTGGGAATTGAACTCATGCTGCAATGGCTGCGGATAGCTTCATAGGTTGCGTCTTAACCCTTGTGCCACGAAGGAGGCCCTCTGTCATTGCTTTTGTGGCCCGATTGCCACTGTCTGACTGCACCTTCAGCTGTCATATATTTCTAATTCTTTTGTTTTCTCCATTTCCCACTTTTCTGTTGCTTCCCAAGCACCATCAGCTTGCATTCTTCACCATGTTGTCCCTCCTTTGAACACATCTTTAAAAAAGCAATCATGTGGTCTAATTTTTTTGTTTTTTTGGAGACTCTGGAGAACTTTTGCCAGAGTTGTTCTTTTTCCTTGAATAACTGCTCTAGAAACGAGGGTTTATCCTCCAGTTGCTCGTGTCTTTTCCTCTCCTCTTGCAATTTCTATGCATAAGTCCTGATGACTTATCTTCTGATTAATAATAAAAACGATAACTATTTCTGGTTTTTAATCTCCATCCAATAGGGCACCCATAACTAACTGCAAGGGGAGGTGGAGCTGGCGTTGGGTCAGTAGCTCTGATAGAGATGTTTTCCCAAACATCAAATGAATTCTTTCTTTTACCTTGCAGTTTCCTCTCCCCTCAACTTTTGGCTCTTAGGAGACTCATGGAACTCACACAAAGTCCCATAAGTCACAATTTCTGCTGCGGAGTGCTAGCTGCAGACAAAGGTGGAGTTTTCTTCATTTTGTGTCATTTATGCCTCCTCTGCTAAAGTGTTTCTATTGGTACATTAAATCTACAGTGCCTCTGGATTTTGCTCACATTTTGTGGCCCTAAGGCAGCTACTCCTGGGGGACTCTGATTACCGCTTGAGGTCTGAGGTAGCAACTGGCAGCTCTCCCACACCTCTCTGCCCAAATTAGGATCCAGATTCAACAAGAGTTGGCCAAACTTGTTGTCATTTGTGGCCTGATGTTGTGATATTTTCAATTCATCTGTTTTTAATTTCTTGTGTTGATTTTGGTGATTTGAGCAAAAGACTAGTATAAATAAACACCTTGGTTTGGCTGTGTTTAGGCGGAAGTCGTACTTTTATCCCTGAATGACACTGCCGAATCTAAAACCCAAGATGGGGTCATTATTTCTCAGAAGATGTGCGACATAAATAATACATGGTGACACTGCATTAGCTTCTAAAGAGACCATAGGCTCTATAAAATAACACAAGTACAACTCCCATGCCAGGATTTTTTTGGATGATATTGTTTAAGTTCAAAATATTTTCCTGGGGTATGTAAGCTGGCTACACCCTTTCAGAAAGTGAAATGAATTGCAAGTACATTTCTTTATCCTTAGCTGCATTCAAATGGCAACAGCAATGCTTTCCCCCAGTAATCAAACCACACATTTGATGTGTAATTTCTGTTCATATTTCCACTTTCTCTGCTTTGGAAAGAAGACTGTTTTAAAATACAAAAATATTTTCTTGATGGAGTATAACAGCTGGTTCTATGAACATTTAATGCCCCCAAAAATACAAGGCAAAATAAATACAGTTTATGAGTTTTTATTTGTGCTCAACTTTAAAATATATTTTTTTGGGGGATGGGAGATAGAAGAAGTTGGAGAAGGCCGGATAACTAAATAAAGAATGGAAAAAAAGTTGCTAAATGAGGAAAGGGGGGTCTAATTCAGAACCTAGTCCAAGTACTGAAGTATATTTTATTAAAATCATCACTTCTGATTAGATAAAGATTTTCTTTTACAGTCTCTGCACCTCCAAGAAGTCAACCACAGAACATTTCTAAAAGTACACCTTGAGAACAATAAAAATACCCCCAACTTTCCATAAGCAAAGACAAGAGACTTAATTTCATTCTTTGATATTTTTATGCCTATAGAAATATGTCTTAAAAGAGAACACAAATAAAAACTACTTTAACATATGGCATTTGCTAAGCATTATATTCTCTGAGCAGAAATTCATAGAACCAACTGTTATATGCCATAAAGAAAATATTTTTGCATCTTAGAACACATTCTTCTTCTTTGCACGGCAGAGAACATGGAAGTAACAACAGAAGCCTTACACCAGGGCTGACTTTACCAAGTAGTTCTAACACCAGGCAGAGGAATGGAGTTTTGGGTTTCAAATGACATCAATGGCACCCAGTCAGCTGGTGAGTAGATTACACTTGACTGCTCTTCCTCTATGTAGCTGTTTTTCCCTTCTCTTTGCCCAGCTCTCCCTCCTGATATTCTTTTCAGCCAGTACCTTCTTGCCTCAGCTTCAAGGACCTTCTCAAGTCCATGGCCAGCTCTTTTCTCAGCGATAGCCCCAGTGAATCTCCCCAAGATAATGAGCCCCAGTGGAACCATCCCACTTATTCCCTACTATCAACAATTTCCATCATTGATAGATGCCATAAAGGATCTTACTGTCTTTCTTCTGGAGCCTGGAGTTCCAGGGGGGCCTGGCCAGCCTCTTCTACCCTGTCAAATGAACAGACAGATGTGACAGTGATTACCCAGCATTGACACATTTCCTCTTTGATCTCAGCTTGTGTGCTGCAGGGAGGATATATGGGTACACACCAATGAGAGAGGTACCTCCCTTTGGAATGAAGCATTGCCTCCACTGGTTGTTAAATCACATCTCTACATGGGTGATGAGGGGCTGCGGAACAAAATGCTAATGACAAGCCTTTAGCTGCTCTTCACCACTGTCAAACTTATGTTTGAGATGCAAGTCACAGACATTTCAAGTCAAGTCATCCCACTGTGTCACCACAGAAGGGCTCATAGCTCAGGCATGACTACTGGTTTGTCTAAACCGGTACACTAATAGTCTAATGTGAATAAAATCTCATAATACTTACAGGTGTCCCCAAGATAGCAAAGAAGGGAATTATGAACCTTGAATGACAAGTGATATTTAATATTTATTTAAGGTTTATGATGTAGTAGGACCAGGTCATCAAATTTCCAATATAACCTTCAAAGTAAGCTCTTTGTCCTATTTTGCAGATGAGAAAATGGAGGCTTACAAAAGGTACCCCAAGGCCACAAAACTGTTAAAGGACAGGACATGGAACCAGATCTAGACCTGTTACCACAGTAGAAAGTTCTTTCTACCTGCAGTGGACTTAGCCCCTAGGGAGAGTCACCAAAGGATCTTCCTCATCAAGAAGATCCAGAGACTCATGTCCCAGATAAGTTTTTTCAGTCCTGAAAAACAAGATGATCAAATTGTGACTTGTGAGACTGCATGAGATTAATTCCAGAGCCTTGCTTTGAAGTATGGACTGTTTAGGTCTACCGATCCTGTTCTTTATCACGTACTGGTGCTGATAAGATATGTGTCCTTTGGGTCCTGGAAAGGTCAATAGCTCTTTTTTCCCTATCAGCTAGTCCTACATTTTAAGTTATGAGCTTTGATGCAACCATTCATATATGAAGACCTCAAGGGTATGGCCTGGTGAAACTAATTATTCCAAATTCAGAAGATGACAACTATTTCTTGAATCATAAAGTAGTCGCCAGGAGGAACAACAACAAAAAAAAAAGCCTTTGTTCCTCAAAATAGCTTTTCTGTATCAAGTATATATTATCCACTCAGATTCCAAATTCTTTCTGTGCGTTTCATCTTCTAACCCTAAATGCTTGAGTCCCATGGTATCTCATCATCATTTTACAAGTTTACTCTCAAGTGCCCACATAATTACTTGTCTTCCATGTTCTCCTTTCAAGCCCTTGGGTCCTTCTATGTTACTGTCAAATCCAGGAACTCCCTAAAAGAAAAACAGAGAAAAATGAATAGGTATTGAACATTTCTCCTTAGAAGCCTAACTTATATATGATACATGCAATAACTGACCAGAGGAATCCCACTTGAAAGCAGGAACGGGTTCAAATTATAAATGATTTACAAGTGTTTTCTTTTCCTCCTGTGCTGTGTATTGTACAAGAGTGGAGACCTGAGGTGACAGTGTCTGGGAAAAGCAAGGACTCATGATGGAAAGTTTTAGCCAAGGGAAACAAGGTGACATGATGTGTATTTATAACAGTCCGTATCCTGGGTCCACAGGTATCCTTCCTGCTACTGACTTTCCTTGCCCTAAACTTTTTCTTGGCGCCTACGCAAGTTTAAACTTAAGGGTTGGTGGATTTTACTCTCCTCTGCCCTTGGGAAAAGGCAAAAGTTTGCAATGGATTCTTCCAGAATGTTATGTGTACTTGGAGCAATTCTGAGGGTGGAATCTGCCACACTGTCTCTTTCTTCTCCTCATTGCTTTCTACCCCCATTTTCTGGTTTTCAGAAAATCATGCATGCTTTAGTTTCCCCCTATGTTCACACAAACGTTCCAGCAGGAACTCAATGCCAACAGGCATACATTGTGGGGTATTGTCCTTAGCAGGTCAAGTTTCCATCTTGGCTAGTTAGGACCAGCAACAGAGCAGTGTCACTGGGATGCCAGGGCAATCAATTGAGCCAGTCAACTCAGTCAATGTTGCAATAAATTGAGAGGGGACAATTATCCAGTCCTGCTGAGCGCCGACTGTCTGACTGTTGGGCTGATAGCAGCCCAGATTGCCTTCATCAATCAATAAGTAATTTGAGATCACCAGCAGGGACATGTCATTACTCCAGATACTTAGAGTTCTTTAGACAAGCAGTTTCCACACTTAGAACTTAAAGGCTAAAGGAGTGAAAAAGATGGGCTTAGAATTTACTCTTATAGTTAATACTACTAAAATGTATGAAAATTACTTCTTTCCCCTTACATACCAAAACCAAAGACCATTTTTGTTTTCACTCTTAAGTTTAAATATTTGTGAAGTCCTTTAAAGAGGATAAACCTAAATGACAATGTAAGAAAACTGTATTTAGTGAGAAAGGCAAGGAAAAGGCAGGCCCTGAATTTTATTCCACTAGATGTGTAAACCTTTTATTGTAGTCCAATGCTGAACTACTTGATGAGATGACATTCAAAAAATAATACACAGCAGCACATTCGATAGAGTTGGACGTCATGATTTGCATTTGGATCATTTGGTCAATCTGAATACGATCTGGTACAGTCAGAGCTGCTTGGATTTGAGGAAGTGAAGCTTAATGATCTCAGTTGAGAAAGACTCTTGGAGAACAGAAGAGAGAAGGTGGCCCTGTTCTGCCGTTTGGCGCATATTTTGAGGTACTCAGAGGAAGATGATGGAATGGACCAGAGTCCCTCATAGTTCTTAAGCACAAAGATACTTCTGAATGTGCTTTCTCACACAAGACATGCACAAATCCTATCTAAGGGCTTCTCACTGCCCATGCTCACTGCATACCTCCTCATGGTGTATGCAGAGGATTTAACACAAGGGATGGGCTAGTAAAATTCTGGAACAATTGTGATGATTTAAGCTCGGGATAGCTATTTAAATCCTCAGCACCTTAAAATGTGGAGGTCTCGGGCCTCCCTGGTGGCGCAGGCTGTTAAGCACAGTGCTGTGAAGCTGTCCGCAGCCTCTGCAGCACTGGTTCGATCCCGGCCAGCCAGCGAGGGTCCCACATGGTGCAGCAGACCTCTCCTGTCTTGCCCTCTGCTCCCCTCAGCAGTGTACTTCAGTCCTCCTGCCTGTTCTGCCCCCTGCTCTGTCTCTGGTGAATTCTCTCACCCTCCCGCACATCTGGCCTGTACCCCAATTCTTGTATAAACAAATCTTTAAAAAAATGGGGAGGTCGCTCCCTAGCATAGGGGCAGCTGAGAACAAGCCCTGATGTTAGTTCACAGCCCCGGCACTTACAGGGTCTCCTCGAAGGCCCTTTGGTCCATGGTCACCAGAAATCCCTCTCTTTCCTGGGCTTCCCTAAAGTTAACACAAATCAGAAGAACAAGTATTTTAAGCAACATCCATAAAAGCAGAGGAAACACAGAGCTTATCTTATCCCCAGTCTGAATAATTTTGAATAATGATTTTTTTTCTACTAAACTGGAAAATGAAACAACCAAAAAATAGTTTCAGGCATCATATGAATAATTGAAGAGTGATCTCAATTATGTGCCACAGTGGCGAACTCTGTGTTCCAGACACATTCGCTGTCAAGTTGAGTTTTTACAAGTACTTTATGAACCAGGCATTGCTCATTATCTTTCTCTTAATGAGGTGGCCGTCATTCAAAGAGATGACTCCATTTTCCCAAGGTGGCTGCATTACTAGAAAGTGGGTTTTTGCCTCTCCTGCTCACACTCTAAAGAGCAAGAGGGTATGGCGACAGTGGTCTTGGTTCTAGATGGCGCATACCTTCTCTGTCCTGCCCTGTACCGCTAACCCTGGCCTTCAGCTGTGGCTCGTGAGGCAGCTGCCTTTCCCTAATGCCCCTATTCCACCCTCTCCAGTGTCCATGCCCTTTGCCGTGGCACTCTGCTGTGCTTTCCAGCCATGGTGGGAGAGATTCCCTACATCTGATACGCTCAGGACGTCATTTGGCTGACAGCCCGCAGTATCACTGACAGCTAGGCCTCAGTAGGTCTTGAGTGAACTTGTGTGTTTCTACTTGCTCCCTTGTGCTTTTGCCTTGGTCATGGCAGGGTCATGGCCAACCTGACCAGATTTGTTCTCTGGTTCCAGGAGGAGCACAAGAGACACCTGGAACAAAGGCCTCAGCTAACCTACAGACACATGAGGCATCCGTGTTCTATCTAGATCAGCTGAAACTCTCAATTACTAAATATGCAGGTATAAGGGTTTATTGTTGTTTCAGATGGAGATTTTTAGATTGTCACAAAGCAATTTTGTGGCACCAGTGAACACACCCAGTGCAGTTGTTCTCCTCACACCTTTAATGCCCAGTACAGTTTTCATGTTGCCCCTTCATTGAATCCCTACCTGGGTTCCTTCATCACCCTTTTCTCCTTTTCCTCCAGGAAGGCCACTGTCACCCTAAAAAACAAAGAAAAAATTCCAATTTCCATTTTCTTAATAGCTCAAAAAGTTCTTTATGTACCAAGAGAAGACTCTACCTGTTCTCCATTTAATCCATCAATTCCGCTTTCCCCAACATCTCCCTGAAAAGATGACCAGAAAAGACTCCATTGTATTTATGTAGGAAGAAATCAAACAACAAACAAAAGGTCTAATTTTGGGTGCCATATACAGTCTCTTTATTTGGCTGGCTTTAGGTAGTATCAAAGACTACTCAGTAAAAATAACTCAACAAATAATACATGTCACCTGAATACAATAAAATGAGCAAAGTGAAATGAATGGTACTAAAAATGGTCAACAGAAACTTCACTTGTACAATCTACTAAGTAGATGTGTCTGGAGCCATACCTCTTGTCCATTTAGTCCCCTGTTTCCCTGAAAACAGAAAGGAGAGTAGTGGTTAGTGTAGGAAAATGGGATCGATGTCGAGAAGATTCCACAAAGTCGTATGTGACCCTTACCTTAGGGCCTTTGGCACCAGAGCATCCCTTAGTACCTGGCTCTCCCATAGGTCCAGTAGCTCCCCTCTCTCCCTGAGAAAGAGCGCATACCAGATGAGTATATCACTGTTAAATGAAGGCAGGCAGGCAGGCAGGCTGGCTGCAAGAAATAGCTCCTTGATGAACAATTCAGTGAGTTGGTTTAATAGAGCAAAATGGTGCAGGATTGGGGGAAATGGCAGTGATTTGACTCCCCTGGTGAAGAGGGGAACTTGTGCATGATTTCATGGTGCAGTGGTGATGGGGAGTCAGAGCACAGGGCAGGTTAATAAACCTTCCTCCACGAGGAAGCACGATGAAGATTAAGACAGACCTCTGATTCTGCACCTGCATGCTTAGAATCTGATGTTTTTTGCTTTCCTCTGAATTGACACACATCATTTCACATTGTAGACATGTTCTTAGGAACAAATGCAACTGAGAAAAACCTTGACTTACTGCAGTGCCCTCCTCTCCCAGGTGGCCTTCACTGCCTTTAAAACCTAGGGGTCCCTGGAAATAAGGAAAGGGAGAAAACATGAGAATTCTGTAGAGAAAAAACCAAAGGTAATCAACCAAAAATCTTCAACATTACAGTTTTACTTTATGTAAGAGTTTTACACATAATAGTCCTCCCCCTACAACCTAGGCTGCATTTACATACATGAAAACAAGTGGAGTTTTGATTCCAGGATCCAGATTACTCAAGGGCATGTGTGTGTGAATCATAATATTATCCATAACTCTCTCTGGGGTTATATATAGTGCTGGAGTTATTTTACAAACATTCAAATGAACACAGCTCTATTTTCCCCTAACAAACTAGATATATCCTCTTTTCAATACAAGAATCTTTTTTAGGATTTATGCTACACACAGAAAGAGAGACCACACACACTTCTTTCTGTTCTTTCTGAACGCTGATTTTTAAAAAACAAAACAAAACAAAAACTCTACCACTCTCTTGACATGAAGTTGAAGCCTTTAGGAAATAATTAGTCTGAAAAACCTTCTTCAGGGACACAGCTATGGTGATTTGGGAAGTCATGGTGCTATCTATAAATTATCCCAAAATCAAACACATATGTAAACAAGCAGTATTAAAATCATTACTAAATATATCCATAGCATGTTCCTATGTATTTGGACATTTCCAAAAATCCCAAATCATTTTTTTTTTTTTTTACAGAAGAATACGTAATTTTTTTTTTTGAGTTAGGAAGTAGATGACTCTGTCATCAGTTACCAGTTTTATAACCGACCCATGTTTTGCTTGCACATCTGTGGCAGCACTTGGGCCCAGCCAGAGCTGAGCGAGATGCTGGGGCATCTCCTCTGTGACAAATGTGTGATCCAGCCTGACTTTCTGCAGACCAGACAACCTCCCACCTGATACTCTCAGGATGTGGGGATGGAGCGAGCTATGGGCACTGAGGGGATTTTCACTACTCAGCGTGAGAGATCAGAGTTGATTTTTCTGCATCAGTGTCTTCACCACCAGAGCACTGGATAGTCAAGAATCCTGGCAGTTATTTCTCCCAAGGCTGCTATTTAACTTTTTTTCTTTTTTTTTTTTTTGAATATTTCTTTTTTTTTTTTCTTTTATAAAAAGACTGCAATTTGGCATGCCGATGAAAAACCCTGACACATCAAAAGACTAATACAGTTACCTCAGAGACTGCACTTACAAATTAAAATCACCCCTTATTTCTACCTAGAGCCAGGTCTGAAAGGCGCAGCCTATTTGAATCCAGTGAGCCCAAAACCTTAACTAAAATCACCTTTTTCCCCGGTGGTCCACGATCTCCCATCGTGCCTTCTCCCCCAATGCACTTGCAGAACAAACAGCAGCACGTCCTCTCAGCAACATTGACCTTGGGGGGAGGGGAAACACATCACACTTGGTGGCACCGCTTCCCAGGCCACACACCCTAGCTCAGGGCATGATTCAGATTCCACCTCCGCATCAGAGGCCTGTGCTCCATGCCGATGACCGTGCTCTGGAGAGGGAGACCTGGTGCCACTGCCCTCTGTGCTCTGCATTCTGCACCACACGAGGAACCCAGCATCAATTCAAAGATGCTTTTACATTTGCCAGGCCAACTTGTTGCAGACAAACGTGTTAATGTGACTTCCTATTCCCACCGCAGCACTGACCGGGTGTTACTGATTACCCTTTATCACTCTGCCCCGAATACTTTCTTCAGTCAAGTGATTGACTGTGGCTTCCTTTCCTTCCTACTTTGTGAAATCTTTGTACCCTAGAGGATCTACACAGTGACCAATGTCACACCAGCTGGAACCAAGTCCAATGGCAAACATTTCCAAAACACTGTCTGCAAAATAGGATTTAAAAAACACCAATTACAGTCTCAGTATTTTAGAAGCAATTGTTGTGGAGGTGGGGGGGTGAGGGGAGAATAGTCTTCTTTATATATTGGCCAAAAACCCATGTGAAATATTTAAAAATGTGAATTTCATCCAGGAAAATTTCATCCAGTCACTCCCTGAATAAATGACTTATTCTATTGCATTTTTATGATTAATTCATAAGATTTATCTTTAGGAAAATTCTTTTTGTAGTCACGACCATGTTTTACTTTAGTGGAGTAGAATCATCTTTGTTTTGAGACGTTTCCCATCAAATAGCAAGTATGACCAAAAATGAAAATCCTTTGTCATAACAATTTAGCAATTTCCTGCTTTGTTTCCTATCATAGAATGTTTCTTTTCTGACATTAGGAAAAATTTGTCCCTGAAAATATCAGAAAAACTAATGAAACTTGAATGTGTGAAATCAAGTAATAATGACAACAAAATGGATTCTGTGACTTCCTATCAGATATCAATTTTCTCTGGATCACCAAAATCCTACAGCATCAAAGCTTTTACTATGAACAATAAAAATGACCTATTTCTAAAAATGACTTTCTTTTTTTTCTAAGATTTATTTTTTATTTATACAATAGCTGGGATACAGGCCAGAGGCGCGGGAGGGTGAGAGGATTCACCAGAGACAGTGAGGGAAACAGAACAAACAGACGGACCAAAGTCACTGCTGAGGATAGCAGTGGGGAAGACACGAGAGGTCGGCCACGCCATGTGGGACTCTCCCTGGCCGGCCAGGAATCGAACCCACGCTGCAGAGACTGCAGACAGCTTCACAGCAAGGTGCTCAACCCGCTATGCCACTGGGGAGGCCCCCCAAAAAACTGATTTTTTTAAAATAAATTTTATTTTTATATTCCCCATACAATTGCAACCCCCTTATTTTGACCCCAATTCCTCCCCTCCCGACCCCCACCCCCCATTGAGTGTCTCTGGTTCATAGTTTTTTGTTATTTTGATTTTCACTTTCTTATAGTTATTCATTTTCCTGGTCCCTTATTTAAGTTTTCTAGATTCCTGCTATGAGTGAGACCATCTGGTATTTTTCTTTTTCTTTCTGGCTTATTTCGCTGAGCATGATCCCTTCCAGCGCCATCCATGTTGCTGCAAATTGCATGTGTTTATCTTTTTTGAATGCTGAGTAATATTCCATGGGGTATATATACCACATCTTCTTGATCCAGTCATCTATTTTTGGGTTGTTTCCATAGCTTACCTATTGTAAACAGTGCTACTATAAACATAGGGGTGCAGGTGCTCTTTGGAATGGATGTTTCTGTGTCCTTTGGGTAAATACCTAGGAGTGGAATTGCTGGATCCTATGGAAGCTCTATGTTTAGTAGGTCCAGAAATCTCCACACAGCTCTCCACAGTGGTTGGACCAGTTTCCACTCCCACCAACAGTGCAGGAGAGTTCCTTTTTCTCCACACCCTCGCCAACATTTGTTGTTGCTAGTTTTTTTAATATGTGCCATTCTCACTGGTGTAAGATGGTATCTCATGGTAGTTTTGATTTGCATTTCCCTGATGACAAGTGATGTTGAACATTTTTTCATATGCCTGTTGGCCATTCGCATTTCCTCTTCAGAGAAGTTTCTTTTTAGCTCTTCTGCCCATTTTTTGACTGGATTATTTTCTTTGTTGTTGTTTTTCTTATTCAGTGTTTCATTTATGAGATATCTACAGAGATATCTCTGTTTTGAAAAATAACTTCCTCCTTCTGTGAATTACCAATACAGATGTCAAAATGTAGTAGACAGAAGTCTTGCCATGTAAGAAAGGAATTCCAACAAAACACCCATATTTTTAAAGTAATTTACATAATTGATACACTGAATAAACTAATTACCTATTTATATACAAATGCCATAGGTGGGAAAGAGAAGCAGCTAGCACTTCCTTGGAAAGTGTTCTGTTATGCTGACTACAATTTCATAAATCATAAGCAAATGACAAATTACTAGCCATATGTTATGGTGAAAACAGTGTCACAAAACTAATACTTCACTCTAGTTTGGATTTTCTGTGTTTTTTCTTTTTTTTAAAAAATATTTATTTATGCATACAAGAGCTGGGGTATAGGCCAGAGATGTTGGGGGGGGGGTGTATGTGTGTGTGAGAGGATTCACCAGAGACAGAGTAGGGAACAGAACAGGCAGACTGACTGAAGTACACTGCTGAGGGGAGCAGCAAGAGAGGAGAGGTCTGCCTTGCCATGTGGGTTGCTCCCTGGCTGGCCAGGATCGAACTCATGCTGCAGAGGCTGTGGATTACCTCATAATGTGGTGCTTAACCCCTTGCACCACCCGGGAGGCCCGCGATTTTCTGTGTTTCTAAAAAATACGGTGGAGGTGCATCTTATGTAGTCACTAGGCTCTAAATAGACTCCACGGCAAAAATCATGAGGAGGGAAGAAAAACTAAGAATCTTCTGAAGGCTCATAAAGTACTATGTAGGAGAGTCCATGTCTTGCCCTAGACTCCTGTTTAGAACAGCCCATTCTTCCCCTGGATGACTCTACATGGGACTCTCTCACCCACAGCCAGTGTTGCAGGGCAGATGCATGTCACACACTGAATTATACTGAGCGTGGTGAGCTGGGACACTACCAGGATTGTGAAAACCAACCGCATCTTCACATCTCAGATTTTCTCTGGCACTTACATCCTCCGAATGTCATTTGGGCAGGATGGTAGGTGGTTTTTCTCTTCCTTCTTTTTTATCAAGCATGTAAATTAGACTTCCCCTGCCATTTCTCTACTGCATTTCTTTCAAAACACTATTATTTAGACTGCTCACTCAATCACAAAAACCTCTCTTCACTACCAAATGAACAAACTTAGTTCTAATTCATAACCATAAATATTAAACCCATCTACAAAACAAATAGAGAATCGAAACTTACCAGCCTTTTCTGAGTAACTTACCAGGTGCGTTGACAGCTGGCTCCCCAGATCCCTCATTCCAAGGGTGTGCTGGGTCCTGTACTCAAAGCCTTTCCCAAATTCAATGTAGATAAGATCAGACAGGTCACTTGAATCGGTGGCTCCATCCAAAGCAACCGTCAGGAGGGCGTTCAGGCCTATTTGACAAAGTTTACCATTCCTGGGTGAGGTGTTTGGTTATTTTCATTTTCTTTAGCCTATGGATCAAATTATTACTCCAGGCAAACAATGACTTAATGAAGATGTTCAATTTATTGTCTACCCAAAAAAAAAAAACAAGTAACAGGTGACAAGACTATAAGCAGAGAACAAAATGAATTACTTTTTGCATGACTAATTAAATAGGAGATGCAGGAATTTGTAACAGAACTTCCAGTTCCCTTATGATTTGAAGTGAGTTAAAAAGGGTCCACAAAGCAGTTAAAGTGCAGAGGAACTCGGTGTCAAGGAAGGCGGTGTACCGGGTATCTGCCACTCAAAGGGGGTCCTGCTAGCTTATACATTCAGTCTCAGGTCCCTATCCCAGAGCTATTGAATCAGAATCTGTATTTAAATAAAATCCCCAGTCATTTGTATGCACATTAAAGACAGAAGCGCAGCTCTAAATAACTTCATAAATTGTTGATAATCCTAGGTAGCAGGAGACAGTAAGAGACACTGACAGGCAGTGAGAAACAAGTGACATGTAATCATCCAGAGCTTTGGGATTTATAGACCAAAATATTTTTTTTTTTAAATATTTTTTTTTTTTTAATTTTCTAGAGGCATGTCTTATTTATTTATCTATTTGTTTGTTTGTTTGTTTGGTTTATACATGCACTGGGTACAGTCAGAAGCCGGGAGGGTGAGAGAATTCACCAGAGCCAGAGCAGGGAGCAGAACAGGCAGAAGGACCGAAGTACACTGCTGAGGGGAGCAGCGGGCGGCAGGAGAGGTCTGCGCGCCATGTGGGACCCTCCTCTGGTGGCCGGGGAGCAGCCGGGGATCGAACCGGCGCCGCAGAGGCCGCGGGCAGCTTTGCAACCCAGCGCTCAACCGCTGCGCCACCTGGGAGGCCCTAGACCAAAATATTTTAAAGATAACTTTTAGGGACTACAAAACAGAAGAATGCATCAAGATGTGGTATATATATACACAACTCCACTGAATACTCCTCAGTGGTCAAAAAAGATTACATGCATGACATCTGTGGCAACACAGACGAAGTTGGCAGGGGATTATGCTTGGTGAAATAAGTCAGAAGGAAAAAGAAATATCGGATGGTTTCGTTTATATGTGGCATAAAGAGAGGCCAGCCAAAGGATCCGGAAAAAGTAAAAAATTGCAAGCTGACCATAAATCTGAGGCCTATAGCAGGGGAGGGGCAGAGAGAGGGGCCAAAGCAGGGGAGGGAAGACCAAAGGGTGGTGGAGATGGATCTTGGGTGTCATGGTGGTGGAACTATGGGGACTACACCTGAGGGAAGAAAGCAAGTACTGTACAAAAATGAATAATGATGTAAGAAAATAAATTTAATAATTAAAAAAGAAATGTTTAGGTACTAACAGAGGGTTGGCTTATCTTGGAAGAACACTGAAGAGTATTAATACATCTAGAAATCCCTGTGGGGGAGGTAAGCACAGCAATGACAGTGCTCCCATTTATTAACAGTTACCAGATGCCTGGAAGTTGGGTAAGGGCTTTACATGCATTATCTTATTTGTGAGATACCAGTACAACCAAAGTAAGTATGTACAATTATAGTCTACTCTACTGACAAGCAAACTCAGACTTGGAAAGGTGAAATGGCTGGCTCAAGTGACGATTTTAGGTTTCAATCAGACAACCCAATCCCAAAGCCTACACTCAAAGGATACTTTAGTAGCCAAAATGTAGCATAAAGAATCATAAAGAACAGGGCCTCTCCTGGTGGCACAGTGGTTGAGCGCTGGGCTGCAAAGCTGCCCACAGCCTCTGCAGCGCTGGTTGGATACCCGGCCGCTGGCAAGGGTCCTACATGGCACGCAGACCTCTCCTGCCACGCCCGCTGCTCCCCTCAGCAGTGCCTATTGTCAGTCTGCCTGTTCTGTTCCCCGCTCTGGCTCTGGTGAATTCTCTCACCCTCCCGCACTTCTGACTGTACCCAGTGCTTGTATAAATAAATAAATAAATCTTTAAAAAAAAAATCATAAAGAACAACCATAAAGAACAACCCTGAAATTGAAGACATTTAATTTTTGAAGACCTGACTCTACTGGCAGGTGTTTCCTCATTTCAGATGAAGAAAGAATTCTTTGGATGGGACTTGGAAACCAGTGTGTTAGAATAGATCCAGGAGTGTTCAAGGCCTTGCCTAGGAGGTACGAAGGCTTTCTTATCTGAGTTTGCATACTATGATTCTGAATGAAATGAGGGGTTAGTGCCGGAGGAGAAAAAAGAGAATACAGTTTCAGGGGCACATGAGGGATGCTCAGGTCCTAGGAGAGGCATCTGAGTGGCTGGCATGAGTGGGCTATAAGAAGAAAACCTAGGGCTGGAATCACCAGCTTGTCTGGCTCGCTGGAGTTTCCTGGTTTTCATGCTCATGATGATAGTTTCTGGCTTTTCTCAAGAAAACAAGAGTTAGTCCCTCTCCCCAGAAGGAGAATGATGGGTAAGACAGATGGTGGGTTGGCCTGGAAAGGCCATGAGGAATGCTGAGTTCATCTGCTGGCATTCAGTGATCTGGAGAAGGCATGATGCTGGTGGGCCTGTTAATAAGGGGAAAAACCTTAAATTTGATTTTTCTTATGTGTTCTAGGCAATGTAAAAATTTAAGACTTATGAGAACCATGGATTATTGATTTACAGTAAATATGCATACAATTATAATCTGTAGCTGTTTTTCTCAACAGGATGGGGGATGCCAATCCTGCTCCCTCCAGAATCATCCAATAAATGAGTAATATGATCTGGAATACAGAGTTTTCAATTTCAAACAATGAATTAATGAAGACAAGATTTCCAAAAATTGGGAGAATAAAGACTCATTGACTAGATCCTAAAGTAGCTGATTTTCAAAATTAAGAAGCTAATTCACACAATCTCTACTACATAAGGATGAATTGTAAAGCAACATCTACCATGGAAGATTCTTTTCCTCTTCTCCACTCTTTCTGTGATGACTGCAGTTGACATGCATCTATTCCTGGTTTCAAATTAGGGAGGTTCTCCCAGGTCAACAGATTCTAGGACCCAACATCAACTGAAATCATGGATGCTAACATATGGAAGCCTGAACTAGAGGCAACTCCTCAACCACATCGAGAGCCAGTTCACACTTTAAAGAACATTCTACCCATTATCTCTTAGCTCCCGCAAAGATCCTATATGAGGATATTCAAAATCTACCTTCTGAAGTTGAAACTCATTTAGTAGTTTATTTCTTGGGAGTTGGAAAGAAAAAAAACTGGTCGAGAGATCTGGATATTCAGAGAGAAACTGCCAACACCGACCAATGTCTATTAGAGATATATCTTTTCCCCATAAAAGAAAATCTGAAGAAACCCTACCATCCAGACTAAGCACTTAAGGGTTTTGTTCTCCGTCTTTGTTACACTATCCACTGGAGCACACAAAAAAGGCCATGACTTGATAAAGAGAAAACAGCTCTAGTCAACAAAGGGCAAAATAAAGATCCTTTCTCTCCAGGTGTAGACTCAGCCAACTACAATTTGTTTATGGTTGAGGAGAGAGAACTAAAGAGAAGAGACAAAATCTAGTCAGCTTCTAAAGCCAACGTGGGGGGTGGATGCTTTAGATCAGGGGTCCTAGTGCAGAGCCTGAGGTACGGGTTTGGAGGCATACAACTTATTGGGGAAATACCCTCAGAAGAGAGCGGGAGGGAAGTAGGATGTGGCGAGGGAGGGGGCTGAGCAACATAGTTGGATTGGGTTCTAGTTTCATGGATCCCACAGGAACTCGAGCATAATCAAACCACAGGATAGTGTCCGTTTTGAGGCAAAGAGCTAAATCTTTGATCTCCATCTGGTGCCCAGGGCTGGGATAGAGAATAACTTTTCAGGCGAGGGGGTCCCCTGGGCCAAGGCAACTCCTCAGAGAACAGCTGTTAGTAGCCACACTCAGCCACCGGAGGAGGGAGAAGGTGCTGGAAAGGGGGCTTGGGTGGAGCACCCCACTTACAGGAAAGTATTTCTAATTTTAATCAAACCAGAACATGTGGGGGCATTTTTCTTCCACTGATTCATATTTTAGTTAAGAAGTGATAATAAGTCAGGCTGGACATTGGTTTCTAAAGCCCAGAGCCTGGTGCCAGGGCTTTAACACTCACCAACACCATGCTTGGGCCATATGTGGTCTGAAGAATGGATTAGAAAGCCCCACAACGTGAACAGACCGGTCCAACAACACTTGTAACTCTGGAAACTCTAAGAGTAGTAGAAGAAAAGAATCCAACTCTTCCTTCTTGGTCAAGGAGAAATACAATGTTCACTTCTGCTGATGCTAATGCAACATCATCATCAGAAAAAGGGGACAAGGGAGACAGGAACATTCGCCAGGAAATTTTAGGAAGAAGAAACACAGTCCTACGAGAGAAAGGCCAGGACTTCACATTCGGCACTGCTGCAAACATACAGGGCATGAGGGGGAAAGCAGGTGCCAACATGTTCTGAGAACTCATTTGCTCTGCCAAGTGAATCCACAGAGCAAGGCTTGGCAAATTCAGGGTTGTTCCAGCGCCTGGAAACTGAAGAGCCAGAGTCTAGTCCTGAAGTTACAAAGTTAACAAACATGCCTTCCCCACTCTTTCCCCAGTACCTTCTTTTCTAAGTTCTTCAGATTTCTGCTCTAGTTTTTCAATATCTTCGTCCAACCCATCCGAAAATAAAAGAACCACCTAGGAAAAGTATTCAAAAAAGAAAAATGATTAAAAAGGAGGCAATCGCAACCACAGACTAACAGATCAAATCAAACCAAGTTACCTTTCCTCGGGCGGCTGATTTATTGTGAAATGCATCCCACAGGGAACCGAGGAGGTGTACATTGAGAAGAGATGGTCCTTTCACTGCCACATCCTTCAAGCTGTTCAATATGTTTTCACTGTAGATCTCAAACTTGGGTGAAAACTTGTCCCTGGCATTGGTCACTTGAAAGGCCACACTAACCTGCGTCTCAGTGCCCACTTCACAGCTCACCCCATTGAGGGAGCTGATGGCACGTAAGATGTCTAGTAGGTAGGTTTGCATCCAAGGCTGACCTTCAAGGAGAGTCTGGCCACTCTGCTGAGTTGAGATGTCAAATCCCACCACCACGTCCACGAAACAATCTAGGAGGCAAAGGAAAATTGTGTCTTATTAGATCATCCCATAGCTTTACTTGATCCGGATGCCAGGTCTGAATCGGGGGACTTGGAATTCTTACTCTGTTCCAGCTGTACAGTGAGCAGACAAGGAAGCGCTTGAGTGAAAAATCGACGAGGCTCAGAATCATTTTTTATTACGCTGTGAAAGTGGAGGTGTATATTATGTCTTCAGATGGTATAAAACCTAGATGATTCTATAAAACGTTCTGAAAGATTTTATTAAGGCCACTGAAAAGTCATACAGGCTCATTTAAATATCTCTCAAGGTTCTAGTGGAGAGGCTAATAATCTAAAATAGGAAACTCCTGTCATGCTACCTATCAGGTTGAGGTGATCCAACAAGTTTTAAATAATGATGACTATAAAGAAAATATAAAAACATTTGAGTAGAGTCATTTAGAAAATGCAAATCACAAAGGACTTTTTAAAGTCAGGCCTGATTTTGTGATTCCCTCTTTTTGTTTTCTAACATCCTATCAGAAAAGAAAAAGGAAAATAAAAAATCCAAGAGACGTTCTGAAATCTTACTTGGCTTAAGTTCCAAAGTGGAGAAAGGGGCACTGAAGTACCCACATTCACCCAAAGATGGTGCTACCTGCAGACACTGAGGAAGCCAAAGACACTGCCACCTGGGGGTTTAGAGATCTCTGAAGAGAGGCTGCATTTGTTCTCATTGTTAATTCAAGTCATTTAAGCACTAGAGAAACTGGCAGGAGCTTGAATATAAGCTGAATCTCTAAAGGGCAAATAACTAGAGAGGGATAAAGTCATAGGATTTATATAATTTCTTTCAAGAATTTTTTTGATTGGCTAATACCCTTAATCTTTTCTGGAAAATTCAACACATACAGGTTGCATGGTAAATTAAAAAAAAAAAAAAAAGGGAGAAGAGTATGTATTTTTAATTTGTTTTGTTTTGATAAGCAGTTTTTCAGATATCTGTTATGTGGACAAATGCTTGCCCGCACCACCTCCACATGCATCAGTCAGTTGGACATTTGTAAATCTTTGAAAACAAAACAAAGGCTAGTAACTTGATTCATTTTTAATGAGTTGGGTGAAGGGCAAGAAAAGCTTATTTGATAATCAATTTTCATCACGAGATTTAGGGCAAATCAATGTTCTATTAAAAAAATCTGGACATTGGTCTTATTTTACTGTATTTGTTGGAAAAAAAAAATCTCTTCTCAGATATTTAGAAGGTGAGATGAAGAGAAACATGGGAATATGTCCTCTCCAGGATTTCTCTTCAGCCTTTATCCTTTCATTTCTATCTTAGGTGGAAAGTTTTACTCCTGCATGAACACTGTGTCAACCTCTGAACAGAAAACCATTCAAGTGACAAGACAGGTCACTGCCTTTAAGGAAAACAGTCTTTTGTGGAAAAAAAATTAAACACAGGCAAAAATGTCAAAATGATGCTCAGTTTATCCTGGGAAGGGTCCCCTGTAAACATTGAGAATTTTCATCTAGATTACTGATAGTTCGGAACTGGTACCAAGGTCTTTGTATTTATTTAACTGATTCAAATCAACAAATGATTCATAATAATGTGATCAGAGGGATGGAATTTGGGGATCAAGTCCAGAGGCAGCAGCCATGTATCTAACCATAAGAAGAGTGAGCAGATCCTACTAATCAAGGGGGCTCCCGTGGAACGGCCTCGCCAATTCTGTGGAGGTAGCTACCCTAAAGTCAGGAGCCCTTCAAAGTTAACAAGTCAGCAAGGCAAAAGGCTCAAATTAGGTTTCCAAAGAGAAGTGATGAAGGATTAAACTAGGATAGCAAGAGTGGGAATTGTAATGAGATAATTAATACAAGAGAAATTAAGAAGGTAATCCACATGACTGGCAGGGCTGACCCTAGAATGAGAGGCCTCGGTGGCTTCTGCAGAAGCTTCAACAGTATGGGCCTCCCTCATGGTGCAAGGGGTTAAGCTGCAGTGTTACGAAGCAATCAGCAACCACTGCAGCATGAATTTGATCCCCGGCCAGGGAGCTATCCACATGGCGCAGCAGACCTCTCCTATCTCGCCCGCTACTCCCCTCAGCAGTGTATTTCAGTAGATCTGCCTGTTCTGCTCCCACTCTGTCTCTGGTAAGTCCCCTCACACCCCATACTTCTGGCCTATACCCCAGTTCTTGTATGCATAAATAAATAAATAAATCTTCAAAATAAAAACAGAAAAGAAGCTTCAACACTAACTGGGGTCCAGGCTGGAGCCTCTCAGCTCGCATAGGCAAGGCCAAGAAACAATCTGAGATCAGTGTTTCCTGAGGGGTCAAAATGGTGATTACAGTTGGTCTGGGTGTTAAGTGCCCCTAGGAGGTAGCCAGTGCCATCCGAGGAGCCATCATCCTGGCCCACCTCTCCATCATTTCCATTTGGTGCTACAGAGGGAACAAGAGCAGCAAACTGCCCCCCCTCTCCACCATCCCTTACCAGGTGACCGGCCTGTGTGACTCTGTGATGATGCACTCCACCCCTGCCCCGAGGGGAACTGCAAGGTCTCAGCTCCTGTGTCGAAGAAGCTGCTGTTAATTGCCACACCTCAGTCAGGGGCTGCATTACCAGCCTGGCCAACTTTGCCAAGGCACCTTTGATGCCATCTCCATGACCTTCAGCTATCTGCCCCCAACCTCTGGTAAGAGACTGTCTTCAAGTCTTCCTATGAGGAAGTCACTGACCATCTTATCTTGTGAAGACCCACACAGACTCTCTGTATAGAGGACCTAGGCTCCAGCTGTGGCCACCACATAGTTTTTATATATGAGAAGTGAATTAAGCCTGTTTTAAAAAAAAATGGGTTGACAAAGCAGTGATAGTGAAGGCAAAGAACAACAACTGGGACTACATCAAATTAAAGAGCTCCTGCACAGCTAAAGAGACAATAACAAAAACAAAGAGAAACCCCACCAACTGGGAGAACATTTTTGCACCCAACACTAATGATAAAGGACTGATCACAAAAATCTACAAAGAGCTGATGAGACTCAACAACAACAAAGAAAATAATCCAGTCAAAAAATGGGCAGAAGAGCTAAAAAGAAACTTCTCTGAAGAGGAAATGCAAATGGCCAACAGGCATATGAAAAAATGTTCAACATCACTTGTCATCAGGGAAATGCAAATCAAAACTACCATGAGATACCATCTTACACCAGTGAGAATGGCACATATTAAAAAAACTAGCAACAACAAATGTTGGCGAGGGTGTGGAGAAAAAGGAACTCTCCTGCACTGTTGGTGGGAGTGCAAACTGGTCCAACCACTATGGAGAGCTGTGTGGAGATTTCTGGACCTACTAAACATAGAGCTTCCATAGGATCCAGCAATTCCACTCCTAGGTATTTACCCAAAGGACACAGAAACATCAGTTCCAAAGAGCACCTGCACACCTATGTTTATAGCAGCACTGTTTACAATAGCTAAGCTTTGGAAACAACCCAAATGCCCAAAAATAGATGACTGGATCAAGAAGATGTGGTACAAATACACCATGGAATATTACTCAGCATTCAAAAAAGATAAACTCATGCAATTTGCAGCAACATGGATGGCACTGGAAGGGATCATGCTCAGCAAAATAAGCCAGAAAGAAAAAAAAAATACAGGATGGTCTCACTCATAGCAGGAATCTAGAAAACTTAAATAAGGGACCAGGAAAATGAATAACTATAAGAAAGTAAAAATCAAAATCAACAAACAACTATGAACCAGAGACACTCTATGGGGGGTGGGGAGGCGGGGAGGGGAGGAATTGGGGTCAAAATAAGGGGGTCGCAATTGTATGGGGAATATAAAAAAAATTATAATAAAAAAAAATGGGTTGAGTCAAACATACCCACATTTTCTTGGTCTATGGCTTCTGTACAGTCTGGGTCAGGTTATATAGTTTTGAGCCATAGATCCCTCATTTATAATTGGGAGTAAAAATACAAACATAGGGTCTGGGGAGAATTTAATGATAAAACATTTGAAATGCCTAGTGCCTCTTGCTCAGTTCTTCACAGATGCTTGAAAAATACTAGTCACTTCCCTTGTGTGTTGAGGCAGCCCACCTCCCTTTCGCATGTATTGAATCACAGTGTTCAACTCAAGAAACTCAAAGATGATTTATCTTTATGGATGAGAAAAGGATATTGACTTTCCCAAACAGACACATTTTAACAAGCAAAACCAGATGTTCAGGCTCTAAGTCTGGTTTGCTTTGACCCTCGCCAAGCTACTGTCCAATTGCCTTGGTTTGGGATTTATAATTTAAGAACTGGCATCCACTAATATATTTTTCCATGCCTTTGAAGCTTTATCAGTGTTTACTGCAGGCCCATCAATCCTCATCCCACAGTGGCTCCCGAGGACTCACATTCTTACTTGCTAGAGTAATGATTTCAGTTTCTTAACCCAGAGCACTTTCCTTGTTTACCTGTTTATTTTTCAGATTAATGAGTTACCTCGAAAGGCAACTCACTACCTGGGGTAGACGCTCCTGGTTTGAACTCTGCACGTGACTACTGTTTTCAAGTCAACTCGAGATGGTCTCAAGACCATTTTTGGCCTAGTAATTGGAACTGGGTATTTCACGTGAAATAGGAAATTAATGTGGAAAGTTTGGCTAAGGTCAGTACACACATTTCAAAGCATGGGAAGATCATGAAGCACACTGCAGTCCTTAATTGATGACGGGGCACTTAACCTTTAACCTACACGCTGGGTTTTATTAAAGGCTTCAGCACATGCACGATCACACACACATACAAAGAGAGGAAGTAGCTTCCTCTTTAAAGAGCGAAGCCTGAAGAGATAATGTGGAGATGACGCAAACCTAGAAATTCTAAAGAACGAGACATAGAGTGGCATGCTAGCCTCCCGGCAAAGAAGAGGCAGCCACACTGGAGGGAAGGTGAGAGTGACTCCTGGTGTTTTTGGGGGGGCAATAGAGATGCTATTGTTTCCTATGGAGCTGATAAAGCCACTTATAAGAAAGCCTCCTGCAGGCACCTCTGACCTCCTGCCTAAGAAGGCTTGCTGGGAGGACAGAGAGATCACAGCAGAAATAGCTGCAGCTGTCCCCAGGTGCCTGGATGCACAGCAAGGCATAGGCCTACCTGGCACTGAGTCCTCCAAGGAACAATGGTTGTGAGATCCTCTGATGAATGTGCATGGTGGGGGTGAAGTGGGGCGTGGAGGATCTTTGCACTCATGACTAGACCAACTTAGACTTGGGCTATGGCCACAGAAAACCAATTTCTTACAAGTGTCATCAAGGAAAATCTTTTCTGTACCCTAGTTCTTCTCCCAGAACACTCTGGAGAGGCCAGAGACCCAGGATAGCAAGGAGGCGGCAGGGTCTGGGAGAAGGGAGGTAGAAGCAGCCAATGGAACATTGGGTCAGCATGCCAACCACCTGCAGCCTCTTCATGGGCAGGTGAGCAGCAGACATCGGGCTGGAAAAGCGGTGTAACCTTGAAAGTTGCTTGATGTTTCCATATTTACACTGGGATGGACATTTAATCACCGAGAAATGGTTCACTTATTTCCTGAAATTGACCAGGGGCGAGGGAAGAGCTGGGCTCAGGAATAAACGTAATGGGTCAGTGGCAACTCAAATGCAGTGACTTTGTAATTACATCTCAGGTTTCATGCTTGTTCAAAGCCAGCTTAAATAGGCATTTTCTCACTTAACCTTCCTGGTCATCTTTGAGCTAGGTGCTCCTTGGTGTTCATGTGTCACAGATGAGAAAATTTCTAGCCTGGCTATCTGTCTCTCAAGTTGCCTCTTAACCACCATGTCATTTTCCCATCCCTGCTGGGAATCCAGGGTTAATGTTCACCATGGTGATGATGCAGGATAAAGAGCCAACCCATCTGCACTTTTATAAAAAAAGAAAAATGCACCCTTCCTTTAAAACCTTTCCTTCCATCTGTTGGAGAAATGTTACAGTGTGCAAATTTTTAAGGAGACGTTTACTGGCTTCTGCATGAAGTTTCATGTTAAAGAGCCAGCTCTAAGGACTGGCCTCTGCACTTAAACACTGCAGCACCCAGCAGCCCTGCAGGCCCCACTGCCAGGCAACCCAGTGTTTCAAAGTCAATGTCTTTCAGACACGTTCTGCACCTCTAAAACCAAGCAGATTTTGAACAATGGCCTTTTTTCTCCCACCTTCTGAAGCACGGCCTCCCCCTTCACAAAGAGGGCATTTGTTCCCAGGAGGCAGGGAGAAAAAAAGACAGCTTCTCAGAGGCCCTGTTTCTCAACCTGCAGGTCACACCAAAATAGACTTGTTAACAGTGAAAAGTTCCATTTGAAAACTACAACTACAGGTACAAATGTAAATTTTCCCACCAGCCTCTGGGGATGTCCACAGAGCCCGAGGCAAGCTCAGTTGAAGACAGGGGAGGGACAGATAAGATGCATTAAATACTCACTGCTCTCTCCTCCCGAGGTACAGATGTTGCGAACTATCCTTTTCTTGACCTTTTTCAGTTCGTCAAAGTTGTGAACGGTCAGCTTCTTTTCTGCGGTGCCGGTGATCTGCATGAGCTGCTGGTCATCTACGTTCCCAATGCCCACGGAGTAGATGTCGACTCCTTTGTGTCTCAGGTCCTCCGCGGCCTCCGCCACCTCGTCCTGGGACTGGCCATCCGTGAGGACCAGCAGCACCTGTGGGGTACCTGCATTTATCCGGCTGCCCCTGTTTGGCAGGAAGTAATGCCCCACCTGCTGGAGGGCAGCGCCGATGTGTGTGTTCCCATAGATCTGCTGGATGTTTTCAATCTGAAATGAGATTTCCTTTTTGCCTGTGAAAGCTCCCAGCAGAAACTCTTGCCGGTAGGTATGACTAAACTGGGCCACTCCGACACGCACTCGGTCGATGTTGACATCAAAGTCTTCAACGATGGAGGCCAAGAACTCCTTCATCTTTTTGAAGTCATTTGGGTGAATGCTATTTGAGCCGTCCATGAGGAAAACAAGATCTACTTTTTCAATTTCACAATCTACAAGCAAAAGGAACAACAAGGAAACATCAGATAGTTAGTCTTCCTTTAATCATTGAGAGTAAACTGCACGTTTGCCTCTGTGCAGGTGACGTTTCTGAAGGTGGTGTCATAGTTTGCATGCCCTCTGGTGGCCACATTATTTGGAGAGGAAATCAAAACTGTTATGTGAACCACCTGCGTATCCTGTGATGCTCCTCTTGCCTATCAGGTCTTATGCCACTTTCTTATCTGAAAGGGCAGAAAGCTGGGGATGGTACTACAGGGGGCATCTCCCCTGCTGCCATCCGGCCTCCCCCAGACAGTAGTGGCACAGCAAGGAAAACTGAAACAACAAAGTCCACTTACTGGCTGTGACAAGAGAGGACGGCTGGCTCTACCAACTTGTCCCTGGCTGGCTGAGCCAACAAGCACTTTTCTAGTTTCTTAGGACAAGTTGAAGGGAGGTTTTCAAATCATGACTTCTCTATCAAGTCAGTTTTTGTTTGTATTAGCCCCATTTCTGGTGCACACAGGCAAATACATCTTGAAAATAATTACTTTTGATCGGTGTAGTATAGTTTTATGATGTGTCTCTTGTAACAACACAGCGGACACAAAACAAAAGGAACAGGGAAAACCAGTGCCAGTGCATGAGTTATGCTTGGCACATGCTCAAGTGTGTCTCTGCCTTCTGGAAAGCATTAGTGTTTCCTTGAGTTCCCTAGAGATCTCACCAGAACTTAATTCTCATTCTAGTTTCAGAAGAGATGAAAGGTGTCTTGAGATTCCTGCTGTCAAGATAAGCAAGGAAAAGATAGGAATGATAATCAGATCCTTCAGGAACTGGTTAACTCAACAAATTCCTCTAGTTTGATTCAAGTAAAGGAAATAAAGTACTTTTATTTTGGTCCAAGGGAGAAATTTCAATATTAAAATTCAATGGGCTTGAACAGTGGACTTGTAGAGGACAGATGGAATTTTAGGCATCGGCTAACAAAAAGGTAAAAGCTCATTTCCAGTAAGACTCAGATTCTGTTAATTTTGTAAAATAAAAAGCTAGGCACTGCATTCTAAGGAAGCCATATGGAAACCTATAAAGTCAGATTTTTTTGAAGGGAACTGCATCAAGATGTTGGAATCCTGCATTAGCAGCAATTGATCACATCAAGATTTAGTAAAATACAACTTAATAAAAATACAAAGGATTTTTTTTTTTTTGGGGGGGGGGGACCCTTGCCAGTGGCCAGGGATCGAACTGGCTCTGCAGAGGCTGCAGGCAGCCTCACAACCCAGCGCTCAACCGCTGCACCACCAGGGGAGGCCCAAAATACAAAGGAATTTTAATCTCCCTTTGAAAGAAAAGTATAAAATGGCAGCTGGATGAAAGGATGACTATACACCCATTGCATGAATAAATGTAACAATGCAATCTCTAGTTGCCAAAATAGACACGTGGCAAAAGGAAGTCACAGTAGTTGCATTGGAAACACCAAAGGCCAGTCTAGTATTCAATATTCGGCTCTGTGTTTTAAGCAAGCACGTGCATGATAGAAACAGGGAGATGGAATGAGGAAGTTCCAGCATGAGTACAGACTTCGGTTAACAACTGCTGGTTCTTGGAGATGGAATTTGATTTCTTATGCAAAGAGCAGGAAGAACTAGTGGGTGGATATGATACATGAGCAAATTTGTGTTCCAGTACAGTTTTTCTGCCTTTGAAAGTAGAATGCTCCTATTTGGTATAATTTGGTAGGTTGTTTCTGGGAATGCTAAAAAATTTTTCATATAAATGAATAACAGCATCCCGCAAATAACCTACCCAATAGAAATGTTCAACCCTTAGTACTGGGGAAATCTATAAACAAAGCCTGCTGAAAATGGTGAATTCCCCATCATGAGGTTTAGGGAGGAGTAAGAACGTACAAGGTTCTCCCCTTTGGGGAGGAGGCTGGATGAAATGTTCTTGACATCTTTCCGACCCATATTATGAGATTTCATAATGTCAAAGTCCTTTGAAACAGTTATTGTTCCTTCTCTTCTCTCCTTGTTCCTAAGGGCTATTGCTTTGGTGTCTCCCTTATTTGGAGCTCTGCTGGTAATGGAGAAAAATGGAATTGACAAACCTTACCTACTTTTGAAGAGTTACACACACTGGCTGACACATCTGAAAATATTCCCTTCAGGCCTCCAAAAGTTTCCACGAAGAAATATCTGTCACGTGACCCCGCCATGGCCAGCAGCTCTACCGGGTTGGCACCAGCAATCCCCACGGCCAGGATAAGAATGCCTTTGTCCCGCAGGGCCTTGGCTGTGGCATTGAGGGCGTCCGCATCATGGGATTCCCCATCGGTGATGACAATGAGGACTTGGGGGACCCCCTTGTTCAGGCGGCTGCCCTGAGCTTCTGTGAACATGTGATTTGAGAAATTCAATGCCTTGGCAGTGTAAGTGTTGCCCCCCTTGGGCTGGTCATTCTGGAGCACTGAGATCACCTCCAATTTTGTGTCAAATCTGTTCAGATGAAACAGCACCTCTGCATCATCGGAGTACTTCAGAGCCCCAAACCGGACTTGATTCTTGCCCACATCAGCTTTTTTCACCAAGTCAATCATAAAGTCCTTCATGATACTATATTCATCATGGTCAATGCTGCCAGAGCTGTCGATAACAAATACAACATCTAGAACTTCAATCCGCTTGCATTCTGAAAGAGGAGGAGAAAGAAAACCACATCCTGGTTAGCTCTGGCCTACACCGGAGGCTTGAGTCCCCTCCCACCACCTGTTTTGTAACTGGGGGGTGTGTCCTCTCTGTGGAATCCATTCCAGTGTTCAGTCCTGGGATAGCTGACACAGCACATATACATTTATGTTGCCAGGATACAGTGATCCCCAACTAGGTGAGATTTTAGGACAGTGCAGATGTGATGTGAAAACTACTGTGGAGGTCAGGAGGGGGTGGGCAACAATCAGAGGCATCAGGAATAAACATTTCAAATGCTTTGTACTGGAAAAAAAAAACCCCACAATCCTTGGAAATTATCTTGTAGAAATGGTTCTTTCAACATGTGCTTTCATTTATACAATTTTTTTTTTTTTGGTTTGTTTTAGTCACAGGGATCATGAGATTTTATTCTTAAGATAAACCTTGGGGAAATGACAAAGTAAGAATGAATTTGGCAACACCATTTTTTTTCATGGATCTATGATTGCTGACTTTTCAAGGTTACATTTTCTCCCTTTTTTACTTCATATAACATTATCTATTTTCATCCTTGGTCCTCATCGTAGAAATAAGCCCATTTCACACTTGGCCAAACCTAAGTTGTCCTGGCATGATGCTCCTATTTACTTTTGAAGCCTTAGGCCAATGCCATGGAAAAGCAAAGAAGGAAAGCCCCGGTGAATACTTAATCCATGTATGAGGAATATATTCTGTCCACAGGTACAGAGCTCTAAACCCCAACTCCTTCATCCTGGGGAAGTGGCCCTGTGAGATGGTCAATTATTTAGTCCTTATGGAAAACAATCTCTCTTCAGCCCTTAAAAAGGTATGTTCCAAACATGAAATCATCCCTTCTGAAGAAACGGAACTGCACCTGCCCCCCAGAGGCTCAGCATGTCTCCATCTCCTGCCAGCCACTCGCCTGCGATGTGGTAGGGCTGCTGGGAACCCTGGAGCCACTACTGGAGCCCCATGTACAGAGCCACAAGCCACACTGTTCAGAAGGCTGGTCCCACAAAAGGAGGAGTCACACTTCTCTGGCCTTTGGCTGCCCTGGGAGCCTGCTTGGCTTGATCAGGGGCTTGGGGATAAGCTGGGTGGTGTGAGAAAACCCTTCCAAGGGTTCACATTTGTTCTGGGTGGGATCACCAGGAAATACAACCCAGGTGCACTCCTCTTCCCACCACACACAGACCAACACTCCCAGGCCATCTAGGGAAGCTGAACAGCACTGTTATTTGAGTAACAGAACAACGTTCCTCTCTTCCCTCAAAGCTCAGTTAAGCTTTATCTCCTTCATAGAGGTTATACAGAATGCCTCTGTCATCAGGTCCCAAGGCCATGGTTTAAAGCAATCCCTTCTAAGGGTGGGTTTTATCCCACCTTCCCTTTCATAGCTTCATGGAATGGGACTAGGCTACTAACGTCCTCTGAAGCACCCATTGCTTGAGTTCTAGTGCTATATTCCTCTGTTTTAGGATTGAATATATATCAAAGTATTTTTAACCAATATTTACTTGTATCATATAAGAATTACTTTTTAAAAATTATTTTAAAAAAATACAAACCAACATACACACAGAGTCAGTGTTGGGTCAAAGGGGAGCCACCTGCCCAGGAGCTGACGCCCTCAAGTACCTCCTTAGTGCCCATTGTGGTCCAAGAACTTGCCAGACCAGGCCTGGCCCTGTACTCAGGGTGGAGCCCACTCTGCTATGCCTCACACTCTAGAGTTCTGCATGGGACGAGGCTGAAACAAGACTCCTACTAAGACAAATACCTTTGTGCAGCTCCTCTCCATGTCCGGTCCTACTTTTCTTAACCCCCACTGGAAGCGCCTCCCTGATAAATCACTCCCAACAAAGCCCCTGATTCAGCTTCTGCTTCTAGGGAAGCTGACTAATGACCCTATGTGACATCATCTTACATGAAGGCCCCATCCTTAATGGAGGCTTCATCACTTTCATGTTCCTTGTCTACAGACGAGAGTCTAGGTGGTCTCCAAATTCAACAGTTCTGTTGACTTTCATGTCCAAGTCAAATACCATGAGGATAAACATCTCCACGCATAAAAAGTTTGCCATGCTCAAACAGTAACCTACTGATTTCAAGAAATAATGACTGGGGTGGGAACTGTATGGGGAATATAACCAAAATGAAAATGCATACATTATGCAAAAATGAAAAATGATGTAAGAATTATATAAAATAAAAAAAGAAATAATGACTGGCATGGACACATGGTGATTGGGTCACCCCACCAGTGGACCTGCCCAGGCCTACCTTCACGGGGGCTGCAAATTCCAAAAAACAGGTCATCTTCAATGTGCTGCAGGATGTCAAAATTCTCAACATAGAAAACCATCTCCCGCCTCCCACTGATCTCCTCAAGCTGCGTGACATTGGAGCCAAACACTCCCACTGAGTAGATAATGATGCCTTCTTGTCGAAGTGCTGCAGCTGGGTCCTTGACTATGTCATGAGCTTCACCGTCTGTGATGAGGATGAGAAACTTCCTAACGTTGGGCCGGGCCCCCTTGGCAGGGCTGAAGTACTGGGACACAAAGGTGAGAGCACCGCCAGTCATGGTGGTTTCTCCGATGAGGGCCATGGCCTCTATTGCATCTGAAATTTCACTTTGGGTCACGTATCTGTTGAGCTGGAACTCCTCCTTGTTGATGTCACTGAACTGGACGACACCGATTTGCACCCGATTTGCTCCAACCTGAGATTTGCTCACCAGGTTTTTCATAAATGTCTTCATTTTGCTGAAGTTTTCAGGTCCTATGCTACCAGAACTGTCCACCAGAAACATGATATCAGCTTTGATCTCTTTGCAGGCTGCATGGGAGAAAGGGAGATATTGATTCAAAGTTGGTTTAGAGTTAAAAACATTAGGACTGAACAGGAAGGTTCAACCCACAAATGCTTCTATATTGAAGTTAAATGTGTGTTTGGTAAAGAATTGTTAGACAGCAAATACAGCATCAGAGGCAAAGAAATGAAACTATTCTGTTTGCTATTTAGTAATTTGCTTCAATAGTTAAGTCAAGGTTTCTTAACCTCAGCACTGACATTTTGGGATAACCGATCGTGGGTAGCAAACCATGCCCTGCAGGCTACTGTAGAATGTTTACCATCGTCCCTGACCTTTGCCCACTAGATACCCAGTTACCAGCACCACCAGCATCTCTAGATCATCACCAAGTGTTCCCTGAGGGTTCAAATTCATCCTCATATAGCTCTAAAAAATTTCATAAAAGTTTTATAAAAAGACATTTTAGATAAACCTGAAGTACTCTTTAAAGTCTAAGCTCGTTTGATTACATTATACATGCATTGTCTCATCAGTCACCTATCCTAGCTGAGATGTGTGGAAGGAAGCAGATAATACTTGTTAGGGAGAGGGCCTCCAAATCCCTTTCTTATGCTTCAGGCATGAAGCAGAGCAACACCATCATGGGCCTCATTTTGTTCCGGAGAACAGACACAGCCGCACAGGACGACCGGTCTCAACTCGGAAATGTCCATGTTTCTCTACACCAGCGGTGTCAAATATTGCAACAAGGCAATTTGTGAGCTGATGTCAAAAGGTAAAGCCATTTCTCCTACCTTCTTCGGCACAGATTTCTTGAACCACTTGGTTTCTAATGTCTTTCAAGGCGTCAAAGTCATGCACATAGTAAACCCTCTTTTCCTCGCCTGCAATTTCTCGCAGCTGCGTCTGGTTGGCCTCCTTGACCCCGATGGCATAAACGCGGATGTGCTCTTCTCTCAGTCTATTTGCAGGCTCCAACACACCATCCTGGGACGTGCCCTTCGTCAGGACCACGAGATGGCTAGGCACTTTGTTTCCTCGCTGCTTCTTTGCTTTTTGCAGCAGACCCAGCGTGAAGTTCAGGGCCGCACCTGTGTTTGTGTTCCCACCCATCTGCCTGATGTTCTCTATGGCCTTTCCCAGGGCCTGCTTGTTTGCGTACTTGTGGATAGCAAATTCCAAGTCCCAGCTGTCTGCATACTGGACGGCCCCCACCCGCACCTTGTGGGGAGCAATGTTGAACATCCTCACCACCTCTGACAGGAAGGCCTTCATTTCCTGGAAGTCTGTGTCCTGGGTGTTCCCAGAGCCATCAATAAGCAGATAGATGTCCGCTTCTTCAGTGTCCACACAACCTAAGGTGGAAGAAGATGCTGAGGGTGGCATTTGGGGCAAGTAAGAAAGAGATGGGAGCAGCTGGGAAGAACTGCAGGTGCCTCTGAAGACACAGAAATGTAAGTGATCAGGCTCAAAAGATGCTTTTAGTGGGTGAAGGGGATCAAAAGGAGAAAACTTTCGGATATAAAACAAATATCCTGGGATAAAACGTACAGCATGGGGACTATAGTTAATAACTTTGTTTTTGAAATTTGCTAAGCAAACAGATCTTACAAATTCTCACCACAAGGAAAAAACGCGTAATTAAGTGCAGCGATGGATGGTAACTAGGCTTATTGTGATCATTTCCCAATATATACAAATATCAAATCCTATGTTGTATGCCTGAAACTGATATGTCAATTTTATAGCAATAAAAAAAGAGAGGTTTACCAGCTTCAAATGGGCTATTTTAGCCATCAGTTGGGTCAAAGGAATTGTTCCTGACAATTGAAGACCCTGGATAATTCTCTATCATGAATCAGGGAAAATCTGAATATAATAAAAGATTAAAAGAAAACATGAAGATGCTTTTTGCACATCACTTTCTCAAAAGTGAGTAACTGCTTAACGAAAAGCCAAGATCACTGTGAAATGGAGAAAGTAGTTAATTAGACACTGTACATAGTAGCGCCCTCTCTTGAAACCTTGAATAAATTATTTTTTCCCTCACTCCTAGTCATTGGCAAAGCTAGGGATACTTGGCAATGAACTTAATGTGTGTAAGTCAAGGTCACCACCATAGTAAACATGCTGTAAATCTCTGCTGAGGAATGTACACACTGATAGACATGTATGCACAGATCATTTTAAAGCATGTAAGTATTTATGTTAAGTGCAGAAAATACATTCCTCTCTGTCAGCTGTCAGATAAGCAGAATAGTATTCCATATCAAATTAATCACTCTGACCTCAATCCAAATCATTTATTCTTTATTTGGGGGTGCGAGCAGAAAAGTCCTAAAGGATGAAAAAGCAGGGATGTGAGAGGCAAAGAAGAGAAAGGAAACAGGGGAAGGTGTGAAGGATGTAAGCTGGTGCTGGCAAGTAACCAAGAATCCAGTTCAAGGAAGTACAAAAGTAAGGGGGAAATCTCTTCTCCCCCTTCCAATACTCCAATAGCCTATAGCCCCCCGCCTATCTATATCTCACGGTATCAAAGTAAACATGGAGGAACCTATTCTCTGCGCCACCTCACATCCCACCCATCCCTTCTGCATATATCATTCCTGGGAGGAAGAAGAAGAACAGGGTTGTGACGTGCATTAAAGCAAAAACTTTACCAGATTTGAGGGTCTCAGTCCGCTCTGAAAAGACAGAGACCATGTGCGCGATTTGGTTCCGCAGCTTCTTCAGAAACGTCTGGTTGTGAGCAGCCAGGTCGGAGAAGTTCTCGAGCATGGAGACGAACTGCTCCGCCGGGTGGGAGGCGATCCTTTCCAGCTGGGCATCACTGGCGCCCTCCACGCCCAAGGTGAACACGGTCACGCCCTGGCGCCGGAGGTTCGAGGCGGCCTTGGTCACATTGTCCTCGGAGGGCCTGTGGGTCACCAGCACGGCAATCTGCGGCACCCCTTGGTTCTTCCGGCTGCCGTTCTGTGTGCTGAAAACCTCCTTCCTGATATTTCTGATGGCAGCTCCGGTGTGGGCCAGCCCGACCTGGGGTGAGAGGTCCTGTATATACTGCAGAACTTGTGACTTATTCACACCCTGGCTCAGTGAACTTATCACCTTGGTCTCGTTGCTGTAGGCCACAAGGCCAATCCTCATGCAGTGCTCTTTTATGTCAAGAACAGACACGCTTCCTTCCAGGAATGCTTTGAGAGAGTCGAAGTTCTCCTGGCTGCCATTGATGGCCACATCCAACAGGAACACAAGGTCGGCCACAGAAGAGCCCTGGCACACTGTGTGAGCAAGCACAACAAGCAGGGCTTTAGCTGGGCAGCAGAAGGTCCAGAATGCTAGCAGAGCTTGGGTACACACCTCAGGGGGGAGCCCTACAACCTGATTCTGAAGCTGAGAACAGGGTCCTGGATTCAAATCCCAGGGCTCAGCTAAACTCCTAGCTTGTTTCCTCATGTGTGAGATGAAGAAAATAATATTCTCATGAAACTGTTATGAAGATTCATGAGACTAGGTGCTTAGCATGGGGCTTGGTACCTAAGAGTCACTCAATGAACACTGACTACTGCTATCACGTTCAAATCATTCATGTAATCCAAGCTGTTCAGATCAGTAGTTAAGGGTCCACATATTCCTAAGAGGTGTCGATGGAGTAACAATTACACTTTCACTTACCTTATTTGGGAAAGATGCTAGGATTTATATTTTCATGGATTACCACCAGAAAATCATTCTCTATCAACTGGTAATTATGTCTGTCTACTCATTCAAACCGAATTAACCAGAAATAACATGAGCTTCCCAAGCTACTTATTGGGACTTTACGCTTGGAACAAACTGTTTTTCCCTGGTTCTCCCCTGCCCTCTCATATGAACGATTTTCATAAACTCTTGGTCATTCTTGTAATTGAACAATCTGTAGAGGACAGACCGGGACAGCAGGTTGGAGGTGAATGAATTGCAGAGAAGCAAATTTACAACAAACAACGGAAAGGGAGGCAGCGTGGGGCTGAATGACATGGCCTGGGAGTCCAGATGCCCCACCTGCCTCCCTCTGACTTCAAACTGCAGCCCTGCCAGGGCACATTGCCTCCAAGGGCCCCTGCAGGGTCCTCTGCAGAATAGAGGGTTGGGACTGAAGCTGTTTCCTTCAAAATCATTTTCTCATCCTAACATATGCCCCCTAAGCCTACCTTCTACAAGAGCATCATCGGTCGCGCCTTCCCTGTACTGAGCCGCCTCCTTGATGATCTGTGTCATGTTCTGGGAGAATGTGCTGAGGTCTCTGACTGTCCGAAGATTGAAGTGAAACTGGCCTGTGGCCATGGCCCGCAAGTTCTCCTCAGAAGCCCTCTGCATCCCCACTGAGACGATCCTCACCCCGTCCTCCCGCAGGGCCTTGGCAGCCTCTTCCACGTCATCCTCGGACTCAGCTGAAGCCAGGACCACCAGAATTGGGGGAAACTGCTTCTTGTCTCTGCCATTCGTGGGTCTGGAGAAATAGGTCCTGTGAGCCTCCCGGAGAGCATTCCCAATGCGCAGGGAGCCCCCCAGGAACGTGAAGTTCTTCTTGAGGTGGTTCAACATGGGGTTCCTGCTCTTGAAGGTGCTCAGCTGGAACTCATTGTGGAGCGAATCACTGTACTGGGCCAGGGCCACACGGTACTTGCTGGCCTCGATGGGGAGGCTGCTGATCATTTTGTTGATGAAGGTTCTCATGTGAGGGAAAGACTTAGCTCCCAGGTGGTTGGAACTGTCCACCAGAAACACCACGTCTGCGTACTCAGGGGCTGCAAACCCACAAAACAACATATAAACAAAGCAAAAATTTTTAAATTTAACTACCATGTTTAATGGCAACCACATGGGCAAAACTTACTTTCCTTTTATGTCTGTATTTTTAATACCTTCCAGTGAACTGAAAATAGCCTGAAGTTACACATCTCTCAAGAAATATGTTTCCTGAGCTGATTTTTAAATATATCTTCTCATTTGAATGGAACACAAAATTAATTGTTCACAAGAAATCAGTTAATTAGACACAGATAAATGTAGAGAAGTAAAAAAAAAAAAATCACGGGTTTTTATTACCTCTAGTGGATAATTTCTCCCTTTTTCCTTAAGAATTTGGTCTCAATTTATAAAAATTCTAATTGAGAATCACACTGCTTTAAATGTGACAGAGGCAGTGAAGGGCAGGCAAGTATTTTGATTTGCAGTCCATTTGACAGTCCACTTGACAGATAGAAGACATCTATGGAATGTTCTCTTCAGGGTAAAAGCACTTTCTTTACCATAAACAGTTTAAATTAAGAGGAACATCTGGATGATGCTTAATCATGACACATATTAGCACAAACAAATTAAGATGAGACATTTCACATTTTCCAGGCCTGAACCTAATATTGAGAGAGAATTTTCATGTAACCTCCCAGAAGACCTTAAAGGGATTGAAAATGAGGGCGCAAGAACAGCCCTCATATCTTGCTCTCGTTATCAAGGCATAATGTCCAGAAACACATGATCTTCAAAGGAAGAGCAGGCAACATCATAAAAAAAACTGAGTTATCACCCCCATCTTATCAAAAGCAAAATAGAACTCTAATGTTTAAGTAGGCCAAACTCATATTATTTTTCATATGAAAATTAAAGAACTCTTTCCTTTTTTTTTTTGCTTACCAGAATCTTGGCTTGCAGAAACTTGGAAACACATTGTTACAAGGAACAAAATCAGCAGCATTTTCATATTCTCATCTGAAAAATATCCAAGTTGAAACCTGAAAAGGCATAAATATAAACATCTAAAACTGTTATGGAGATTATTTGGTTGGAATCAATAGTCACAAGCATAAGAGCATACAAAATTATGTACGTAGGTACAAAAGGACAGGGGATTCTGAGGTTTCCTCACCTTCTAATCTGTCAAGTACCTTAAAGTAAACCCCAACAATTATTGAATTATGGAAGTTTCTACAGGTCCCCTGGCCCTGTAGAAACATGAGATTTTGGATCGTCAGTAGAAGTAGTCACACACATTCTAGTTCCAATAATATTGTGTGTTCCTAATAATCATTTTCCCTGTACCCTCGTGTCATTCCTGTCCACACTTTGCCAAGACAATTCTGAGTATTTGGTTGAGACACAGTCTAATACCCATTCCGTAAATTTCTCCAAGAACAAGTAGATGTGTTTCACATTTGGGTGGTATTTCTAGACATGGCAAAATAAATTTTTTCTTTTCCTGCATGATTAGAAAGATAACTAATTCCCTTTACCCTTAATTTTGAGAGAAGATGTGAAAAAATAAGCAGTGACCTTCTATAGTCCATCGGTGTCTTGCACCATTTTGCTTCCAACAACCTAGAGCTTTGAGGTAGGGTTTTCCAATTGTAGTGTGATCTGAAGCATTTCCCACCTCTTCACGAGTTTCTTCATGGAATGAAATAGGATGTTAGAGATATTGAAATTTGATATTTTAACTAAGCAGATTGGAGTCATTCATCCATTGAATGAAAAATGAATTGATCATATTAATAAGCCAGTATGTGTTCAATTCTCACCCAAACATGTATCTGTGATGTTATTTTTTTTAAAGATTTATTTTATTCATGCATTCAAGAGCCAGGGTGTAGGCCAGAGGTGTGGGGGAAGGGTAAGAGGGTTCACCAGAGACAGAGTGGAGAGCAGAACAGGCAGATCTACTGAAACCCCTGCTGAGGGGAGCAGCAGGTGAAGACAGGAAAAGTCTGCTGTGCCATGTGGGTCACCTCCCTGGCCAGGGATTGAACTTATGCTGCAGTAGCTGTGGATTGCTTCATAGTGCTGATGCTTAACTCTTTGAGCCACACCATCTGGGCTATTATATATGGCCATCTCACTTCTTGTCAGGCAGGCCCCTACTGCTCAGTGTTCCACCCCTTTAGAAAAGGGAACGGTGCCATCAGTGATTCCATCCCAATTTCCTCATTTATTCCATCATTGCTCTGACATTCTGGAATTGGAGACTCTATTCAGTTCCTTCACAGGAAGTCCAAATGATATAAACTTTTCAGGCTGTAAGTCAACTGATTTTTTGACTCTAAATTTTAGAGATAATCAGTGAGTTGGAAGGAACCAGTCAGAGGCTACTTTTTGTCTAATCCTTTCATTTAAAAGAAATTTTAATGCCAGAGTTGCCCAAAGTTAAAACAAGTCATACCACCTATAAAAATATTCTAAGGCATTGAACAATAACAAATTTCACCATTTCTCGAGGCTTTACTATGTACTAGGTCCTGCACTAACAGGTTTACTTTCATTCTCCTGTTTGATATTGATAACAAACCTAGAAGCAGGTGCTATTATTCCTGCTTTGCAGAGAAGGAAACATTCCTATTAGTTAGTTAGTAAATAACTAACTTACGGTCCCAGTAATAAAATGAGCCACAGTTGAGATAGTCTACATATCTCACTGTAAAATCTCCATTTTCTAACAGTTACCCTAAATCCTGAACAATGTTCTGAACACAAAAAGTGTCTCCAAATTTCCTTGTTTAATGGGTTTTTCTTAAGTATAGGAGATACCGGTATTTGTTTTCATGCCTTTTTACTTTTAATTTTCTAAACCAGGGTTTTGGGCTATTCACTTTTTTCCCTGCTTATATTATAGCTTTAGAAGTCAGTCCTGCCTTAAGGAGTTATGCGTGATAGAAGGAAGATGCTTTGGGAAGACAGTAGCAATCACTGTCAGAGGTTTCAGCAGTCAAGATGGATGAAAATGGCACAGACTGAAAGCTGAACACCTGGATAGGACAGTGGGGATTAGGCACAGCCACAGCATCAGGAAATTTCCCAATGCAGATGGTCATTACTACCAGTACATTAAATGCTGAGTTTTTTGGGTTAGTGTCTTGTGGAACAATTTTCTTTCAACCTTTGAATGGAATCCAAAATCTGGGGTGCCATAGGATGTACAATGGGGAAGCCCAGAGAAAAGTTCTCTTGAAGTCCTATATGCCCTGACTTGAGTCGGGTGGGGTGGAGGGAGTGGCATGTTTTAGGACTAAACCTCCAAGTTCATGGTAGAATTGGGTTCATTTTGATCATATGAAAACACAGATGAAGCTCCTGAAATCTGTATGTTGTTCTACTATCAGGCATGGCCAGGGTTTACATTACGTAACATTTAAAAAATATACCAGCATTGAAGCATTTAAAAAATATACCAGCATTTAAAAAATATACCAGCATTGAAGAGGGGAGAACTGAAGAGATATTTAAAGTAGCAAATAAAATTTAAATTCATGGTGCTCTCCATCTTAATTTAACAGTGAGATTGATTGCCTCTCATTACAGAAACTCTCAAAGGTAGAGGTCTCTCTAATCTGAATTTTGTTGCACTCTATTCATTCTGAATCAAGAAGGTTGAAGCTAATAAACCTCTTTTGGATGTTATATTCTATAAAAAGCCTTTTGAGAAATCGATCTCTGTAAACTTCCTGTTGAGAGGGTAGAATGTTTCTAATTTCAACTACAGCTGCAAAAGCTCCATAGCCACCCAACCCTTGGCTTAAAATCCAGAATGTTTAGAACTTGTGCAATACCCCTCTAGGGGTTATTATGAACCAGAGGTTTCAGGAAGGCTTTTACCCCATGTCAGCCAACTCATAATCCAGGACATGTCTTTGATAAAAAAATATTAAGACTCCAGAAGAATAAAAGTGATTTAAGCAGAATTAAGATAAATACCATTTTTCCCTTTAGGATGAGCATGTAGGGTATGTCATTTCTAAGTGCTGATTTTATTTTTCTTCAGAAAAAATAATAGTCAGCTGTTACTGTATAAGGAACAACAGAGTCTGTGCCACAGTTCAAGATCTATGGTTTGCTTATTTAACCCAACTTCTTCACTATTTCCCTTCCTCAGGCCCATTTGACTTCTCAGAACACAAAAGGTAGAAAGAAAAATATTCAAAGTGAGATTTTTAAAAAATGGAAATCTCACATGATTCAGCAATACCTTGGCTGGGTATTTACCCAAAGCTCTAATACAAAGAGACGTATGCTCTCCTACGTTCACAGCAGTGCTGTCCACAATCACCAAGTCATGGAGTCAACCTGGGTGCCCACTGAGATGACTGGGTTAAGAAATTGAGGGATATACAGTCAATGGAATGCTACTCAGATATTAAAAAAGATGAAAAAGTGCCTTTTGGGACAATATGGATGGATCTTGAAATGGTCCTGCTAAGTGAAATAAGCCAGAAAGTGAAAGATATCAGATGGTTTCACTTATCTGTGGAATATACACAACCAAAAACTTATCCTCGCAAAGAACAGTAAAAGCATTTCTTAGATGCAGTGAAGAATATACTGGATACCACAGAGGGTGGGAAGAGGGAACCGGGGAAGGAATGGGACCAGGCATTGGCAAGAGAGTTTGGTGGAGGGTCCATGAAGCATGTGTTCCTACAAAAGAGTGAAAATGTACCCCCAAAGTTGCACAGACTTGTAAATGACTGACAACAATGATAACGACAACAATAAAGTCACTGTGGCAGGATAAATCCTTGACACACAATATTGAATCAATGATGGTAAGTAAAGCAAAACACATAAGCACTCACGGGCACACCCAGTTTTACTGTCAATCCCACAATTTCCTCCAACTGTATTTTCCGGAATCATAAAGAGAGACTGTATTTGTTAATTGTATTTGAACAAGGCCATGCGGGTGACATTGCTTCTTGGTAAGATGAACACCATTTGTATCAATGACTGCCTGACTCAGTGGAAAGGGCACACACTACAGTCTGGTGACTGGGTTCCACTTCCTTCCCAGCAACCCCTAAACTGCTGTGTGATCTTACACTCCACCTCATTCTGCAGGTTCCGAATCTGAAGCACAATGGATTATCCTCTCTCTGGATCTCAGCAGCCCCCCACAGTAACAGTTCTCTGGCCTAACAAGTATCGCTAGAAGAAAAATGTGAATTAAGCCAAGAGCACATCAAAATACTGAGCACTTATTTTCAAACTGTCCCAAGCAGGGAACTGCCCCCTCCATGTCCTCCCCCACCCCAACCCCTGGGGCAGTCCTCTGCTGGAGGGGCCAGCAGCAGCAAGGGGAAGGGCTTGGCATGTCCCTGTCTGGGCCAAAATATGTTGGAAACCTTCAGGATTCAACTACCTGAACATAATGGGACTAAATTTCAATAAAGCAAACCACTAGCAATGATGTGTTCAATGTAGACATTAGAAAAAGTACAGAAGAAATCCAAAAGAAATAGATACTAAAAATTTGTAGAAATCAGCAAACTAATAAGCAAAGATAAAGTTAAGCTTTAAAATATGGGCCTTGTGTGTGTGTGTGTGGGGGGGAACACAGGTAACTAACTGTATGAATGAACAAAGGAGACATAATTATTGATAAAGTTTTTTTTTTTTTAATTGACACAGTGTTAAAAATATCCACATAAGGAAACTATCAGGCCAAGGTGGTTTTAGTGGCAAGTTCACCAAACTTTCAAGAAACAGATTATTTGAATCTTTTATGAAGTACTTCAGAGCCTAAAAGAGCAACATATTAGTCATTTCATTTTTATAAGGCCAGAGTAATCTTTTTTTTTTTAATTAATAAATTTTATTTTTATATTCCCCATACAATTGCAATCCCCCCATTCTGACCCCAATCCCTCCCCTCCCGCCCCCCACCCCCCAAAAAGTGTCTCTGGTTCATAGTTTTTGTTGATTTTGATTTTCACTTTCTTATAGTTATTCATTTTCCTGGTCCCTTATT